TTAAACCACTTCTAGTGCAAAGTTCATATGAAAGACACATTTTACTCATCAAAACAATGAAAATGTCAAATGTGTCGCATAAACGAGTTTCCTTCCTTTGAACAAACAACAAAACTGTAGCTGTAACAAAATAATTGAGTAAAATATAGCAAAAAATACTCTTGGTGATATATTGATACTGTGTCATCACATTAGACAATACAATATATCGATATATCGATATTTTTGCACACTCCTACATGAGGCAAAAAGACTGTTGCACAGAGACAAACTGGGACAGTGTCAAAAAAAATAAAAAAATAAAACGGTTTAGAATATCAAAGTCACATCAGTCAATAAGATATCGGAAAAAATGAACCGATATCTGCCAATACCAATACTGGAACTAATATAATCTTATTCAAACATGCAGGAAATTACCAGTGTTGAATGACAATAGAATGTGATTTTCTGCATTAAATGGTAGAAGTGTCTTTTCGATTCCCATGTGTCTTATATATGTGTGTAATGCTCAGTGCTCCAGTAGGTTCATGTTGGTCCATGTGTGTTTACTAGTCTATGTGCTCTTCTACTTGTTCTGATACAGCTCTACATCATTCAAAAACTATGCAGGAAAGGTTTATTTCTATCCTGTGAATAGGACTTTTTTTTAGTTTCGATACTTGTTCAAATGAGGAGCTAGTTTCAATATTGCTTTTAGATATTTTTGACAACCCTAACCCAACATGAATTCCTGTAGCATCCATCTGTTTTATCTCGTTGTGTCACTGTTCTAAAAAAAACTTAAGTGGAGCAGAAGCGGTTTTCTAGTTTGTTTTTAAATATTTACGTCGCCTGATCTTTCCTCTCCTTTTTTGTATTTCAGCCTTAGTCTGAACTAACCAAGACAAACATAGTGCAATAGAGTTTTATCTTAGTACAGGAGAAAGAGGACAGAACATGAGAAAACAAGGGCACATCAAATACACGTTTTTGGATTGGCAGTTCTCCAGTGATCAGTTGAAAGTCCAGTGTGGATCTGGTCTGTACATGACTGTGTGTGCTGCGCCTGTGACATCAGCTGATCGTGGGGCTCTCCTTACATGGCCTCAGTCTCTCAGGGCCAAAACACACACACACTAGAGGAGAGTGCTGCTGAACCAGGGCTGAACCAGGGCTGAGGCTGTGGAAAAGTTGAATCATGAGTTTTTAAATTTAATAAGGTGGAACAATAATTGTCCTGAGGCCAAATTGATGTGCAGCAGTATCAGACTGCAAACGTGTGACACACTGCATGTTTACTACACTTTATCCCTGCTTAAGGGTCCCGTGCTGCACAAAATGGACTCTTGTGAGCTTAAAGTAATGTTATAATGTTACCTCCTCAAAAACAAACCTGGACTTGTGTTTTGTTTCATTCGTACATTTTTGTTAAGAGGTTGGCAAGTTGACGACTCAAATCTTCCAAATGATTCTAGTGAAAAACACAGTGGAGCACTTCCTGTATCACCACATGACCTTGTGATGTGGTTTTAGTTTGAGAGAAGAACTCACCCTTAAATATCCAGGGTTTGTGTGATAAACATATGTGAATGAAACAAAACACAACTCCAGATCTTTTAGTGATGAGGAAACCTGTAGAACATATCAGAAAAGTGAAATCTGGAGCTTTTAAGTTCACGCTCAAAGATGCAGAACTACAGATGTTTTAAAAATAGTCAAAAAAGGCACAAGGAAAAGTATCCATACTTCACCACCACTGACCCCAGTTGTAAGAGCATCATTTTGTTATGGTTTCAGAGAGTTTTATTCTCACTTTTGGCCCAGTATAGATGTATTGTGTAAGCAGCTCTTGAGGTTAAAATATGTGCATGTTAGCATGCTAGTTAATATTGACTGACCCACGTTACTATTCCTCGATCCCCTGTTCTACTTCCATCCACCTGTCATGCAATATTTAATACAGTGCAGTGAGTTTTTTTTGTCTTGCACTACTACTTATGTACCTATTTACTCTTTTATTTGTTCTTTTTTTTGGGGGGGGGGTGCGTTGCTTTTAATCTTGTTGTGTATAGTAAGTAAGTCTTTATTTATATAGCGCTTTCATAGACATTTTCTGTCCCCAAAGACGCTTTACTCAGCATTATTCATTCACTCTATACCCTGGTGATGGTAAACTACTATTGTAGCCACAGCTGCCCTGGGGCACACTGACAGAGGCGCAGCTGCCATGTCACTTGGCGCCATCGGTCCCTCCGACCACCACCACCAACACTCACCACTTTCATACTAGGCAATGTGGGTGAAGTGTCTTGCTTAAATACACAATGATTGAATTGATTGTATTTAACTGACCTTGACTATCAACTGTTTTATGGAGACCTGGAGCATGTTTTGGGTTGATGGGGGAAACCGGAGCACCCGGAGGAAACCCATCCAGACACGGGGAGAAACATGCAAACTCCACACAGAAAGGCCTGGGCGACCCAGGGATCGAACCCAGAACCTTCTTGCTGTGAGGCATGAGTGCTAGCCACTCAGCCACCGTGCCGCCAGTGTAGTGTGGATTGTGCATGTGTATATTGACAATAAAAGGCTTTCTGTTCATTCTTTTGTTGTGACAGCAAAACTCTTACTCACTCTGGTCTCTGATAGTTGTAAACGTCATTTTTGGTCACTATAGTAGTTCACGATGCAAAAAACCAACATGTCCATGAAGACAAACAGCTGCTGTACTCCTCGTTATGCATCAGGGCAGTTTCAGTCAGATTTGGGTACAGCGCAGCTCAGCTGTCTTCAAAACTTGCAGCATCCTAATTATTTACCACAATGACTTTATTCTGCTCTGGTCTCTTATAAAGACTAGCAACTAGCATGCTAATGTACACTTCCTGAGTATTGGGGCAGGGCAGACTTAAATCTCAAATACATGGGGAAAAATCAGTTTGACGCCCTTTTTAAACCTGTAATCCTGGTTTCTCTTGTCCTTGGGCTAAAAGAAAATATTTCAAATGTGGAAGGAGTCATTCAAAGGACACTTTTCCATTCAACCGACAAATTTTGTTTTGAAGTGTTGCTAGGGTCTTGGAGCTCTGTTTCCACAGCGTGAAGCTCATGTATTGCTTTAGAATTCCATCAGAGCTCCTGTGCAGAGCTGATGCAGCCTTCTGTATCTGTCCATAAAAGGAGAGAGAGCTGCTGTAAACAGGCTCAGAGTCCACAGCACGACCTGGACTCTGCTCATGAACATAGCCCTCCACACACTCAGTGGTCTATTTGATTATTAAAGGGCATGGACCGGATTTTTTTTCCATAGTTAAGCAAATTTCATCTTGCCTCAGTACAGATAGATTGTATAAGCAGGTCAAAGGTCCTCTGTGCACTGCCTGCATCTTTTACAAAGAATTACTAAGGATTTCATAGTCTGATAATCAGTAAGTGTGTTTTTAGCATGCTAGTTGTGAGCATTACCATGACTGTGAAACTCTGCTCTGATCTCTGAAAGTTGTGGAAAGTGCTTATAAAGGATGGCCAGAATGTAAAAGAATAATTCTGGATGAACAAGTCGCTTTTCACATTTTTAAAACGGTAAAAATCAAGTCATGCTCTTTAACTAGGGGTGGGTGGGATTTCAACGCCACTGTCTGTGAGTTTCCGAGATATTGGTCAGTCAAATATTACAATTTAAGCCTATGATATTTGGCACCAATATTTAGTTGTGCTCTGCTTCCCGTCTGTGTCCAACTGTCCATGTGTCGATCCCAGACTGTCTCAGTGAATCACATTTGTCTTTTCCAACAGCCTCCTGAGGAGCTATGGAAACAGAAGAGGCTAAAATATGGCTGAATGTTACATAAACGTGTAATAGTTTTATAATTTTTTTTTACAAAAATGAAGTTAATAGACCTTTACTACAACATTTGTGGCAATTGATATGGATAGAAATCTACTAGTTTCCTTCTCATTGACCCTCTGAAGTTGTATTTGCAGTGATTCATGTGTGTTTGGGTCATCTTTAAACTTATTTTCAAGACATTGTGCCGATCAACCCTCATTTTGTCAGTGCCCAGATCGGTGCACAAGCCTGTTCTGTACTTACTTTGTTCTCTAATTATTGTTTGGATTTCCATATAGGTAGGATTTGGCAATGTTGTGGAGTCATTTTGGTACAAATGAAGAAAAAAATTGCGGCTTGCTGCCATGATGTGCAGCTCTACAGGAGGGCCACAGCAGGCGGCGCTTTGTCATGACGTTTAAGGCGACGTCAGCTCCTGCTGGGCACTGCAGTTTTCTAAAACGTCACTGCATTTGTTTTAAATTGTTTTGTGTCAAATTAAAACTGAATGATCCACAGGTATTAGAACTATAGAGCAGACACAAGCACAGTATGTCTGCTGTTAGTATTCACTGGAGTCAACTTCCTGTTACAACAACAGTCAGCTTTATGGGGACTTTTCCCTTTTAAGATTGAATATAACCCAACCCCATTGTAATATCACTGCCATTAGATTTCTTTTCTCCAATCACTGAGGCCAACTCAGACCCTCCCTATTCTTAACCGGAGCATAGCGTCCTCCCTCGCAGTTTACAGCTCCACATGTGCGTTCCATGTGCAGGTTATAAATACACAGTCATATTCTTCTGTGTGAGGCTGTACCCTTCTGCACCAGGAACAGCAGAGCCTACAGGGCAAAGGGCTTAAGGAGAGCGGCTCTGTACAGGCCACACCACTGAGCGTTCTGTTCAAGGAGAGCCACCTGACATTGTCTCCAAAAAAAAACTTCATTTGAAACAGTTTGCAGTGGTCCAAAATGATTCCTCACTTGCTCATGAATTCTGAGCATCCTAACTGCAGTACAAGAGTTTATATGGTCTAAAAATAATCTGAACAAAAATGGTCAAACTAATTCTACTTTCTGCCTGGAAAATATATCTGTACCATCTGTGAGAGGGACGACAACCCATTCTAAACTTCTGTCTTTCATTAAATTGTACTATTTACTATGTTTTTGTTTCTCCAGGTGCTGCTGTGAGACCCTCTCCTCCTCTTCATCTACCTCTTCTGCTCCAGACCTCCCCCTCCTCATCTCTCCTCCACCCCAGAGAGCATGCCTCCTGCAGTGGGCGGGCCGGTCGGGTACACCCCCCCTGAGGGCGGGTGGGGTTGGGCCGTGGTGGTGGGAGCCTTCATCTCCATCGGCTTCTCCTACGCTTTCCCCAAATCCATCACGGTCTTCTTCAAGGAGATAGAAGCCATTTTTGACGCCACGCCCAGTCAGGTGTCGTGGATCTCCTCCATCATGCTGGCGGTCATGTACGCCGGAGGTGAGCACTGGTCACTGATTGAAATGGAGGAAGAGTTGGGGTTATTGTGGTGCAGTGAGTTGAGCACGTGTCCACTATCCTCACAGTAACTGGAAACTAGAAACTAGAAACCGGGTATTGAAATCAGTATTGAGCCATTTCCTTAATAATGAAATTGTTAGACATTTCGATGTCTTGACAACACTGGCTGCACATAACACATTTGCCCTTCCTGTCACAACCACATCACAATGATGCATCTGGCTTAAAACTTCAAGTCTGTGTGACCACTTCTGTTACTGTCCCTGTTTGAGTAAGAAGCTGAAAGTGGAGAATAACATGTCCTACATTATTTCCCTGTGCACTTTGTTGTTTTATTCTCCTCTGGGATCTGTATTTTTATATGAGAAAAGACTTCAGATTAGATTACATCAGTTTAGTATCAGAGCAGCAAACATCCACCCACTTCACTCTGTGTCTGTATGAAATGAAGTGACTGGAGCCTGTGAGCACAGCTCAGCGTGTGCTGCCAGTGTCTGAACCTGAAGGTAGAGGACGGTTACAAGTGTTTCTCCTTCTCGAGCACTGGTGGCTGCGGCGGCTGGGGTTTAGGTAAAGACCATTCAGATCAGAGAGAGGCATTTTAGGTTTAAAGCAGCTGGAGATCACCATTGAAACTGGAAACCCAAATGAGTCATGTTCGTCTGCTTCTGTGTTTCTGATTAGATCATCTTGAGAACCAAAACATAAAGAAATGGGTAATAATGTCTCAGAACACTTTAATGTCCCCACAGGAGCATTTGACCCAAAAGATGAATGAAACAGAATAAGAATAAGACATTAAAATGGCAGTACTATTAAGATAGTGTTGCAAATATGTGATTACAGTAAAGTTTTGTTGTGGTGTTTTTTGTCAGGTAAATTGAAATTGGATATATTCCATTATTATTCACCTTTGCAGTAACTAGTTATGATGCAAGACCACATTTCCATTCTGAACAAATAGGTGTTTCAGTTTGGGGAAAAGGACTTGACGTCATCATCCTGTAGTGAGCAATGACTCAGTAGATTTCATAGTAAAGTAAATGTGCAGAAGCCCATGAAAAGTCCCACTGCTGAGTCATGTGTGACGAAACAGGTCGTCATAGAAACAATTAGAGGGTGGGTCAGATGCCTGTTTGTGCACTTGTTGTGCTTGGGTAGTTAAGTGTGAATAGTGCAGCTCTGAGCACGTCCATAGGAGTGTCCAGTGCCGTAGCTGTATCCTGTACTGCAGGATCCAGTTCCATAACAGAGCACTGAGCCAGTCACATGACCCGCCCAAAGGAAGTGAAGGAGCGCAGTCTGCTGAGTGTGCACCTCTGCTCCAAAACAAACTCCACATGAACCTGGGGCCGACCGGGGACTGAAGACCTATCATTATAAAATATTAAATAGTCAAGTTAAGGTAGATTCATTTTTCCTGTCATGGAAATGTGCCCTCTGCATTTGACCCATCCTTCAGTGTGTCTGGGTTAAAGCTGTCAGAGCACTGGGACCCATCTCCAGATCTTGAGCTGCTCTTGGTCAGGACGAACGCATTTATTTATTTGGTTTATTCGAATAGGGACGAATACAAAAGCACTGAATAACTGTAACACACAACACACAAACACATGTTAGACTGGAGGATTTGTCCTGTTGTGCATGTTTTGGGTTGATGGAGGAAACTTACCCAGACACAGGGAGAACATGCAAACCCCACACAGAAAGGCCTGGGAGTCAAACCTAGAACCTCGTTGCTGTGAGGTGAGAGTGCTGGCCACTCAGCCACTGGATTCTCTTTACCTTGAAAAGGAATCTGTCCAAATATAGTTCAAACTTCAGTCAATAAGAATGTGGAGCTGGAGTGTGAAATCTGTGTGTGTTGCCAGATCTGTAGGGTTCTTCTCATCTGTCAGGTGTGTGTGTGTGTGTGTGTGTGTTATCATTACAGAACACATGACACCCTGCCTGTATCGCAGTCCTAGTACTCAAAATGACAATGTAAAAATCGACTTTTACACTTGGACAAATTTTATCGATGAATAATTCACGACTGAAGTTTCCTGCTAGGAGAGATTATATTCTGAAAATACTTAATAAAAGTTCTGTCCAGTGAATGGGACTTTTTTAGTATTGATACCTGCTCAAACAAGTATCTAGTATCGACACTAAACTTTCAGTATCAATTAGGATCTGATTTTCGATACTTTTGACAACCCAGTTTGATGCAAACCTGCTGAACCCTCTGCCTCTGCTCGGGCCTGTGGGCAGTGCACTTTGTATTCACTGAGGTTTGTCTGGCTCTAGATCCACTGTAGAGTTGATTGTTCTCAGACATGTCTTTATTTATCCCATTTTGAGTTCGAGCACATACTTTTTCACCCAGAGCATTTCCTGGTGTATAAAGCAGCCTAAAGAATGCTTCTCGTGTGTTTTTTTTAATTTCCTTTTTTCTTCTACACAGCTTTCTTTGTAACTCTTTCACAATCACTCTTTGTCCTTGTAAATGGAAATGCATAGTGTCACAGCTCCATCTTCTGGTGGCATGTTGTAACTGTAACTCCTCGTTCTCAAATGAATTAGTGACAGAATTAGAGATGTTGGTGATTTCATCCTGCTTATCTCCATGGAGTTGGATCAGGTTAATGCCATATTGTGGAACATTCTATGCAAAGGAAGAGAACGAGCAGGTGGTATGCTCCACCAGAAAGTGATGACGTTTTCTTAAATACACGAGTTTAAATGCAGCTTCATGTTTCATGATGACTGCTGAATGTGTAAGAAATGGAACAGAATGTGACTTTTATTGAAAATGCCTAAAAGATTTAAATTGGTTTCATTGACTGATTGCCTTTCTCTCTCTGTGGTCTCAGGTCCGATCAGCAGTATCCTGGTGAACCGTTTTGGCAGCAGACCCATCATTATGGTCGGGGGGTGCCTGGCCGGCTCTGGGCTCATCGCCGCCTCCTTCTGTAACACTGTGGAACAACTCTACTTCTTCATTGGAGTCATAGGAGGTACAGAGTTATACCACTGTTCTGTTCATGTTACAGGTTTCAAAAATATCAAGAGTGTTCACATGACCCTGATGACTGTTCTCCCTGTGTCTGTGCAGCAGAAAGTGTTTTTAGAGATTCAAAATTAGAATACATTGTTTATAATAAAAACTATAACAAAAAGAGTGCTATAGAGCTGATAAAAATAAAAGGAAGACTTTTTTTTAAGATGATAGTTCGGCACTTTTGTGTTTTGAACCTTACAGTTCATTTACATCTTGTGCAATATTTAAACTCACACCAAGACATTTAGAGGCACAGTGGAGCTCACTTCTGATGATTTGTCATAATGTCTGAATATTGTAATGAGGTTAATGAAAAGATATTAACTTAATCAGAAAAAAAAAAAAAATACTGTGTTCTTTTTATTTATAGATTGTCCATTGTGATTTTTGTTTTCATTCTTAGTTTGTGCCTCACACGGATGATGTTTAAACTCTAATTACTGACCCTATTTACATGAAACACAAACTGTCAGGCTGCACATTTATTGACCTGGTTTATGGTTCATAAGTTAAACACCACCAGAGTATTTGGACTTGTCCTCCAGCTCAGTTTACAGCGTAGTGGGATCTCCATAGTTTAATGTCATGAGATTGCATCTTGTTAAATCTCTCTCTCTCTCTCTCCTCAGGTTTGGGCCTGGCCTTTAACCTAAACCCCGCCCTGACCATGATCGGTAAATACTTCTACAAACGTCGCCCCATTGCCAACGGCATCGCCATGGCGGGCAGCCCGGTGTTCCTGTCCACCCTCGCTCCCCTGAACTCCTGGCTGTACGACGCCTTCGGGTGGAGGGGCAGCTTCCTCATTCTGGGGGGGCTTCTGCTGAACTGCTGCGTGGCTGGGTCCCTTATGCGCCCCATCGGACCTAAACCTCAACCACCCGCCCCCAAAGACGACGTGGAGAGCAAGAAAGAGAAGAAGACTGTTCTCCAAACCATCAACTCCTTCATTGATCTCACCTTGTTCAAACACAGAGGGTTCCTGTTGTACTTATCTGGAAATGTGGTCATGTTTTTTGGACTTTTTGCTCCTCTGGTCTTCCTCTCGAACTATGCCAAAAGCAAAGACATCAGCAAAGAAAAGGCTGCCTTTTTGCTCTCCATTTTGGCGTTCGTGGACATGGTCGCCCGTCCGTCCATGGGTATAGTCGCCAACACCAAATGGGTGCGCCCGCGGGTGCAGTACTTCTTCGCTGCAGCGGTCCTGTACAATGGCGTGTGTCACGTATTGGCGCCGATGTCCACAGATTACACAGGGTTTGTGATCTACGCCATCTTCTTCGGCTTTGCGTTCGGCTGGCTCAGCGCGGTGCTGTTTGAGACCCTCATGGACCTGGTGGGGGCGCAGAGGTTTTCTTCGGCCGTGGGGCTGGTCACCATTGTGGAGTGTGGTCCTGTGCTGCTCGGACCCCCACTCACAGGTAAGGACAGGGACAAAACTAAGGCTGGCATCATTAAGAAGTTGGCGATACAATACATATCTCGATACAGTGAGCTTTTGATTCAGTACCATATTTCAAATCGATTCGATACTATTCAATAAAAATAATGGCAAAATCGTGGCTGTGATACCAAAAATCTTTATTGAATCACTTCTTGTGCAAAGTTCATATGAACCACAAACATTTTAATCGAAAAACTGTGAAAATGTTAAATGTGTGACAAACGAGTTTCCGTCCTCTAAACAAGTAAGCACTGTATCAAAATAATCTAGTAAAACATACCAAAAAATACTCACTCATCACATTAAACGATAAAATATATCAATATGTCAATATTTTTGCTCACCCCTAGACAAAATTACACCTTTTGATGAATGTGTTTAGTTTTTAGTTTAGTTTATTTTACTTATTTACTGTCATGCACCATTTAGTTGGTGCCCAGCCCACATGGACTTATAAGACACATAAAACAAGAAGCAGACAGATCACACATCAAACATAAAGTGTCCTCTTACGGAGGTCCCAGGCTTTCAACACAAACTGAGCCAACTTAAAAACATTACATTTAAACAAATACTACTACTAATAATAATGTAAATGTTCTGGGTGAAGGTAGACACTTCCTTATCTCCATGATGCTTTGCCAACCTTCACCAGAAGAGTTACATATTGCCTACACAAAGTTCCCCAGATCAACATGGACTTAAACTTGTTTCTAATATTCACTTTTCTCGTCTCTCCATTTCACAGGCAGCTTCTATAATTACTACAAACACTACGACTACACCTACGTCTCCTCCGGCATCATCCTCATCGTCGCCAGCGTCATCCTGTTTGTGGGAATGGGAATCAACTACAGGCTCCTGGATAAAGAGAAGAAGGAGGAGGAGAAGAGAGAGAAGGAACACCCGAAAGACGAGTGCGAAGCCATGTTACCCCCCGCGTCTCCAGTCAAGTCCACCGACGAAGAGAAGGCCACACCTGCCGCGGTGACGTTAGAAGATGTGGCCAGAATGGACGAAGACACTGTTTAAACTAAGACTATTTCAGACTCTTTCACCACAAAGCTCACACGATTTTGTACAAAAAAAAAAAAAATCTGATTGCAATTTTTTTTCTGACAAGTTTTGCAATAAGATTTGCAGTGTGTTTTTAAGATTCAGTTCACAATGTGCATTTTTAAACACGTCCAGGAGTGTTGGCGTTTGAGAGAAGATTGAAATCTAAAGATGCATTTACGATGATGTTTGTAAAGGTCTAAAACTACAGGGTCAGCAGCTTTTATACAGAACAAGACCCTATGGAGACACAGGGAGGGCATCTGACATACAGGTACTTTTCTATCACATGAATAACTACAGTTTTCACATTGTTGAATTCTGTGCATTTTAACCAAGGCAATAGTGACATCTAGAGGGCACTGGCATATCTGACCTAATTTTAAAGGTGTACTGCGTAACGTTTCCCTTGTGGGTCAGCTACCTGCTCGTCTCCATGGAGATGTTTCACAAGATGGCATGAAACTCATCCACCTTACATTTATTCAATTTGTTTTAGTATTCAACAACCTTGAAAAACCTTCTTCATTCTTTCTATGAGCAGGTTTATCTCCACAGATCTTGTCTCCATCTAGCTATACAAGTATATATGGAGAAGTTTAATGCCAAACTGCGGAACATTCCAGGTAAAGCAATAGTGTCTCGAGGTGGACTAGTACGTAATGAGTCCTCCACCTGTAAACTTGTAAAGTGTGTCTTTAAACACAGACTTGCATCTGTGCTCATTTCAATGTTCTGGTACGAGGCCACGTCAGCTCATCTTTTAATGGGATAATTATGATCAAATCTGTTTCGATATCCACAGAAATCACTTGTAATACACTTTTCTACTGTCTTTGACCTTATCCGTGTGTCTGTGGTGAGACCATTTGACGGTCTGCTGATGTCAGTAGTAGGAGGCGTTTCTCTCAGGGTCGACTTGAGCTACCTGAAGTTTCATATGCACAAAACCTGCTTCAAATAATGGGAGATTTTTGTTTTGTTTTAGGTTTTTCAAATGAACAAATGATTTGAACAAAAGCATGTTCAGTTTTAGTTTCATGGTCTCAAAGTGATGGTGCTAGTTTTCTTCACAGCCAATCGTGATGGGACTTTATTTTTACAGTGTAGGCTACTATTCAACTTTAGACGTCTGAACATATTGTATTTTTAGTGTATTTTGTTTTCTGAATGATTGAACATATTATGTATTAATCTTGTTTGTTTGCAGCTAGATTTTAGTATTTCATAACAGTTCAGTCTGTAACCACATTTTTAATGAAATTACATTATAATGAAGTGTTTCAATCACTTGATTTTTCTTTTTTTTTTGGGTAATTTTATCAAAATAGACAAAATTTTGCACAAAACTGGGACTAGTCAAATAAATGTCTAGATCTTAATTACCTTAGTAATTTTTTTTCCACAGTGCAAAGGTTACGAATTTCAAGTAATTTCAACCTGTGTAGATATATTTTTTACAGTGTATGTGAAATTTCACATTTTAATTGGTGACAAATGCATTTCCCATGAAATCATCATCACTGTTTAGCCATATTTTGTACTGACAAGAGTATGAATTTTTATTAACATTTTATTTTTAGTTCATGATTCATCAAATTGTTTTAAATTATAAACTACATTTTTGGTGGGTAATAACAGAATCACAGAAAAATCACAATTGTTTCTTTGTTCAAGTCTTGATCACAATGATGCAAAATAAAGCTACACTCTGGAACTTTTTTGCCAGTATAGACGTTGAACATGATACTGTCAGCTGACGCTCGTGTGAATGAGAAACTGTAACCATTGTCTAGTATCTTTAATATGTTTTGTGTACTTTTGAATGAAACTGGAAAATGCTCTAATACTTTGCTTCAGCTGTGTTGAGTTTAATCACACCTTTCAATATATTTTTGTAACGGTGTTTTTGAGTTTTCATGTCAATGTAAATTGCTTAAATTTTAGCATTTGTTTTAAAGGATTATATCAATGACCAAAATTCTTACTCCCCTCCCAAGACAAATATTGAAAGCACCTTTTTTGCAGTATTTAAAGGCAAACTAACTTTTCTGTAAGAGGGTCCACCACCTGCCTGTTTCACGGAAATAGTTTTGCTTTTACTGGATTGTTCCACAGTGTGGCATTTAACTGTTCCATGTTGCTTTTATTCTAGCCCAGGTGTTTCTGCTCAAAAGTCCCTTTTAAAAGTCATATTCACACTGAGCAGGGTCGCCTCTCCACAGATCTGCTCTGTATCTTGGTCCGATTCCATCACCTACTAAATACACTGAATATCATACTGTGACACATTCCACGAAAAGCAAAACTATTTCCATGGGGACCACTGGAAAAGTTCCTTAGTGTGCCTTTTTAACTGCAAATAAGTTCATGTATAATTGGAGAGGGTTTCAGTGTTTGTGCCCCAAAGTCATTCTAAAGTTAAACCTTCTGAAGCCTTTTCTAAAGTTAATGCAGTATAGCTGTTTGTGAATTAAGAATTCTAATTGAAGATGAATGTTGGTCTAGTGCAGGGTGTTGAACGGTACTGTACTGTTAAATGCTGCAACTCATTTTAGCTCAAATGAACAAATGTTTGTTTTCTATGTCTTTATAAGACTGAACTGAAGTAAAGGTTTTTGAAGAAAACCAAAGCGGCCTCTTCTTTTGACCCACTACACCTCACACTCATGACAAAGGTTGCAGCTTTAAAAATAAAGCTCATAGTCTCTACAATATCAAGCTGTATTCCTTCACTCCACACACAATGGTGTAAGTACTATTGTGGCCACAGCTGCCCTGGGGCAGAGTGACTGAAGTGTGGCTGCCAATCTGCACCATCAGCCTCTCAAACCACCACTAACACCACATTCATACTAGGCAATGTAAGTAAGTAAGTCTTTATTTATATAGCACTTTCATGGACATTTTCTGTCCCCAAAGACACTTTACACAGCATTATTCAGCATTATTCATTCACTCTATACCTGGTGATGGTAAGATACTATTGTAGCCACAGCTGCCCTGGGGCACACTGACAGAAGCGCAGCTGCCATGCCAATCGGTGCCATCGGTCCCTCCGACCTCCACCATCACTCACACACACACCACTTTCATACTAGGCAATGTGGGTGAAGTGTCTTGCCTAAAGACACAAGTTTCTCACACAAGTCTCCCAAATACAAACCAGAGCCGGCCCTTCTCAGACCTGACATCAGGCTCTGACAAGGAGATTTGTCCACAAACCTTTATTTACAAAAACTCAACACAACTGGCAGCACAAATTATACTTTTTTTCTAAATTGTGAACTACACAAAGGAACAGTAAATATTCTAACCAGGACTCTCTAATTTCAGTGGAATAAACTGATTTCACCAAATACTGTCAGAGAAGGATCAGGGGACCAAAGGAACCACAGATCATCCTGGATTAGCACGGGTCTAGTCCTAGTTCAGTCCGAATCTGGCCCTGGTTTAGTCCTGGTTCAGACCTGGTCTGGTCCTGGTCTGGTCCTGGTCTGGTCCTGGTCTGGTCCTGGTCTGGTCCTGGTTCAGTAGTTGGAGGTGTGGGTTGCTGTCGAGTCGTTGACAGAGCCTCTCCTCTCGCTCCTGTGGCAGAGCAGGAGCAGGCGGAGCTGGGGGGAGATGGTGGTGGAGAAGGCTGAGTAGATCCAGGGGTTGGTGCAGGAGTTGAGACTGGCCAAGAGCATGAGCAGAGTGAACACTGCCCCTGAGACAAAAGACAAAAGAGAGACGATTACTCAAAAAAACATTCAATGAATACAAATATTATCATCATCATCATCTATCATCAGTTCTGTCAACTGGACAAATGTTTTTTGGTCAAATCCATTTCTCAGTTCATCCAAGCTGCTTCGGGTGAGTGTGGGTGAGTGTGGGTGTGTGGGTGAGTGCGGGTGAGTGCGGGGTGAGTGTGGGTGAGTGCGGGTGAGTGTGGGTGAGTGTGGGTGCGGGTGAGTGTGGGTGAGTGTGGGTGTGGGTGAGTGTGGGTGCGGGTGTGGGTGAGTGTGGGTGTGTGGGTGAGTGCGGGTGAGTGTGGGTGTGTGGGTGAGTGTGGGTGAGTGTGGGTGTGTGGGTGAGTGTGGTGCGGTGAGTGTGGGTGTGGGTGTGTGGGTGAGTGTGGGTGAGTGTGGGTGTGGGTGAGTGTGGGTGTGTGGGTGAGTGCAGGTGACTGTGGGTGAGTGCGGGTGACTGTGGGTGAATGCGGGTGAATGCGGGTGAATGTGGGTGAATGTGGGTGAGTGTGGGTGAGTGTGGGTGTGTGGGTGAGTGCAGGTGAGTGTGGGTGAATGCAGGTGAGTGTGGGTGAATGTGGGTGAGTGTGGGTGAATGTGGGTGAGTGTGGGTGTGTGGGTGAGTGCAGGTGAGTGTGGGTGAATGTGGGTGAGTGCAGGTGAGTGCGGGTGTGTGCGGGTGAGTGTGGGTGAGTGTGGGTGAGTGCAGGTGAGTGCGGGTGTGTGCGGGTGAGTGTGGGTGAGTGCGGGTGAGTGCGGGTGAGTGTGGGTGTGTGCGGGCAAGTGTGGGTGTTCACCGTTCTTTGGGGGGTTGGGGTCCCAGGCGGCCCACAACTGGACGATGAAGAAGGGGGCCCAGCACAGGGAGTAGACCACCACGATCACCAGAGTCATCCTCACGGTTTTAGACATGGCTCCGCCCACCTCCCCGGAGCGACCCGGGCCTTTAAGATGTGAGGAGAGGCCAGGGACTGCAGGGGGCGCTGTCTCATGCTCCACTGTCCACAACAACAGGCACACACACGCTTCATATTACTGTGTTTATATTAGAGACAACATCTAGTCATTATCCAGCAAATTCTCCCATCCTCTTATCTCCCAGTGTGTCAGATGCCCTCCCATCCTCTTATTTCCCTAATCGGAAACAAATAATGAGAAGGCTGAGCATTTGTGGATCATAAGTTTGGAGATTTCTGTCAAAAACTGTGGATCTCTGCTCCTGCTCCATTCGTGATTATGACATCAGATTTTATTTGTTAAAGGTTAGTCAAGCCAATCTAACTTTATCGACCACATTAAGCACAACAACCGTCAACCAAAGTGTCCAGACTGAGGTCAAGGGCCCATATTGTGCCGTTTCCTCATCACAAACAGACCTGGAGTTGTGTTTTATTTCATTCACACAAACCCTGCACACTTAGGCTGAGGCTAGCAAGCAGTGCGTTCTGGAAAAGTCCAGAACAGCTGTACGGCAAAAGGCAGCAAAAAGAGTGGGTCAGTTGTTTGTTTCAACACACGTCAAAGAACAGAAAACATGAGAAGAAAGGTGGATGGGAAAAGGTTCAGGACAAAAAAGCTAAGTCACATCAAAATGAACTGATTTGGGGGTTTTGTTACTAAACAATCAGAAGTAGTTTATCTTTGTGCATTTTCTTCAATTATTTCATTATTGAAGAACTGAACTGAAAAACTTCACACACCTTCACTGGAATTATTTGGGTCATTTGCCAGTTACGACTGAACAAAGGGTAAAAGGAGGTGTTCACATGAAAACACTACACCAGGGTCTTCAACTGTTTTCATCCAGTGAGCTACTTTTACAAAACGAAAATCCCACAGAGCTACTAGTTTTAGCGGTCACAAGAAATAAAAGAGTCAATATAAAAGCCACAGCCTTAGATGAGGTACAGTCAGATGCCTATAAAACATAAACCATTATCCCCAGTAGTTTACAAAGTCAGGCATAAAATGATACATGTATAATGGTACTAGACATTAATTAATCAAATTTGGCCTATTCAGCACAATACATCTATTTCAGAAATCCCTTGACGAGCTGCTTGGGAGGGGGTGGAGAGCTACACACTACACTACACACTACATGACATCACAAGGTGGAAGAGAGTATTCTGAGCAGAGCAAGGCAGAGGGTGTAGGGCACAGGTAACCAGCGGAGGCACTGGGGAATAGTGGACATTGTTACTAACTTCGTATGCGTACCATGAAGTGCTGTGCTGTGGTCATACTGTGTGTCCAGAGGAAGGCAGTGACCGGAGCTCTGCCCAGGATCGAGCCCCGAGCCTGGGATGAAGAGGGTCACACTGGGCCTCCCTCTGCCCCCTGCTACTACTGCTGCCCTCTGCTGGCTCTCACACCTCACTGCAGTGACAGAGGCAGACTGTAGGTGGCGCCCTGACCTCAGATACAGACTGCTGTGGATCTCTCTGAAGATTCGGATCTGAACTCAACACAAGAAACACAGTTCACACTTTGTTCAATATATTAGGTCATAGTTTCAAATTAAACGGATCACAATTCTATTGCGTTTTTTCTTATAAATATCTATTAGATATTATGCAGTTTATTATCCCTCTGTATTTATCAAACACACAACTGTGTCTCCATAGAAAAGTTGCTTTGTACAGAATATTCCAACCATGACCATGGGATATCTTGAAATTCAACATAGTACAAGGGTAAAGGAGGATGGGAGGGCATCTGACACACAGAGGTACAGGGGGATGGGAGGGCATCTGACACACAGAGGTACAGGGGGATGGGAGGGCATCTGACACACAGAGGTGCAGGGGGATGGGAGGGCATCTGACACACAGAGGTGCAGGGGGATGGGAGGGCATCTGACACACCTGGCAGACAGTGATGATGAGCACTGGCAGTATAAACACAGCGAGGGTCATCCACGTGACGTAGGCTTTAAGACCCCAGGACGGAGCAAAGTGTCCCCAGCACTCAAACTCTCCAGGGGCCACCTCCGACCGAGAGAAGATGAACACCTGAGACACACACGTGTATGAACACATGAGACACACACAGGTGTATGAACACATGAGACACAGACATGTATGAACACATGAGACACACACAGGTGTATGAACACATGAGACACACACGTGTATGAACACATGAGACACACACGTGTATGAACATATGAGACACACACAGGTGTATGAACACATGAGACACACACGTGTATGAACACCTGAGACACACACGTGTATGAACACATGAGACACACACAGGTGAATGAACACATGAGACACACACAGGTGAATGAACACATGAGACACACACAGGTGAATGAACACATGAGACACACACAGGTGAATGAACACATGAGACACACACATGTATGAACACATGAGATACACACAGGTGTATGAACACATGAGATACACACAGGTGTATGAACACATGAGACACACACGTGTATGAACACATGAGACACACACGTGTATGAACACATGAGACACACACACGTGTATGAGCACCTGAGACACACACGTGTATGAACACATGAGACACAGACATGTATGAACACATGAGACACACACAGGTGAATGAACACATGAGACACACACAGGTGTATGAACACATGAGACACACACAGGTGAATGAACACATGAGACACACACATGTATGAACACATGAGACACACACAGGTGTATAAACACATGAGACACACACAGGTGTATGAACACATGAGATACACACAGGTGTATGAACACATGAGACACACACGTGTATGAACACATGAGACACACACGTGTATGAACACATGAGACACACACACGTGTATGAACACCTGAGACACAGACATGTATGAACACATGAGACACACACAGGTGAATGAACACATGAGACACACACACAGGTGAATGAACACATGAGACACACACAGGTGTATGAACACATGAGACACACACAGGTGAATGAACACATGAGACACACACATGTATGAACACATGAGACACACACAGGTGTATGAACACATGAGACACACACAGGTGTATGAACACATGAGATACACACAGGTGTATGAACACATGAGACACACACAGGTGAATGAACACATGAGACACACACGTGTATGAACACATGAGACACACACAGGTGTATGAACACATGAGACACACACAGGTGTATGAACACATGAGACACACAGGTTTATGAACACATGAGACACACACGTGTATGAACACATGAGACACACACAGGTGTATGAACACATGAGACACACACAGGTGTATGAACACATGAGACACACACAGGTGTATGAACACATGAGACACAGACATGTATGAACACATGAGACACACACAGGTGTATGAACACCTGAGACACACACGTGTATGAACACATGAGACACACACACGTGTATGAACATATGAGACACACACAGGTGTATGAACACATGAGACACAGACATGTATGAACACATGAGACACACACGTGTATGAACACATGAGACACACACGTGTATGAACACCTGAGACACACACGTGTATGAACACATGAGACACAGACATGTATGAACACATGAGACACACACAGGTGAATGAACACATGAGACACACACAGGTGAATGAACACATGAGACACACACATGTATGAACACATGAGATACACACAGGTGTATGAACACATGAGACACACAGGTGTATGAACACATGAGACACACACGTGTATGAACACATGAGACACACACGTGTATGAACACATGAGACACACACGTGTATGAACACATGAGACACACACAGGTGTTGAACACATGAGACACACAACAGGTGAATGAACACATGAGACACACACAGGTGTATGAACACATGAGGCACACACAGGTGAATGAACACATGAGACACACACATGTATGAACCCATGAGACACACACAGGTGTATGAACACATGAGACACACACAGGTGTATGAACACATGAGATACACACAGGTGTATGAACACATGAGACACACATGTGTATGAACACATGAGACACACACACGTGTATGAACACCTGAGACACACACGTGTATGAACACATGAGACACAGACATGTATGAACACATGAGACACACACAGGTGAATGAACACATGAGACACACACAGGTGAATGAACACATGAGACACACACAGGTGTATGAACACATGAGACACACACAGGTGTATGAACACATGAGACACACACAGGTGAATGAACACATGAGACACACACATGTATGAACACATGAGACACACACAGGTGTATGAACACATGAGACACACACAGGTGTATGAACACATGAGACACACACAGGTGTAATGAACACATGAGACACACACAGGTGAATGAACACATGAGACACACACGTGTATGAACACATGAGATACACACAGGTGTATGAACACATGAGACACACACAGGTGTATGAACACATGAGACACACACAGGTGTATGAACACATGAGACACACACAGGTGTATGAACACATGAGACACACACAGGTGTATGAACACATGAGGGTCTTGAGGGGAGGTGCAGACAGAGAGATCTGTTCAGAGTTCATTAGTGTGTATCAGTGCTACATAACAACAACAGTACATAACCCTACAGTAAAGACAGTTTTTTTTAGGTGTACAAAGTTTCAGTCAGTGAAGTTACTGAAATATTTCATTGGCTTTGAAATTAGCATTTGCACAGTTCTTAAAACAGAAGTGTTGTTTGGGAAGTGCTTCATCATTTGTGTTTAATGTTGTCAGTGATGTCCACCCACAGTGCCCTGTCACTGTCGCACCTGTCACTGTCGCACCTGTCAGCATTTAGTGAAGTTCGCACGACTTCAGCAAGACCTCACTCACATTACATTATAAATGCCTACATGACCAGAGCCAACTGTGCTGGAGGCCTCTTCTAACCCGAGGGAAGAGCACAGTTCAGTGACAGAGATGCTCACACAGGCTCATGGGGACAAGTGTCACACTGTTTAGACATTCCAAATGAGACAGTGTGTGGGACCAAAACTGGCTTTAAAAGGACAGAAGACACATTTAAGTCCACTCCCCCCCGTAATCTGAGCTCTATTTTACTACAATCTGACCAAAAAGAGCTGATTTACCAGGAACTATAACAGGCGAGCTGATTTGTCAATTACAGTCACAAACTGGCCAGCATTAACCAACAGTTTTTTGTGTTGATCACACACTCCTGACAATGTGCTGAGAATGTTTAAATCCATTTTGTATTTTTTTAGACCATCTTAAAACTTTTTGGACTGTGTTTGCTAATGTGTGCACCATGTCTCCATGGTGACTGGTAAACATTCTGCTAATAGACATAAACGTAGAGCACCCCCAGCGTGAGGCCACTGCAAAGTACCCATTGGTCAGTAGAATGTGGTGCTGTCCTGTGGAACACAGCATTGGTTTTGTGTTGTCTTGTCGTACCTGAGGCACGCTGAGCAGCAGAGCCAGAGCCCAGGCCATCAGGATGAAGGAGTTCCACCTGTGCATGGCGCCGCTGCGGTGCGCCTGCAGGGGGCAGCAGATGGCGTAGTGCCTGTCCAGCGTCATGGCAACAATCATGTAGGAGGAGGCGAACATGCCCAGGACCTGCAGGTACTTCACTAGCCTGCAGAGGGCATCAGGACCCGGGAAACGACCCCGGGCATCCCACACCAGCTGGGGCAAAACCTCAGGGAGAGAGGGAGGGGCAGAGGGGGTGATGTAAGGAATTATGGGTAATATGGTGAATGGTGTTTGTTTTTTCAGCAGATGAATCACAGCTACACTCAAATCTCTGTTCTGGTGAACTAACTTGAGTCCTGCTTTAGTCCTGCTTTAGTCTTGGTTCAGACTGGGTTTAGTCCTTGGACTCTTGGTTGATCTGTGACAGAGAAATTGCATTTTGTGTGTGCTGTGCTGAGAGCACTGACTGCCAGCTCAGTCTTTGCCATCTTGGCCTAAGTCATCAGAGGTATAATACTCCCTATAACAGAAGCATAGTCAGACTGGAATGGCCAACTCTATCACAGTATCTCGAAGGTTCATATCACAGGATGCTTAGTTCTGATTTAGACCTGGTTTAGTCCTGGTTTAGTCCTGGTTTAGTTCTGGTTTAGTTCTGGTTTAGACCTTGCTTTCACTTAGTTCAGATTTTGTCGATTCCTGGTGTAGACCTAATTTTTCTTTGTTTAGATCTAGTTTAGTTTGGACCTGGTTATTCTTGGACTCTTGACCGTTGATTTCCACATTTTTTCATATTTGTCAGTTGGGCTGACAGTTCTGAACCATGGTTTTCCATATTTGTTTTGCGTTAATATAATAAAGTTGTGGTCCTGAGCGGGTTAGCCTGCAGCCAACAACCTGAGCTGTGCAATGTCAGTGTCACTGAGAGAAACGAATGAGACTTTCACTTCCTGGACCATGACCTGGACCACTGACTGCCCTTTGTCTTCAGGCTGTGGGAGATATTTAAATGACAGGTCCTGGTTCGGTCCTGGTTCAGTAATGGTTCAGTCCTGGTTTAGTCCTGGTTTAGTCCTGGTTCAGTCTTGGTTTAGTCCTGGTTCAGTCTTGGTTTAGTCCTGGTTCAGTCCTGGTTTAGTCCTGGTTCAGTCTGGTTCAGTCTTGGTTTAGTCCTGGTTCAGTCTTGGTTCAGTCCTGGTTTAGTCAGTCTGCTTAGTCTTTTTTGCTCAAATATAATTTTATCAGTTGTCACTAGGAGTGCACCAGAACTAAACCAGGACTAAACCAAGACCATACCTGTCCAACCAGAAGCACACGTTTTGACTGTATGTGGATCTGGAGTTGTGTTCTGTCTCTCTCAGTCAGAGAGATGCATGCTCGCTGTCAAAAACAAACAGTAAAGGAGGAAAAATATCACAGAGGACTGAGAAACAGCGCAGATATGTGGAGAATCAACACAAGTCAGACAAAAGAAATAGTATATTTTGTTATGAATGATACAAGAGTTTGCATTTGACAGACACGTGCTGCAAATGAGTGAGTGGAGACCATCTCAAGTTTGGACAAAGATTTTTCCCGCTCTGGTCTATTTCTAGAACTCTCTGAATTTGAACAGAATGTAGAAGTGTCTGGCTGCTCAGGCGAAACTAAACCAGGATTAAAGCAGCACTGTAAATCATCATTATTATTAAAAAAAGCCAAAACACTGTATAAATGTAGGCCTCCTGTATGTGTACCTGGAAGAGCGCCACCACCAGGTCAGCGAGGCACAGGTTGAGCATGAACTGGTGCAGAGGGCTGTGGTTGTGTCTCTGTCTGAGCAGCACCAGCAGAACCAGCCCATTTCCCATCAGAGCCAGTACCAAGATGGCCGACAGCACCACCACCTCCGCCACCGCCAGCAGAGAGTCCCGTTCCAACGCCGTGCTGTTCGGAGAGGGCGGGGTCACGGGTGCCGCCGACCAATCAGACCATGGCTGTGTCACCAAGGAAACGGACATGCTGACTGAGGAGGAGAAGTACAATAAGCATATGTAGAAAAATGATTCAAAAAGATTTCAAATGGTTCTCAACATCAGTTTGTTAAAGCAGACATTGTGTGCCTTTTGTTTTCTGCTGTATAATTATGATGACACCCGTGGATCATGTTATCATTTAGACATTTTCAATCACAGTCCAATGAGGGTCATTTAGTCTTCCAATAATAATTTATCTTATTAGGTGCTTTTTTCAGACCAGTTTGGACTGCTCCCTGAGGTCTTCCTCAGAGTCATGTGATTGCCTCTTTAATCTCAATATTAATATTAATATCTTTAATATTTAATACTTAATATTAAAGAGGCAATCGAAATAGGTCCACAAGTCTATAAACTGGGACGAGGGGCTTTTTTAGTCTCACACACCTGGGATACTGTCCTGAGGAAGTGGGACTGCAGGTGGCGCTGTCGTCCTACCGGTGGAGGCAGGTTTAAATCAGCTGAGTGACACGTCACAGCAACATCACATCACCACTCTGAGGAAGAGCACAGGGAGCAGTCCAAACTGTCAGGCATGAAAACAAACTCTTGATCTGAAAAAAGAACCTAATAACATTTTAAATCACAGTATTGATCTAAAACGACATAATAAAAGAAACATGTGTGCTGACTTCTGTGTGAAAAACTATGGTGTCCATTGGAGCTGACGTGGCCATGAACATCATGACAACAAAGCGCCACATGCTGTGGGCCCCTGCTCTGCAGAGCTGCACATCACACTAGAGCAGAACATTTTTATTTTCACTTGTATCAAAATGACGGCACAATGCTGCGGAATCCTACGTGAAGAATAAATGAGTGATTAAAGATTGTTCAAACATGCATGAAGCACTGCATTCATTATTTTGCAAAATAGATTTGCTGTAAAGATGCAGTATGTAACTTTTCTGGTTGTCTTCAGGCATCATTGTTTTGGTAGCTAAGTGGTAGTGCATTTGCCCACAAACAGCTGAGATACTATTGTTGTGTCATTGGGCAAGACACTTCTTCAGTGATACTGGTCTAATTGTGATTAATGTATGTATGGTTGAACCTATTTGAAAGTTTAATCAACAAAAACTCTCTCTATATAAGTATATATTTTCCCAACCATCAATAGGCTGTATTCACACTTACGTCACTAACCAGGAAGATGGCGTTTGGAAAGATCTGATGACAACTTCTGGTGGGCTTTGTTCTAAGAAATACCCCCATACCTCAGTTTTTATCATTTCCCCACTGACACACAACTCCGAGTGCACTGGTACATGTGATTAGAAGAGATGAGGTGCCAAATTACAGATGATTCCAAACAGCACATACGTCTGCAGTCTTCATTTTACCTCTGATCACATTTACTTGGGTTCAATCACAGTCATGTACAGTACATGGGAAGTTGTCAATGCATGTTTCCAAACATCTTCCTGGTTTATGACATAAGTGTAATTAGAGACTATACAGTTCTTCTTTATCCAGGCGGATCACAGAGGCAGTAGTCTGAGCAGAGATATCCAGACTTCCCTTTCCACACACACTTCCTCCAGCGTGAGTATAATAAAAACTAAACATGAAAGTTCCACTTTTCAATCACGACACTCAATTCAAGGAACACGTCTGTACCCAAGTGCCGTGAAGCACTGCACTACAATGCATCCCACTTCAAAGAAGTATACACAGTATCTCAGGACTATGGTTAAACTGTTATGGAATCAGATTTAAAATGACACATTTGTTGACTAAAACTAAAGTAAAGCTTTTTTGTGGCCAAACCTCCTTGTCAAAGCCTGAGCTCGTCTGATGTCTGAAGCTAAGCAAGGACTGGGTCTGGTTAGTACTTGGAGGAGACCACTGGAATACCAGGTGCCACAGTGGGGCAGCTGTGCCTTTTGGCAAGGCACTCATGTTTCCCAGTATGACTGTGGTGCGTGTGGTGTGTGGTGTGTTTGTGTGTGTGAGTGTGCGTGTGTGTGTGTGTGTGTGGGGGGGGGGGGGGGGGGGGGTGAGTGTTGGCATGTGTGTGTGTGTGTGGGTGTGAGTGTTGGTGTGTGTGTGTGTGTGTGCGTGTGCGTGTGGTGTGTGGTGCGTGTGCGTGTGAGTGTGTGTGTGTGTGTGTGCGTGTGCGTGTGTCTCTCTTTGTGGGAGCAGGGCAGTTGTGGCTGTAATTGCCGCTCACCACAGCAGAGTGTGGACTGAATGAATGATGCATGATACTGTAAAGTAAGTGGAAAACTGTTTAAGACCAGAACAGTACAACTTTAAAACTAAACCATTTGACCAATTCTTCAGTCAATGGATGAATATGACTTTATTCATCCCGAAGAGGGATTTGAAGCACTTTGAGTATAAAAACACAAGAATAAAGAGAGCTCGAGCCAAAGTCTCAGTGGAAGTCAAGAGGTCAACAGAGTCATCAACTACTGTGCAGTTTGAGGAGAGTACCAGCCCTCAGGACAAAAGTGTCCCCCCTCTGTGTTCTGGTACATCACAGCAGCCTGCAGGGGGAGCCAGTGAACTCTGGACACACAACAGAAAGCCTCTCTTTAGGCCTCTTTCTCATTCCTCCATAATATTTCATGAGACGGGTCACTTCTTAGTTGGTCACAATTTCCAAATATTAAGGTAACAATGTAAGATAAAAGTAAGATAAAAATGTAAAGTTTAAAAACACCTCAGTGTGTCAGCCAGTCAGTCACAAGAGCAGCCATCCATGACCATGGCAACCACAGAAGCTTTAAATCTTTACTAAATTTAAAAATCATTGTGCTCTAAAGAGTAAGACTAACTAAATGAAGTGATTGTCCAAAGTAACAGAGACATGTGGTGTGTAGGTGCTGTGTTCTGGTTCTGTTCTGGTGGAGTTCCGGGCTGGTCAGGGGAGGTCCACTGCTTGCTTACCCGTCGGTGTGAAGTGTTTGGGGCCAAAGCGTCACAGCTTTGACCCCACACAGATCTGGATAAACTGGAGCTTGTGTCTGTTTGCTCATGTGTGAAACAGTGTAAACATGCAGAACCTTTCAGCGCTGTACAAAGAGACACTAGCATGTAAACCGGCTAACTCCAGCTGAGAGAGAGTCTGTGTGCTCCACACAGACGACTGCAGCTTGACAGCGCTGGATCAATGCTTATGTGGAGTTCTGATGTGAACATAAAGGTTGCAGTTTTTGAAGAACCATCATTTCCTCCACAAACAATAGAATCTTCTGTCGCCGTCTGCATTCACTTTAGATCTGTCCAAATGTTCTGAAATGTGATTCTTGTATCCGTTTGTCACTTCAGATTTCAGTCTTTTACTTGTTTGAAATGTGAACTTTGAACAGAATCAGATTATTTAAAGGGCCTCTACAACTATCTGTGTGTTCTGAGTAGAGATGCGCGGATTGCGGTTACAACCGCGGTATCCGCGGTTAATCTGCAGGTCGGGCGGATGACGTGACGAAAAATTATATTTTAATTAAATTCGGGCGGGTGGCGGTTTAACTACTAAAAAAAAAAAAAAAAAAAAAAAAAAAAAAAAAAAATTATTGTTAGTGTTGTTACGTACATGTGAAAAGACGAGTGTCATTGTCTATGTTTGTAGTATGAAGTGTACGTCATGTCCTTAATTAGCCCATTTGACCTGTTTTTATGTTCTGAAGGTTCAGGTTGTGTCGGGTTATTGATGCCTAAGGTTTACGAGGCACATATTATATGCAGTTGATTTTATTATTTCTAATTTATTTCAGCTGTTTGCCAACACATAAGTGGCTATAGGGACATATTTATTTAGTTATGCATATGTTTTCTTGTCTATTTCACTTGGAATATAAAGAGGGCATTGCCTGATTTCAATAAAGGTTCATCTGGATGAGATGATCTGTCTATTTTGTTTCGATATCAGTTATATTTTAAAACACGCAGACATTATAGCGTAGACTGACACTCAGGGTTTTTAAAACTTAAAGACAGACCGATGGAGTGAGGCTATGACTTTGAAATAACATCGGGCAATGGCAGAATGTTCAGAATGTAACAACATCCAACACGAAGGCAAGAAGGTTCAAAAACAGCCTAGTTGGAAAACGTTGTCAGTTAATTAGCTGCGCAAGAAAACCAGGTAAGTTTGGAGTTGTTACGGACAATTAAGAATGTGAACATACACGCTGAGCCAATTTTGGAATGAATGAGCTGTAGAGTTTGCATTTTTATCGAGGCTCCTTAGTTTGTTTGCTGTATGATTGTTCTAAAATCTAAAATCAGTCGGCGGATGGTGGGCAGGTGCGGTTTTGAAAACCTTCGGTGCAAAATGGACAGCGGGCGGATGATGAGTTTTGTGTCGCGGTTGCAGATGAAAAAATAGCCCATCCGCGCATCTCTAGTTCTGATGTTATTTCCTCACCACACACAGACCTGCAGTTGTGTTTTGTTTCATTCACACATGTTTAACACACAAACCTGCACATTTGGACAGAGTTCTTCTCTCAAACAGAAAACACTCTGTTCCACCTTGTCATGTCTTTCAGGGGTAATATAGGAAGTGCTCCACTGTGTTTTTAAACTCTATACACCTTCACTAGAATTGGAATGCCTTAATACTGAAGCTAGAACTATTGTTTTAGTCTCACTGAAACTTCTCTGTGCACAAAGGAAATGTAAAAGAAAAATGTGTTTTAAAAGAACAACTTATATGACATTATTCGATTGTAGAATAAATCCTTTCAAGTCAGGCTAAAAACAGTTTTAAAGTTGAAAACTACCACTTCATGACATCACAAGGTGGAACAGAGCATTTTCAGGTTTGGAGATGTAAGCAGACTAATAATAAAGGATTACTCAGACAGCTCTGTTTATCAGGAAGTAACAACATTATAATATGGCTTAAAGCTCCAAAGTTGATTTTGTGTAATGTAGAACCTTTAACAAAAAAATAAATAAAACTATTATTATTATTATTATTTATTTATTTATTTATTTATTTATTTTTACTTTTGAATTGGATAAAGTCCTCAACAACAAGAAAGTGAAAGCCATGAATTGTGTTATGTAATGTTATGGGAGAAACCTAACATAAGCAAAACACTCTGTCCGGTCTAGGGATAGAACCAGGGATCTTCTTACTGTAAGGTGATAGTATTGAAACTAGACACTCATTTTTGTTGATACTAAAAAGGTTCCACTGACAGAACGGAAATGTCCCTTTCCTGAATGTCTTTAGAATGATGCTGAGTTGAATCAGAACAAGTAGAAGACACATAGACTAATATACACACACGGACCAACATGAACCTACTGCACACTGACCACTACACACATATAACACACACGGACCAACATGAACCTACTGCACACTGACCACTACACACATATAACACACATGGACCAACATGAACCTACTGCACACTGACCACTACACACATATAACACACATGGACCAACATGAACCTACTGCACACTGACCACACACATACACACATATGAACACACACTGACCACTACACACATATAACACACATGGACCAACATGAACCTACTGCACACTGACCACTACACACATATAACACACATGGACCAACATGAACCTACTGCACACTGACCACTACACACACATATAACACACATGGACCAACATGAACCTACTGCACACTGACACATACACACATATAACACACACGGACCAACATGAACCTACTGCACACTGACCACTACACACATATAACACACATGGACCAACATGAACCTACTGCACACTGACCACTACACACATATAACACACACGGACCTAACATGAACCTACTGCACACTGACCACTACACACATATAACACACACGGACCAACATGAACCTACTGCACACTGACCACTACACACATATAACACACACTGACCACTACACACATATAACACACATGGACCAACATGAACCTACTGCACACTGACCACTACACACATATAACACACATGGACCAACATGAACCTACTGCACACTGACCACTACACACATATAACACACATGGACCAACATGAACCTACTGCACACTGACCACTACACACATATAACACACATGGACCAACATGAACCTACTGCACACTGACCACTACACACATATAACACACATGGACCAACATGAACCTACTGCACACTGACCACTACACACATATAACACACATGGACCAACATGAACCTACTGCACACTGACCATTACACAGAAAAGAAAGTTCTACCAGTGAATGATGAAAATCACATTCTATACAACAATAACTGGAGGGTTACAATTTCAGGGTGAAATATTTCAGTTGTTTTTAACACAAAAAGTGTTATTTTAACTATTTCAAAGTTAATTGGGGGTTGGAGTTGGAGGTACTTGCCAGAGTTGATACAGTTGAAGTTAATTCAACTTCCCTTAGTGTTAATTTGGCTCCTCCCACTCACCACTTCAAACTCCCGTGAGAGAAGACCAGTTTGAACCAGTTTTTTACATAATTTCATCTTAAATTAACTAAAATAAAGTGTAAAAATAAAACACCTCTGTGTGTTGTTTAGCTAAATCAGGATAACTCTACAAAGTGTTATCTGTTCACTCTCAAAATGTTCATATAACTCTGGATTTTGGGGTTAAACAGGAACTTTGGTCCAGTGTTACTTAATGAACATTTACACAAATGTTAAATTAACTCTAGAACAGATTGGACTCATATAAACACAGAGAAAATGTTCAACTTTTGGTTGTATCTTGTCTAAAGAAAGAGAGTTTTTAAAATGATCATTGTGGCATCAGAATCAATACTGCGTACTGAGTGAAATTTGAGTATCATGACAGTACCAGGACTAATTCAAGTGACATTACAAAATACATACAAAATAAATTTTCATACAGAGTATTTTGACACTAGGAAGGAGAGAAGACTTCATTCGTCCAAATACTGGCCTCAGACGACCTTAAAATAAGTCATTAACCTGATCTCATCTCCAACGCGACCCCTCTCTCCTCATGCGGAAGACTTAATCCTTTTTGAAAACAAAATCATCCTGGTCCAGTTCAGATTTAGTCCTGGCTCAGTCCTGGTTTAGTCCTGATTTAGTCCTAGTTTAGTCCTGGTTTAGTTCTGCTTCAGTCCTTAGTTCAATTCTGGTTCAGTTCTTAGTTCAGTCCTGGTTTAGTCCTGGTTTAGTCCTTGGTTTAGTCCTGGTTTAGGCCTGGTTCAGTGCTAGTTTAGTCCTGGTTTAGTCCTGGTTTAGTTCCTGGTTTAGTCCTGGTTTAGTCCCTGGTTTAGTCCCTGGTTTAGTCCTGGTTTAGTCCCTGGTTTAGTCCTGGTTTATTCCCTGGTTTAATCCCAGTTTAGTCCTGGTTCAATCCTTAGTTCAGTCCTGGTTCAGTTCTTAGTTCAGTCCTGTTTTAGTCCTGGTTTAGTCCCTGGTTTAGTCCTTCATTCAGTCCTGGTTTAGTCCTTCATTCAGTCCTGGTTTAGTCCTAGTTTAATTCTAGTTTAGTCCTGGTTTAGCCCTGGTTTAGACCTAGTTTAGTCCTGTTTCAGTCCTGGTTCAGTCTGTGGTATTTCCAGCTCCTGCTCTCAGCGTGAACACACTCCTGCAGCTCCATCAGCGTCAGCCTGAGCCCAGATTTAGCGAAACGTTTACTTTATGGAAATCAATTACGTCAACATTTGCAAAGGAGCCCGGGCGCCGCTCTACCTCCGTCAACCGTGCACGCTCTTCATCCTTATCACCGTCAGCATGGGATCGGCTCCATAAACGTGTCATGTTAATCTTACGGCTTTAAAGTCCTTTCAACTGACCACTGCCACGTCTTTGGGCTCCAACCGCGGCACCGCTTTCTCAAGAGATTTGTTTTATCTGCTCTGACGTTGAACCTTCACGGGAAGAGGCCGGGGAACAGAAATGAACCATAAATCAGGGTCGACAAATCTGCAATCTGAATTCCAGCAGCTCAGGTTCAGCTCGAGGCAGAAGTAGAAGTAGAAGATGTGAAAAGTGATGTAGTTTTTGGTGATCTTACCGGGGTTGTCTTCTCCGTCAGCGCTCCATCAGGAATCTGCAGAGACAACTTGGTTTTCTGTTGTGAACTCCAATCATGTCCATGCTGCAAGTGCGAGAGAGAGAGAAACAGAGAGAGTGGTGAGAGAGGAGAGAGGGAGGAGAGAGAAGGGGAGGGATGAATGGGAGACGTGCAGAGGGAGAAGGAGAGGAAAGATCAATAGAGAGACAGAGGGACAAAAGGGAGAGAGGAGGAGAAAAAACAGAAAGGGGAGACAGAAAAACAGTGTCTCTTTCTTTCTCGTGTCCCTCTCTGTCCTCCTTCGCTCTCTTTCTCACTATCTTTCACTCCATCATCCCATGCTCCCTCTCTCTCTCTCTCTCTCCTCAGTCGACTTCGAGGAGGAGAGAGAGAGAGAGAGAAAGGAGGGAGCAGAGAGGGAGGGATGGAAAAGAAGAGAGACAAAGTAAAGACATGTTTTCCCCTTGCTCTCTTCCTCCCTCTCTCATCTCTCTTTCTCTCCTCTCTTCCTCCCTGATTGAATCCTGGTTTAGTCCTTGGTTTAGTCCTGGTTTAGTCCTGGATTAGTCTTGGTTTAGATCTGTTTTAGACCTGGTTTAGTCCTGATTGAGTCCTGGTTCAGCCCTGGTTTAGTAACTGGTTTAATCCTGGATTAGTTCTCGTTTAGACCTGATTGAATCCTGGTTTAGACCTGGTTCAGTCCTGGTTCAGTCCTGGTTTAGTCCTTTTTCAGTCCTGGTTTAGTCCTGGTTCAGTCCTGGGTTAGTCCTGGTTTAGTCCTGGTTTAGTCCTGGTTTTTAGTCCTGGTTTAGTCCTGTTTCAGTCCTGGTTTAGTCCTGGTTCCTGAGTCCTGGTTTAGTCCTGGTTTAGTCCTGGTTTAGTCCTGGTTTAGTCCTGGTTTAGTCCTGGTTTAGTCCTCTCTCTCCCTCTCTCTTTGATTTCAAATCTGTTCAGAAACACCGAGTACCTTTAGTCGTTTCATTCATGTTTGTCCACAGTGGTGAAAACTCTTCACTCCTGACACACACCAGTCCAGACTCTCTGTGTGAACAAAAACAGAGGCTCAAACCAAAAAACTCTTCAGTCATAAATGAGAAATAAATATGCTAAAGGGATCCACTGTATTGTCAACTTATATTAAACAAGTACAGTAATCCTGTATTGTCCTGCATTAAAGGACTTCTCTTGTGTTCTTTTCTGTTCTCTCTGTACAAGCAGCAAAGAACAATCCAAAAAAAAACCATCAAAATAGCAAACAGAAAGCCAATTAATTATAATAAATAAATAAAAAGAAATAGAATAAAAAGAAATAAGGTATAAAATCAAGCTAAAATCGATAAAAATGAGTTTTAAGAAGTGATTTAAAAGATGATGAAAGATGATGTTTTTTCTCCTCAGGCAGCTCCTTCCAAAGCCGAGGCACAGGGACTGAAAAGACTCCATCATCTTCACCTGGAGCCTGGACTTTGGCACAGCCACAGGGACCTGCCTGAGGATCTACGGCTCATATGGGGTTAAAAGTTCTGAACTGTAACTTGGTGCAAAACCTAAACAAGCTTTCAAAGTGATCAGTAAAATCTTAAAATCAATTTTAAAACACAAGCAGCCACTGAAGGAAACTATGGCCAGTGGTCCCATTTTTAGACAGAGCGTTTCCTCCCTCATGGCGCTCAAAGCTCTTTACATCAAGGAACCACTCACCCATTCACACACACACTCACACACCAGTGTTCACAGACACTGGGGGCGAGGGGGGTAAAGTGTTTTGCCCAAGGACACAATAACAGCATTCATCTGTGGGAGCTGGAATCAATCCAGCCAACCTTTGGACCTGACCATTCAACCCATGATAATGACGTCAAGAGCGGGATTTGAACCGCCAACCTTCTGGTCAGTGGGTAAACGCTCTACTGATACTGTTTTAATGTTGTTTCCATGACAAAAATACATATAGTCGTATTTTGTTGTTCTGTTAAATCCTGCAGATTTACACTGAGCTCTTCTAAAACTAAAAACACTCCACTTCCACCTTGTGATGTCATGTGGTAATACAGGAAGTGCTCCACTTTAAATTCCATACATCTTAAGCCCCTCCCCCTCTGTCCTGGATCCACACAGACTAGTGGTCGCTCCAGGTTCTGCAGGCTTCAGCCAGAAAGGTTCTCAGATTTTTGTAGGATTCTTCTATTTTTCAACATCCTCACAAAAACTTTTTAAATTTTAAATAAAAATCCTCAAAGCACCTAAAAGTGATCTTTGTAAAACTGAGCCTCGCCTCACTCTGAGGCCGCGCTCGCTCCGCTCTAACAGCTCTCACTCTGATTGGTCCAGTTCATTCTACGATCTTCACTAGAATTATATGGATAATTTCAGCCCTGAAATTGCCAATCTCTACTGAATTTAATTAAATGTAAAAGGGGTTGTAGTATGTAATAATAAAGTAACTGAAGCATGTGTAAATGAAACAAAACACAACCGTGCATTTACCGTGCACTTACAAGAGTGCATTTAGTATAATATAGCTCCTTTAAAGGGTTGTCAATATTTATCATAGTTTTCTATCAGTCCTTTGAAAATTTGTGAAGACATTTAGAAAATAGGAAGTTGTAAAATACAGGAAGTAGAGGTGAGTTCTAAAACAGAATCCCTCTGCCTATGTCATCAACATGGAAAACTCCAGAGACAATTTACACACAGTTTAAACCTACATTGAACTAAATACAAGTGTTGTCAATTTTGTTTTAATCTAAACAGAACTATTGTGTAATTTTGACAAGTTTTGGCCCTTGTTTACATTACGGTTGCTAGGTAACAGTTATATAATATCTGAGGTCAACCAAGAAGTGAAATTGTCACCAAAATGACAAAACTAGAATAAATGAATCAAGATTTTTAGTAAAGTCTTAAACATAACAACATTAACTATGTTTTGATGAAATGAGTAGTTGAACCTGTCATATGCACTTTAAGACTTGAATGCTCAGAAAATGTTTACCTACCCCCTATCCCTGCCCACTCTTCTGAACTTACTTGTATTCTTGTATTCTTCTTGTGTCAGTCTAGGTCATGGATGCAGGGTTCAAAAGTGCCTCACAGCCACTTCCAAAATAAAAGCATGTGCATGAAAACCTGCAAAGCCACTAAAGAGGCGCGGCCAGCAGTGTCACTTCTGCAATTTTGAACAGGAAGTCAAAGATCCTGTTTCTATTATTAGTGTGGTTTATATCAATATTGTGGCTTACAAAATATGAAAAAATCTTCTGTGTTTGTGATCGTTAATTTATAAATAAATACCAAACAAAAATAATGATCTCTTTAAAGTGGAACTAAACACTAACTTCCACTTTTTTTTAAAATTGTGTGTATTAAACAAAAAACAAACAAACTAAGAAAAAAAGTAAATCTAAGTGTGTGCTGCCTCCAGTGGCCTCTGTGACTTTAAGTACTAGATGACATCGCACAGCACTGCCCTGAGCACAGACAGGTGTTTCTGATACACACATCTGTCTGCAGGGGCAGCGTTTGAAGTGTTAGACCAATCAAACTGTTCCTTATACCTCCAGACTCCGTCCCTCCTCGTCCCTCACACTCCCCTTTAGTCCTCCAGACCCCTCCTCCCCGTTACACTCTCCTTTAGTCCTGCGGACACCTCACTCTTCCCTTTAGTTCTCCAGACCCCTCCTGACCCCTCACTCTCCCCTTTGGTCCTCCAGACCCCCCCACTCTTCCATTTAGTCCTCCAGACCCCCCTCACTCTCCCCTTTAGTCCTCCAGACCCCCCTCACTCTCCCCTTTAGTCCTCCAGACCCCTCATTCTCCCCTTTGGTCCTCCAGACCCCCCCCCCACTCTTCCCTTTAGTCCTCCAGACCCCTCCTCTCCCCTCACTCTCCCCTTTATTCCTCCAGACCCCTGACTCTCCCCTTTAGTCCTCCAGACCCCTTCTCTCCCCTCACTCTCCCCTTTGTTCCTCCAGACCCCTCCTCCCCCCTCACTCTCCCCTTTATTCCTCCAGACCTCTCCCCCTTCCCTTTAGTCTTCCAAACCCCTCCTCCCACTCTCCCCTTTGGTCCTGCAGACATCTTCAGCAGACTAGTGAGAATGACAATACAGGTTGAATTCCCTGTCGTTCTCTCCTCTTTCACTTTCTTTCTAACTCTACCCTTACTCTTTATCTCTTTGCCCTCTCTCTCCTTTCCCCTTTTCTCCCTCTCTCTTTTATACCTCCTGTCTCTCCTCCTTCACTCCCCCTTTCTCTTTCTCTGACAGTAATCTCTCGGCTTCCTCCCTCCTTTCCCTCTTTCTCCCCATCTCCTTATCTCCTTCCCTTCCTTTCTCCCTCTCTTCCCTCGCTTCATTACTGTATCTCTTCTCTCTTTCGACCCCATCACCTCTCCCTCTCTTTTCCCTCTCTGACAGTAATCTCTTTGCTTCCTCTCGATTGAATCCTCTCATTATCGGGAGGCCCACTGTGAGACCTTCAGCACATGGACTAAACTGAACCAGGACCAAACCAGGACTGAACCAGGATTGAATCAGGACAGAACCAGGACCAAACCAGGATGGAACCGGGACTGAACCAGGACTGAACCAGAACTGAACCAGGACTGAACCAGGACTGAACCAGGACTGAACCAGAACTGAACCAGAACTGAACCAGGACTGAACCAGGACGGAACCAGGACTGGAACCAGGACTGAACCAGGACTGAACCAGGACCAGGACTAAACCAGGACGGAACCAGGACTGAAGGAGGATGGAACCAAGACGGAGCCAGGATTAAAACAGGACTGAATCAGGACTGAAACATGATGAAACATGAGGACATCGCTAACGCTGTAGCTGAAGCGTTTCAAATAAAAAGGTCTCATGTGGCTCCTCCGGCTCCTTCTGACTCTGGCTCCCATTGACTTCCATTAGAATACTGTGGCTCCTCTCTCTGTACCTGCTGCTGTGAGCTTTGTCATTGTGGTATTAAAATGTTCGTATTAACCCGCTCTACATGGTCCTGGAGTTTTTAGTTTTGCTCTTTTGCCTGTTAAAAATATTGTGTTCTGTAACTGTGAGCATTGTGAGCTTCGTCTGAGTGGAGCTGAACTCTGTGGTGACGTCACGTTCACTGAGTCCATTTCTTAGTCCACTGCAACAGTTTACTGCAGCAAAACTTGACTTTCCCTCGGGATCAATAAAGCCTCTGTCTTTCTTCTCTTTCTTGGCACAGTCTACGGGCTGAACCTGACACACTTAAAGCTCCTAAACCAAATCAAATGGATTCTTGTGCCCTTTAAGTGTCTTACAAAGTCGTTGCTTCATCTGAAACTTGTCTGGAGGTCACACATTTCAGTATTTCTGTTTTTATCTTTTATGTCTGTCTCTAGAGATGTGACCATATTAAACTCTCTCCAAATGATATTTTCATGACAGGCATTTCACGGTACGATATTTACTGCAGTAATTTGTGGAGGCAAACAAGATTATAAATATGCTACTTTTTACTTTGTCATGGTAGTTTTTCACGAGAACCTTTGACCTTTAGTTCAGTAGAGAGCAGCATTTCTACAACTGAAATCATTCAAATGATTCTAGTGAGGAAGTATGAAGCACCACATGACATCACAAGGGGGAACAGAGTGTTTCTGCAGGGACAGGTGATGGGAGGAGGGACAGGTGAGGACAGGTGAGGGAGGAGGGACAGGTGAGGGGAGGAGGAGGTGAGGACAGGTGAGGGGAGGACAGGTGAGGGGAGGGGAGGGGGACAGGGAGGAGGGACAGGTGAGGGGAGGAGGACAGGTGAGGGGAGGAGGACAGGTGAGGGGAGGAGGGACAGGTGAGGGACAGGTGAGGGGAGGAGGGACAGGTGAGGGAGGAGGAAGGAGGGGAGGAAGGACAGGAGGGGAGAAGGGGTGAGGGGAGGACAGGTGAGGACAGGAGGAGGAGGGACAGGTGAGGGGAGGAGGACAGGTGAGGACAGGTGAGGAGGACAGGTGAGGGGTGAGGGGAGGAAGGACAGGTGAGGGGAGGAGAGACAGGTGAGGACAGGTGAGGGGAGGAGGGACAGGTGAGGGGAGGAAGACAGGTGAGGACAGGTGAGGGGAGGAGGACAGTGAGGGGAGGAGAGAGGGTGAGGACAGGTGAGGGGAGGGACAGGTGAGGGGAGGAGGGACAGGTGAGGACAGGTGAGGGGAGGAGGGACAGGTGAGGACAGGTGAGGGGAGGAGGGACAGGTGAGGGGAGGAGGGACAGGTGAGGACAGGTGAGGGGAGGAGGGACAGGTGAGGGGAGGACAGGAGGACAGGTGAGGGGAGGAGGTGAGGGGAGGAGAGACGGGTGAGGTGAGGGGAGGACAGGTGAGGGGAGGAGGGACAGGTGAGACAGGTGAGGGAGGAGGGACAGGTGAGGACAGTGAGGAGGAGGACAGGTGAGGGAGGAGGGACAGGTGAGGACAGGTGAGGGCAGGAGGGACAGGTGAGGACAGGTGAGGACAGGTGAGGATGGTGGAAGAAGAAATCTATTTTGAATTTTTGAGCCAAAGAAACTGCTGTAATGACTAAATGCTAGATGGATATGTTTAAAGTCATGCCATGGAACATTCCGGGCAGAGAAATAACATCTCCATGGAGACTAGCAGGTATAGGACCTATTGCCAGAAAAGTTGTGTAGTGCAGCTCTAAGTAAAGAGTACAGAGTAGAAAGTACAGATACCTGCCCCCAAATGTAGTGAAGTAAAAGTAAAAAATATCCTCTTTAGGATGTATTAAATAAAGTACAGATACCTAAAATGTATACTTAAGTGCAATACTCTACTACTCTTACTTTGTTACATTCCACCGCTGATGAGAATAAATAAATTGTGTGGTTAGGATTGCAAATTTGGCACCACAATTTTGTATTTACTCGCCAAAACTTCACCTGTAAATGTATGGGGGGATTACAAGATCATTTTCCTTGTGAGAAATTTGGTCTCACAAGATCTTGTTTCCATCCCGAGGAATACATGTTCTAATCAATATCCTGCTCATAATATTCTGCAGTATACACACAATACACACAATACACACTATATACACAATACACACTATATACACAATACACACAATACAAACAATACAAACAATATACACAATACACACATTTTAAACATCAAAAGAGTGAATATGTCAAATGTATTGCATGAAGAAGTTTCCATTCTCTAAGTACACAAGCAATAAAACTGTAGCACTGTCACAAACTCATTTTGTCAAATATTCCCAAAGTACTGTGGCGATATTAGGGATGGGCATTTGATGAAATTTTCTTAATCGATCGTCGGGAGAATTAACGATCGATTATCGATGAATCATTAACATTTTTATATTAAAATGATCATCATTATTATTACTATCTGCACTACTAATTTGCATAAATAAATTCAACTTTACGACATATAAACCGTGACCACTCTAGAGCCACATCAGCCCGTTTGACATTATAATGTGTTTAATTCAGTTTTGTTCAACTCTCACAGAAACAAAACTTAAAACTGCATCGCTAATTTGCATTTGCAAGATAAAACTCCAGCTCTTGTGTCGCTGATGTGGTTCAACTTCTGTCGGATTAAAAGACATGACTCAGGTGAATACAGGTTAGTGTGACCAGATTTGCATTTGTCAAAACCAGGACACCGTACGGGGGGAGGGAGGTGGGGACTCGTCATCGACATTGAGTGACTCTCACCTGGCAAAACTTTTTCCCACTGGACACAGAAACATATGTGCTGCTTTATACACTGTGCACATGGACTCACACTTGTCTCGAATGCAACGGAAAGTGTGGATTTTCTTGTACAAGTCATTGTACAAGGTCAAAGACACATTTGTGCTTCGGTACGTTGCAGACTGACCGACTTTCTGTGTTTGCTCGCTCCTTCTGAGTGCAGAGAGACTCATGTACGGACCCCTGTTTGGTCACGCTACACACAGCAACCTACATTCGGTTTGTCGATTAAAATTTACGTAATCGATGAAATTCTTAATGATCAATTATCGATTAATCGATTAATCATGCCCATCCCTAGGCGATAAATTGATATAGTCATTTGTAATATCAGTATTGTATCACCAAATCACCCAAAGCTGCTCACCCTGTCGTTCAGAGCTCTACAAACAAGTTCTGAAATACAAAAAACTCTTGCATCAGTTTAACAGTTCAGATTTCACTCTTCTCTGTGTTAAAACTGCAAATCTAATAAGAACAATGTAGAGCTGTAAGATTAGATGTAAGATCAATGTTGTGGTAGTCAGCCAAAAATGTCTTTAGTCGACTACAGCTAGACAAAAAATAATACAAAGTCAAAGTAATATTGTAACTGATGCTGTGAAGGAAAAAGAACACGAATATGTATTATTTAGGACAGGCACGTCCAAACTATGGCCAATATTAAAATACTTTATATGTTCTTTTGAAGATCAATAACCAAATACTGATGGCTCACACAAACCCATTCAACATGCACATATTTCAATTACTCACTGTACAGAGCACCAGTTTGTGGCCCTCGATCTGCCTCTGCCTCATCCAGGTTTTGATATGTGGCCCTTGAGTGTGGCCCTTGATTGTGGCCCTTGAGTGTGGCCCTTGAGTGTGGCCCTTGAGTGTGGCCCTTGAGTGTGGCCCTTGAGTGTGGACTCCTCTGACTTAGTGCATATTCCCCTTCTGCATTCAAGCAAATCAGTGTCAGTGATGTTTAGCAATTTTCAAATGCTTAAAAATGAACAAAAACTTAATTAGAAAAATAAATAAATAATAAATAAAATTTTCTGCATTTAAAACCAGGGATGTCTTATTAAACATATCATTCAGTGAAGAGGATGTATTGTTAAAATGTATTTACATTTAAAATAACTTATATTACAAAAAATTATGAAAAACACAAGCTGAGATCTACAAATACAAAACAGACCAGACCATCAAAAAGTTATTTTTATATATATATATATATATATATATATATATATATATATTTTTTTTTTTTTTTCTTAAAGTTTTAAAGAATTTCACAATTTGCTCTAACACTGTGTTAACCCATATGGAAAAAAAAAAAAACTGGGAAAAAAATGTAAGAATTGACCAGTGTCTTTGTAGTAAATCTTTATATAAGGTTTATATATGTGTCATGTGTGGTTTACTCCTGGAAGTCGCTCCTTTTGCATTTTTCTTATACAACTATATTATGAAAAATTAGTAAAGATAAAGTGAACATTTTGCATGACATTTACAGGTAATGTTCATGATCAACTACATTTTCTGTGTATGTTCCATGTAATGTTTGTATTCTTTAATTATATGTTGCAGAAAAAACAATCAGAGTCTAAAAGGGGATTTGAACCCAGGTCTCCCATGTGGAAGTCCAGTGATTTACCAATTGAGCGAACCAACTACTGATTATAAAGGGAACAACAGCAGATATTGAGGACAAGTACAAGTAACTTGTCACCCCCCCCCTCAAAACAAACTTTTCCTGACACATTTTCGCAGTAATATCAGCTGCAGACATCTGACGTGTTATTCAGTGACGGTTCAACTGAAATACAAAAATGGCTTTTCTTTCTTGGCTTGATAAAAAACTCCAAATCACACTAACAACATCTATCTAACTAACTACTAATATACTTACTGTCCAATTGCATTTTGAATAATTATTAAGGAATCTACAAAACCTAATTTCCTTTATTTGTGTGATTATTTTACATTTAAAATGAAAATAATTACTGTAACATAGTAGCAAATATAGTTATAATATAACACAAATAAAACTGTAAAATAAACACACCTATTTTTGAGTTAAATACTTAAAGTTACCATCAACAGGCACACATCTGTTTCACAAAATGACTAATTCTGTTTCACTGAAGTATACATTTCGTGTCACTGAATGACATTTTTCATACATTTTCATTCTAAACTGGTTTATACTTTATCCATCAAAAAGTAACACTGACTGTTCAAACTAAGCATGATTTCAAATCACCAAATGACATCCAAAGTTGTGGCATTTGTACTTCTCGTGACAAAGGCGTCACCAGCAAAAACTAAAAAGCCAAATCTGAGACTTGAGTCCACCTCAGAGTTGTGCCGGGTCCTCAGAGTGATGTCATCACGTGATACATGAGGAAAGAGCTCAGATTATGGCCCTTTAACTTTGTTTTACTGAATGACAATGATGAAATCGTTTTTTGAGAACATCTGTATTTAAAACATTAAAAGTAGTTCTTTTGTGTTCATTTAAAAAAATACTTTTATATGTTCATGTCAAGGCTTCTAAAATGATGTCAATTGTTTTGTTGTTGTTGCGAGCAAATGTTGTGACTGACTCTTTATGTGACCTGTTCATCGTATGACATTTTAATACTTTAAACCTATAATATTCTTTTAGAATTGGTTTCTTCATCCAAATCTGTATTTGTGCAACTAAAGTGATATAAAACAAATCAATTTAAACCTTTATATATTAATATATACACAAAAATGCCACTGTCACATCACTGTCACATCACTGACCCATCAGCGCCTCTCTGTGGCTTAATAGAGTCATTACCACAAACAAGAACAATTTATTGACAACAATTTTTAGTTTTAATCATATGTCATTACTTTTTATTTCATATTAGTTTTCAAATATGCTGCCCACGACTCCTTCACTGTGGGTTAAAGGTGCACTATGTAACTTTTCCATGTAAGGTTTTTTTTTTTTTTAACACTAAATAAACAAACCCTAACAGGCATTCTTGCTGTGAGTGGACTCACCTCTTCTACTGCAGCAGGTCCCAGACACTGGTCTTCCACTGAGAAACAGAACAGAACAGCCAAATCTCTGAAAACATTTGTTTGCGCTGTGTTTTAACACAGGCTGAGCACAACATTTGTATTGTCTTGCACTGTGTTTTTGCTGTTGTATCTTTTATCCAATTCTATTTTGTCTTGTCAAAACATCTTCCATTTACACTCAATTATTTTCCTATGCTCTTTGGATTGAAATATTCAAGTAGATTTACTTTATATATTTATGTATTTATTTATTTATTTATGCAAATAAGTAAACCAATTATGTCAATACAAGTTTTATTTTTAGTCTGAGAAAACAGTGGTGGAACAAAGCAAAGTAAAAGTAGTACTGTACTGTACATAAGTATACATTTTAGGTATATTTACTTTACTTAAGTATATTTTCAAGTACATACTATTTACTTTTACTTCACTAAATCTGAGAGCATCTGTATTTTCTACTTCACTATATTTTTGAACAGGACTGAAAAGTAACAGCATTTTTATGATTGTTTGAAACTTGCTGAAAAGTCTGAGGGTTTATTTTTTAACTCATTCATAATTTGAGTAAAGTATAATATCAATAAACATAAAAAACAGCTGGATAAAAAGATTGATTCAGTTGTTTCTGTTGAATAAAATTTAGCACAATTCTTCAAAATCATTACATCTGAAGCTTCATTTGATTTCAAAATCTGCATGAAATACTTTTACTTTTTACTCTTTAAGTGCATTTTTAAATAGGTACTTTAATACTTTTACTAAAATAGATTTTTTCATGTGAGACTTTTACTTTTACTTGAGCATTTCTTTGCTTTGGTATCTGTACTTTTACTTAAGTAATACATTTGTACTTCTTCCATCACTGTGAGAAAAAAGGATGCAGAGCACAGGAGCTGAGGAGAGAGATGGAGAAAGTGGTTCACGTTTTACCACCAGGCGGCGACATAAACACACAAAATACTCACAACCTGTTACTGCCTCAAATTCATCCATCACATTTTCATTATCATCCCTGAAAATAAGAGACCAGAATGATCACTTCAAACCTTAGGATACAGAGTTACTCACAAATAATTAATAAAATCAATAAAAGTGTAAATTGACACAACTAATGCTCGTTAATTCATCATACAAGCAAAGAGTCGATTTACGTGAGATTAAACGTAAAATCGTGTTCCAAACTGCACAAAATAACAATACAATTAACAAATAAATTTACATTAAAACATGAAGTAACTGAACTCCACGCATTAAACGTAGCCTGGACGCTACTGGTGGTAGTTGTAGTTTTTATTCTGTTCTTTACAAATGTGAGTAATGTGGGAGGTGACGCTGGGAGCCTACATTTCCCAGGATGCCCTTCACAGTGCTGCCTCCGCCCTTCGCCCGCCTTCACTGCTCCGGGCCGCGAGGAAGTCTCAAGATGGCTGCCGTGGCTGGAAGTCTGCTCCCTTCTGCAACATGAAGCCGTGAGAGCGCGAGACCGCGAGGGAGGCACCATCGGGCTTTTCTTTTTATTTTCTTTTAGTTACTTTTCTTTTCTTTCGTCAAACATCCATCTCATTCCGCGTCGTGTCGGCCCCGGGCTCATCTTCGGGAGTGACGCGTCAAATCACGCCGGGACCTGCCTCAGCTAAAGCGGCTAACTCACACATTCGGCTAAAGCGGCTAACTCGGCTAACTCGCGGCTAGCTCCCACTCACATTAGTTTAGCTGTGCCCCGCTCCGCGCACAGGTGCGTGTCAGAAACACGCGTGGCAACAGGCTGCTGTCGTGTATCACACAAACCCCCGTCAGGACGCTGAACCCACGCGGGGCGCGCAGCTGTCACAGAAAAGCCCGATCGGACCGTACTGGGCTCAACATGTCCGCGGAGTGGCCGTGCAGCCTGTGGCTCCTGCACTAATGCGCAGTATCCATCCGTTTAATGTGCTCATCCCGCTGCCGTCTTATTCTTTTTCACCCCGTCACTGCACAAACCCCCCCAGTATCCGCCATTAGCTGCCAGAGCTGCAGGATTTAGGGCACATTATGGGCACACGGAACTTTTTCTGCCTGTAGGTAGCGACATTGGCCTTGTTGGCAACTCACCAAAAATCCACCGAAATGGACACTACACTCGACCAAAACTGAGGCGTTTTGTTTACTGTGGACTGTTGAGCTCCGCCAGGCACTTGTTCCAGCTTCAGTCACTACAGAGACCCAGAGTTAGCTCGCCTTCGGCGCACAGCTAGCCCCCGTCTCCCCCTCACACACACTCAAACACGGCGTACAGGACATACTCGGAGCCCGCTCCCGGACACACGCACCGGCTCAGTAACACCGTCATGGGAGTGCAGGGCTTTCAGGAGTACTTAGAGAAGCGATGCCCCGGGGCCGCGGTCCCCGTGGACCTGCTGAAGTTGGCCCGGACAGCGGCCCGCCAGCCTCCTCATCACCCGCACCATCACCCTCATCACCCGGGGCCTCCCCCACCTCCCACCCGGATCCTCATGGACGCAGACTCGGGCCTGCAGCGGCTATACGGGGGCTACCAGACGGACTGGGTGTGCGGCGGAGAGTGGAACGCCATGCTGGGCTACCTGGCCGCGCTGTCGCAGGCCTGTCTGTACCAGGGCGGCCTGGAGCTCGTGGTGGTGTTTAACGGGACCCTGGGGAAGGAGCGCTGGCCCGAGTGGGCGCGGCGCGTACAGGGCCAGCGGCAGACCGCGCAGCTCATCGTGAACCACGTCGGCAGTAAGGCCACCCCGCCTCCCCGGGCCTGGTTCCTGCCGCCCGCCTGCCTCAGCCACTGTGTGCGCCTCGCCATGTTCCGCTTCAGAGTGCGGGTGAGCCATGTTAACAGTCTGGTCATTTGGCGTGGCAGAAACACTTGAGCCCCTCTGCATGTTTATTCTCCAGGTTACGTCATGTAGTTCAGGTTAACTCTTTGCAGGCTGAGATACGAGGCTGTTGCTTTACATGTTGACATTAGTTTATATAAGTTCATGTGGTACGCATGTATTTAGCTCACATCCCTCTGTATCCCGGAGCAGGAGCTGGAGTGGTTGTAGTAGTTCTAGTGGGAGTGGTTTCGCTTTGACCGTGTGCGTGCAGTGTGTGCTTCTGTTGAATGGAGGCGCGCGTGTCTGTGGGTCTGATTAAAAACATGCATGTGCAGCGTGACCCAGTGTAGCCTACACATTACATAACATGAACCCAGTGAACCTCCAGGCAGGATAATACAGGAGGAGCTATAGGAGGCCAGGGCTTTGTGAGCTTTTGCACTACATTTTCATTCGTTTTAATTAAAGCAATATAAAAGTGTTTGCTTGTTACAAGATGGCAGAGGATTTTCTGACATCAAATGTGTCAAACTAAAAATGCATCATTACTCAACCTAAAATGGGTGATTATGTGACACATAGCAGCAGCGCCATTTCTAGTAAATGCTGCTTCCCATAGTTCTCAAAGCTCATTTTGTCTGATTAAGATGACTTGAGTTGAGTTCAGGCCTATTATAAATGTGCAGATTCTCACCCACGTTACAGTGCAGTCCTGCTGTTCAGATGACCACATTCTGACAAACTGTTCATCAAATAATCTCCAAAAAAGGTTTTGGAAAAATCCTTTTTACAATAAGTCAGTATAATACATTTGAGGTGATCTTTGTGTTGTCCACTGTATCATATATCATAAAATGTTTACAAGATATGCAATTAGTCATAAAGTATGTAGTCTTTTATTTTAGTTCTGAATAATCTTTGCAATAGAGATTTTCATGGATGATGCTGAGTCTTATATTCAGTGTAGTCTCACTCTTGCACTAAATCCTCATATATTTCCATTAGGCAGCTTATGCTGAAACTTTAGGCCTGTAGCCGACAGGCCTGCAATATAACAGCCTATCTCTGCTTTGCAATGTAAGATTCCAGACAAGGGAATTGGGTGATATTTTTGCACTTTTGTGTTTAAATTTAAAGCAGCGCTGTAACTTTCTGGAGGTGGCACATCACCTGTATGATTCCATGGAAGTACAAAGTTAAAAGCATACTTTGAAACATCCTCTATGAGGATAAGTTTTGTGTGGTATATAGCCAAAGGAACAACATTACCATGGAAAGAAGCAGGAAGATGCGCTCCTTGAGGCCAAATAAAGAGTCAGGTTTGTGGAGATGCAAGCCTGCTCACAGAAAGGACGCAGTAGTTTTTCAGTGCAATAAAAATATCCAAAATGAAAAACCATGCTTTTATTAGTTTGTTTTGGCTTAAAAAGATGCACTATTCATGTTTAAAACCTCAGTCGGAACAGTTACAGGCATGTTTCAGACTGGGAAAACTAAAACATCCCAGTATGCCTGCCAATATTTCCCACCTCTTTTAATAAAATTTATGCTTTGAAACAATCTGCTCTGCCTCTGAATGATATATTTTTCCCATTTGGAGAAGTTGCTTTTTTGTTTATGCATTAAATGCACACATTAGTTTTTAGATTGATATTGGCAGTGTTGATGGAAAAAAACATGTATTTGATTGAAATTCCAACCTGTGAATTTTCTCACAGATAAACAGAAGTTATACTCCATTCACTCATGCAAATTTCAGTTCATTACTACAGGTATTGCTAAATCTCTACACAAATTTATATAATATATATACTTCTGAGCTGCACCCAGAGAAGATGTTTATTTGGATGGATTCCCATCAGTTTATATTGAAACTATTGTGAAACTAGCTGTCCGCATTAAATCATTTTATTTAAAGGGCCCTTACACTATTCTGTGATCTATGTTATGTTTCCCCATCAAAAACAGACCTGGAGTTGTGTTTTGTTTCTTTGACACGTTTAACACACAAACCCTGCACATTTAGGCTAAGGAGTTCTCTCAAATGGAAAACACTTCCATCTTGAAATGTCATGTGGTAATACAAAAAGTGCTCCACTGTTTTTGAGGAGGTAACAACTATAACATGGTCCTTAAGAGCTTTTAGCCTTTAATACAATTTATGGAAAATAGATGTAGATTAATATATCCGGCTAATATTTGCACTTTTTGATGTATTGGCTAATAGAGGCCTTGATAACTGCACAAAACGTGACTACACAGCTGTCTTACAGGCTTGTGGTTGGAAAAAGTCTAGAGTTTGCGATAAATTAAAATTGATCGTATCACATCATAAATTGGGGTAAAATAGTCAATGGAGGCAGAGCTTATTGGCCGTTGTTTAATCTGGAGTTTAAACAGTCAGCACTGGCCATGAAAAAAAACCCATATCTGTTGATCTCTAAAAATAAATTTCACTTGCTTTTTCTGATTAAAAAAAAATCAATGATTTTTTTTTTTAGTTACATCTATATGACAATACCACAGACATAGAGAATAGTTTTTTTTTCATCTTTTTAAATGTTAAATTAGTCTTAAACCATAGTCTTATATTATAGGAGACACTGGTTAGTTTCTCCTTTGCTTAGGCCACAGTTATTACTATATCAACTTAAAGTTTAATATATGAAAGCTGGAACATTTTTTGGGAGTCAGTATTTATTGTGTGTACATTTTCTTTGCACTACTAGGAAATCTTTGGTCATTTTTTTCACTAATAAGATTTAAGATGTAAAAGTTTGACATAACTTCTAAGACTCATTACAGATGCAAACTAAAGGACTTAAGTGTTTCTCTGCTTTTTATTACAGTTTATTTTTTGTAACAATAATGCACTTTTAAAATAGTTTTTGTGGTTTGCTCTTGGGCTATTGTATCAGTGGCATAAATGAGTTGGAATATCATTTTTTATCATCTGTATTTGCAGCAATATATGGTACTTCAAAGTGTGTTATTGTGACAGGCCTAGCTCTGGTTCTGATCACTCCATCTCTTCTTTCTGGGCTCAGGTGGTGCAGACGCTGGAGGACCACCACCAGGAGGTGTTGTCTCTGTACCGGGACTTTGGCTTCGCAGGTCTGATTGCTCAGGACTCAGAGTTTGCGCTGTGTAATGTTCCGGCGTATTTCTCGTCTCATGCCCTCAAACTAAGCTGGAACGGGAAGAACCTGACCACACACCAGTACCTGCTCTCTGAGGCCGCCAGACAACTGGGACTGAAAACACACCACCTGCCCTGCTTCGCTGCTCTGCTCGGTAACTCTTTGATAAAGAAGGCATATTAATCCATGTATCATTTCCTCATACATAAAATTACAGTCACAAAGTAGTTGGGATTAGCCAACACTTTTTCAGTCACTCTTACCTTTTTGTTGAAACAGAACCATGAACGCTCGTATTGATCACAGGCTCCTGTAGATGTGCTGTTCAAGTCCATTTTGTATTTCTTGTTGAGATTTCAAACCATCTTAAAACTTTTTTAGTTAAGATTTGAAAAGTCTATTTTGCATTTTAAGTCCACTTTAATAGAAGATCTCAGGATTGTCTACATCTCAGAACTGGCTGCACTAAAACTGAAAGGGGGGGGAAAAGGCTTATGGCTTTTTTTGCTTCCAAAAATATATGAGAGTGCGTTTCAAGGACATGCAAAACTGGATACATTGGTGCCACTATTGCCTTTCAATAATGTGGTGATAAACAGTAATGATCACACCTGCACCTGTTTTTAAAGAGGAGTCTTTTACTACTTTGGGGTATTAACACATCACATATTTAGAACATCATGTTGCCTTTTGTTTTGAAAATGCTATATTTGCTCGAAACAACATACCAACATGTTTTATAACATCAAAACACAGTCGATGTACATTCCATTAATGAAACTACGGCTCATTGCATCAGGTTTGTGAAGTAGTTGTATAGTTTTGTATCATGTTTTTGTATATTTGTGGAGAATTGTCGTGTGGGAGCATGGGTGATGTAGGCTTGTGGGCAGAGCGTTGTACAGAATCTTACAGCTAATAGTAAGGAGGTTTTGAATAGGGCCCAGGAGAGTTTACTAAATTATTCAAACATGCATGGATGACATATACAACCACAAGGCTACATCCCCCATGCTCCCACACAACAGTTCTCCATAAATATACAAAAGCACGATATAAAAATGGCTTAACCTGGAGTGCAAAGTGAGTGGAGACTTAAAGTGTCAAAAGTAAAAGTGACATGTTAATGTTAATACATTGTTTTAGGCGGATTTAACACTTTGAAAACAATAAGATAACATGATGATCTAAATTAGTACTGTGTGTTAGCAATGACCTCCATACAAGTATAATACTCCCTCTTTAAGTCCAGTCCGCACACATCCACTCTCCACCACAGTATCACCATATTGACCCCCAAAACTGATCATTCCACCTATCATATATTGAACCAAGTCAGTATGGTAATTATTATATTTGTATATTTGTCTTGTCTATGGGTACATTTTGTTTCCCTGCCCCAGAGTTTATTAAGTTTATTAAGCTACACACCAGTCAGTACTCCAGGACCCATCAGTTCTGTGATTGTCTGACATTTTATGGGAGAAAGTCTTATTATGTTGCTCTTGTACATTTTGGGAGGAGGACATGTTGATTATACATTTGTAGTTTATTCTGCTTCACTTTTTAGTTTTTTTGTTTTCCAAAGAAGCTGTTCTAAATCTGTGCACAAGCCCAAACATTCGTGCATGTCAGTGTAAACTTTTACATGTAAAAACTAATTGCTAGTGAACGTAGTTAGTAAATAAGTGTAAATCCTTAGATTATCGTTAACTTGGTATCAAGCATATGTCGTTGGTTCACATGAGCTGTTTGTGTGTTCCAGGAAATCACATTCTGCCTGATGAGGACCTGGCTGCCTTCCACTGGAGCCTCCTGGGACCAGAGCACCCACTCGCCTCTCTCAAGGTGCAGATTTAAACCTACGCTTTTGTATTTATAAATTTAATTCACCAATATCAGATCACACAGCAACATATTCAGACCAAGAGCAGCTAGTTTACATAAAACATGTCCAGGAGCATTTACATTTAAGTGAAGACTAAAAACTTACCCTCCAAGTATTTTCTCCCCCTCCTCCTGATTCACCTGCTAGTGTTCCTTTAGTAATTGTAAGTCCGATAACTAATATACAGCCTATTGTAACTAATATATTTTGTTGCTTTTAAGGACCCATATTACAGTGTCTTCTGATCTATGTCCTAATGTTGTTTCCACATTAAAACACACTGGAGTTGTGTTTATTTCATTCAGACATTTAACACACACATTTTCCAGATTTAGGCTGTGTTCTTCTCTCACACAGAAAACACTCCACTGTTCCAACCCTGTGATGTCATGTGGTAATAGAGGAAGTGCTCCACTGTGTTTTTAAACTCCTTCACTAGAATCATTTACATAATTTCATTCTCTATTGAACTAAAGGTAAAAGGAGCTGTTAACTGTAAAACTACAACTTTGAGATAACCACCACAAGGTGGAGCACAGCATTTTGAGCTTTGGTGATGTACACAGACTAATAATGCAGGATTACTCATACTGCAGGTATGTTTTTGATGAGGTAGCAACATTCTAACATAGCTTGAAGCTCACAAGTCAATTTCACATTATATAGGAGTTTTAAAGGCATTTTATCAGATTTTTACTGTCTTAAAATATGAAAAACAGAACTAGTTCATTTCAAACAGTTTGCAGTGGTCCAAAGTTCTTCCTTTATACCTTTTGCAGAGCATTCTAATTATTCACCATATTGAGTTTAGAAGCACTTTTCAAAACTTTCACCAATCAGAACAGAAGATTTTTTCTATCCCCAGGATGCTAAACACTCTCTTGATTCTTGGACAGTATGGTTGGGAAACACTGGTCTGAACTGTAGGGTTAGCAGCTTTTACACAGAATAAGAGCCCATGGAGACACAGGGACATTTAGATTTAGTTGAGGTTAACATTTGAGGGTGTGTATTATGTTGTTGTGACAGTGGATTGTCTTTGTGCAGGTTCGTGCTCATCAGTTGGTGCTGCCTCCCTGTGAGGTGGTCATCAAAGCTGTGTCCGAGTACGTCTCCTCCATAAAAGACCTGAACAACCTGGACGCCATCGCCAAAGACGTCTTCAAACAGTCACAGGTACAATATAGTCCTCATTAGTTATCTTATGCTAATTAGGCCTGTCGCAATAAATATATTGATATATATATATCGACATATCGTTCATGACAGGTGCAACAATATTTTAATATTTATATATATATTTTTTATATATTTTTATGTTTTTTGGTCATGTTTTGATTATATGATAAGGTGGGATAACTTTTATGATTATAAACTACAAAGTAATTAGTGAAACGTTGCATTCTGCCTTGCTGCTCATTCTGCTAATTGTTTTTAGTTGTAGCAGATGAAATTTAGATTTTTTTTGTAGCTCAGCTATTGAATAAAAAAAAATGAGATCAATGAGCTGTGGATAATTCCTGAACCAACATCATGGTTAGGTCTAAGGTCTGGACCTCTCAGTGACAGACTTTTATTCAATTCAAAACTCCATTATCTCATTCAGCTTCAGACCGCTCGATAACGCAGACATTTAGTGCAGACTGCGTAAGAGAAAATGTGGACTGTATTTCTATGTATATAGCGTTTTCTCACTGTAGAAGTGTATTTTAAATATGAGATGGTCAGCACTCTCTTGGATCGCTGTGAGAGTAGTAATACACGAGGAAGGTGGCGGTGGTTTGAGTAGCCCTGCTCTTGTCTCTGAGCAGCTTTATCCAATCAAACTTTATGAATGAGAAACGGATATTCACACATCCTTTATAATGCAGCTTAACTGTCTACACTATTAAACCTGTCACAATAACACATTTTGTTTTGAAGTACATTATATTGCTGAAGAACATATAGACAATAAATGGTAATACTGGAACAAATTTATGCCACTGACACAAAACCCTAAAGTAGAATTATCCCCAAAACAATATTTTAAATGTCTAATATTGCTAAAAAAGAACGATACACTAAAGACTGTGATTATAAGGACTCAGAGAAATTATTTATTCAACCCTTTACAGCTCAGATCTCCTCACAGAACAGAAAAATAACAAAAAGTTCCCTACGAGTAGTAACCCATAATAAATATTGACCCCGAAAATGATTGTTCCATCTGTCATGTATTGCACAATAAGTTGATAGGGTAATTGTCGTGACAGGCCTATACACTATTAGATATTCCTCTTTGTTTTTAGCTGCATCACCTTAATTCACTCAAAGTTTGAACTCATAAATCTGCTCATATACTGCTTCACTGTTGTTTGGTCATCAGGTTAATAATCTGGAAAATTAAATCAGACGTCTGTTCTTGGTCACATCCATCCGAAAAGGACTTGCTATCCGCTGCGTTGTAAATAGGAAGTGAGCATGGACGCGATCCCAGCTCCATACCGTACCCTACCACACCAACCTTATTTATAAAGCACTTTAAAACTTTACCGCTGGCCAAAGTGCTGTACACAAACACAGAAGAGACAAGAACAATTGCAGTACACAATACACAAAACAAACACAATACAACTACTAAAAAACATAGAAAAAATAAGATACTCAACTACAAGAAATGTACATCTCACTTGTTCAAAGCCAGTGAAAAAAGGTGCCATTGACTCCATTGCTCCAGTTCACTTTGCATAAAAAATTGTCACCTCTTTCACTGTAACCGCTGCCATGAGCCTTGTCATTTCGGTGTATTAACTTGCTCAACATGATCCTTTGTTTGTATTTCACTATTTTGTCCGTAAATCAATTCTTATTCCTAATATGGAACTCTGCTCCAAATTTGCTCCTGAGTGCCAGCCATGTGAGCTTCATTTGACTGGAGCCGGATGCTGTGGGTGACGTCACACTCCCTTAGTCCACGTCTTTATTCAGTCTGTGATCTTATCTTAGATTTAGGGAGAGTGTGAAGACTGAGAAACTCAAGGGCGTGACATTCTATGAAGCATTTATTTACAAATTCCAGCTAGATAAAAGTTTGATAAAGACTTGTTTGCTTGGAGTACTACTTAAGAGTTTATGTACAATGCATTATGTAGATCTGTGACGCCTGTTGAATTGTTCTGTTGTTTTTTTGTTTAGTCTCGAATGGAAGACAAGATCGAACGTTTCAAAAAAGCCGTAGAGTATTTCTCCGCTGCCTCCAAACCACGCTCTCAGAACCTGGGCACCTCCGCCTTCATCTGTGAGTGCTGCAGTTTTTTCTGTCATAAATCCACCTAAACGGGCCCATATTACTCTTATTTTCTGATCTGTGTTCTAATGTAGTTTCCTCATCACAAACTTACCTGGAGTTGTGTTTTGTTTCATTCACATACAAACCCTGCAGATTCAGGCTGTGTGTGTGTGTGTTCTTCTGTAAAACTCAAAAAACTCTTTTTCACCTTGTGGTGATATATAATACGACAGAGTATAAGGGTCAGATAAAAAAAAAAAAATGCTGGCGCTACGAGAAGAAAGTCGTAACATTTCGACATTAAAGTCGTAATATTATGAGAATAAAGTCGAAACCAGAAAAAGTTGTAATTTTACGAAAATAAAGTCATATTTTTACGAGAATAAAGTCGTAAACTTACGAGAATAAAGTAGTAATTTTATGAGAATAAAGTCATAGTCAAAATAAAGTCGTAATATTAGGAGAATATCGGCTGCTCGGAAAGTCTGAACGAGTGGAGAATGGAGAATTTGGAGCATTTTGTAAAGGAGAAGAATCCGTGTATTCGTTCATTCGACTGAAGAAGGACTAAATCAGGACTAAATCAGGTCCGGAACCAAACCAGAACTAAGACCAGGATTGAGACCGGGACCAGACGAGGACTGAAAACAGTTTAATCCTGGTTTAGTCCTGGTTTAAGTCACGGAAATGGGAAATGGCGTTTCCGTGACTTTAAAATGCGATGCGGGACTATTGCGCCACATACGGACTGAACCAGGACTGAACCAGTACTGAATCGGGACTAAAACAGGACTAAACCATTTTCAGTCCTGATCTGGTCCCGGTCTCAGTCCCAGTCTCAGTCCTGGTCCTGTTCCCGGTCTCAATCCTGGTCTCAGTTCTTGTCTGATCCCGGTCTCAGTCTTGGTCCCTGACTCAGTCCTTGTCTAAGTCCTGGTCTCAGTCCCAGTTTGGTCTCGGACTTCGTTTAGTCCTGGTTTATTCCTGGTTTAGTCCTGATTCAGTCCTGGTTCAGTCCGGAGGCGCAAATAATGAAGAAAATTGTTGTTTGTTTTCTTATTTTTGGTTTTATATTGAAAAACAAGGTTCTTCTTCTGCCACATTTTTCACTTTGACTTTTATGATTTTATTACGACTTCATTCTTGTAATATTATAACTTTATTCTCATAATATTATGACTTTATTTTAACTTCGACTTTATTCTCGTAAAATTATGACTTTATTCCTGTAAATTTATGACTTCATTCTTGTAAAATTATGACTTTAATGTCGAAATGTTATGACTTTATTCTCATAGCGCCAGCATCTTTTTTTTTTTTTTTTTTATCTGACCCTTATACTCCGTCGTAATATATAATACAGGAAGTGGTGTTTTTTTTTTTTTTTTTTTTAAAACTTCATACACCTTCACTAGAATCATTTGAAATATTTTAGCTCTGGAACTGACAGTCTCTACTCCTCAAAAGGTAAAAGGAGCTGTGAAGATGAAACTACCACTTCATGACATCACAAGGTGGAACAGAGAATTTTGAGAGCTGTAGACAGACTAACTATGCAGATTTACTCAAATAGGTTTAAAAGAAACAAAACACAATTCCAGGTATAAACATACCTGAGGAGGTAGCAACATTTTAACATGACGTAAAGCTCACAAGAGACAGTTTTGTTTAAGATAGGACCTTTAAAGGTGCTCTACCTGTCCTAAAGTGTCAAAAACAGAACTGGTTCATTTTAAACAGTTCTTCCTCACTTACTTAACAGATTGTGAGTATCCCAATTATTCACCATGATGAGTTTCTAAGCACTTTTCTCTGCTTTCAGAGACCAGAGCATCCATAAAGATAACAACTAGCAAGCTAACTGATAATTTCCTGATTATTGGACAATAAAACACTTTTTTAACTAGATGCAGACAGCAAGCAGTGGTCTCATGTTGACCTTGAGAGCTGCTTATACAATATACTGGACCAACACACAGTTTTGCTCAAATACACAAGAAAAAAATGGATACAGCAATTTTAATAAGCTCAACTGAACTGACTGAAGTCTTATCTCTGTGTATGTGTTCAGTACCAGGTTTTGGACCTCCTCCGTTCGGACCACCAGGACCCATGGGACCCATGCAGCCTGGAAAGAACCAGGTATTTACAAGATAGTGGTACAGAAAGTTAGTTTGCAGCTAAATTCCTGCTTTTAGTCATTTAAATCTTATCATTCTGTCATCACAAATAATATCTCTCTCTCTCCCTCTCCGCTTTATCTTTCTCCCCTGTCCCTTCTCTTCACTTCCTATTTATCTCTCCCTCTCCTCTATCCATCCCTGTCTGTCCCTCTCCTCCCTCTCTTTTTGTCACTCTCCCCTCCTGTTCTCACTCCCTCTTTTTTTCTCACCCCCCTTTCCTCCCTCTCTCAATCCTCTCTTCCCTCCCTCCTCCCCCTTTCTCTCCTCTCTTTCTTTCTCTGTCTATCTCTCTCTTTTCCCTCTTCTCATCTCCCTGTCACTCTCCTCTTCAGTTCCCTCCTTCCCAGGCTCCTGGCCTGAAGCCTCCATTTCAGAACTCTCCTTTCGGCTCCGGATCGCCTCTGTTCCAGGCTCCGCCCACAGACTGTAACGATTCGCTCTCAAACAAAATGGGCTTCACTGATTGGTCGGCTCCTTACGATTCCACTCAGGGCGGGAGTCGATTACCCAATCACCACACAGGACAGCAGTCTGGCCCCTCCCCTTCACCCTCGTCTTCGTCCGATGGAGATGAGCCCAACGACAACAACGCAAAGTAAGAGCTCAAATTCTGTTTGTAAAGTGCATGCACAGAGAATCACACAGTGTTTTCAGCACCACCTTCTCATCCAAGATTCATAGAACTGTAGTTATGTTCATAACTTATGATTTACAGAAAAAGTTTAATGGGAAATAAAAGACTTATCCAAGATTCATAGAACTGTAGTTATGTTCATAACTTATGATTTACAGAAAAAGTTTAATGGGAAATAAAAGACTTATTGAGTTAAACTTGTTTTCAGTCATTTGACGGACAAGTCTTCTCGATGGGAGGAGCCCTCTGCAAAGCCCGGCTCTGGAGAAGCCTCCTCTGGGAACGGAGGCTCCAGTATCCCCTCTCTGCTGTCTATGGCCACCCGCAGCCACATGGACATCACCACGCCCCCTCTGCCCCAGGTACAACAGGGAGGAGTTTATACAAGTAGAGGATTCATATATTAACATGTTTTTAAATAGAATCTCAAGCCCCTTCTCTCTTTCAGGTCAGCGCTGAGGTACTGCGAGTGGCCGAGCACAGACACAGAAGAGGACTCATGTATCCACAGATCTACCACATCCTCACCAAGGTACAGTCACTATAACAACGCACACATGTGAATGGAGTCTTTCTGCTTTGAGCTGCGCCCTCTGGTGGTCCGTAGTGATAAAAGACTTTATTCACTCCCCTCCCTCTATTCTCAGGGCGAGATGAAGATGCCTGTGTGCATAGAGGATGAGTGTAACTCTGAGCTGCCTCCGGCCTCTCTGCTGTTTAGAGCCGCACGACAGTACGCCTATGGAGTCCTCTTCAGTTTGGCCGAAACGCACCGCCGTCTGGAGAGACTTGCCCTGCGCAAGAGGGCGCCCCTAGAGGGTAAAAACAGCACCACCATGTTCTGGAGAGCTAGTACTATTATACACTCACTCTATTATGCCTCTGCCTTTGCACCTTTCAGTTCCTCCGGTGATCGTGAAAGAGTGGAGTTGTGGTAAGGCAAAGTCTGCGTTGACTCCAGAGCTGGTTCCTGCTCTGTGTTTCCGGGAATGGACGTGTCCAAACCTGAGGCGTCTGTGGCTGGGTCGAGCCTCTGAGGATCGCTCCAGAAGAACCAGAGCCTTTTTAGCCTGTCTGCGTTCAGACTGCCCCGCCCTGCTCAACCCCGCACAGGTGCCCCAGCACCTGCTGCTCATGTGCTGCGTGCTCAGGTATGGACACCTGCAGGAGGGGAAACACTTGAGTGTGTTTAGGTCTCACCTGGGCATTTTCCGGCCAATGGGCCAAATCCAGCCCTTGGTCTGTTTTAATCTGGAGCCCCTGGAGGTTTTTCACAATAACCATTAGATGCATTAGGGCAACATATTTTATGATTTATGTATGATTGGATAATGGACTTGTACTGTGCAGGTGCAGAAGACTAGTAGTACAGTGACCTCTACCTGTTTTTCTCTGGACCATGATACAGTTGGACTCCGTATATCTTATTATATATTTGTACAGGTATATGATGCAGTAGTTGTGTATAGCTTTTACATATGTATATATTTGCAGGTATATGATGCAGTGGCCCGGGGGCAGGATCCTTCAGAGACATGAACTCGATGCCTTTTTGGCTCAGGCTGTTTCCAGTCAGCTCTATGAGCCGGACCAGCTGCAGGAGCTCAAGGTAACTGCCCCATAAGGTTTCTATCAGGGCCGTCAGTGTTATTGTGTTATTAGTGTGTTATCACAAAATCATTTCAACAGTGATATCTTTTGAGGCAAATTAATCGCATTTTAATTTTGGCCATTAGAGATAGGGCTGTCGCGGTTAGTGAATTTCTCCTGCGGTGCGGTATAGCAGCTCAACAGAGCAGTATGCGGTGATACTGCACACCCTCCCCCACACTACATCCCCCGGACTCTGGGTCGGGTCACGTGCGGTGATTGTGATGGGCCTTTTAGTACCGTGTGATTAATTTTTGCGGTTATCGCGACAGTCTTAATTAGGGGGCTTCAGTTGAGTTTGAGGAGAGTGGGGTTGTCAAAAGTATGAAAATTATACTAATTAATACTAAAACTCGTATCAACACTAAATACATATTTGAGCAGGTATCGTTACTAAAAAAGTCACATTCACAGAACAGAAACCTTTAGAATGATCTTGAGCTGTATAAGAGCACATAGACACCCATGGACCACTCTGGAACCTACCTGGACCACTGAGGTTTTACAGATATATAAGGCCACCTGAGAATAGAAAAGAAAGTACTATTATTTATTGAAAATCACATTCTATTGTCTAGAGTGTTTTTTCTTATCATTGTGGAATCTATATTGAATTCCTATGTCTAGAAATGTGTATCTTTAGATTGAGTTGAGTCCTCACATCTTTGTGATGTGTATCTTCCTTTAGGTGGAGAAGGTGGATGCTCGCGGCGTGCAGCTCGCCTCTCTCTTCATGGCGGGTGTAGACACAGCGCTCTTTGTCAATGACGTCTGTGGACAGCCGTTGCCATGGGAACACTGCTGCCCCTGGGGCTTCTTTGACGGAAAACTGTTTCAGAGCAAACTGTCGCGAGCATCAAGAGACCGCGCCGCCCTGCTGGACATGTGCGAGGGACAGGTGAATATTCATGTGTTTTTTAAAGAAGACATATAGTGCTTAAATGTGCTCTTCTGTATAATATAGTAGGGCTATATATAGTCCAGTGTTATTGCAGCTCTGTGAAAAGAAATCTATTATTATTATTATTTTTATCTATTATCGATTAAGTTCAAAACGATTTCTTTGAAAGAAAATCAGTATTTATTTTCCCCACTTTCTTGCATCGGAAATTGTATTGAAAAAGCAAGAAAGGCTGCTCACTGAAGTCAAAAGGATGAAAGTTTAGTGCAGGGCCATGAAGTGCTGATGCTTTGAAATCAGCAGCGTCAAAGTTTGTTTTGTCTCTGGGAGCCAGGGAGCCAATGCTGCTGTAAATATCATCACAACAAAGAGCCGTATGCTGTCAGCCTCTCTTATGGATAGATGCGCATCACACTAGAGCAGAGGAGCAGATTTTTTTTTCATTTGTACCAAAATGACTAAATGACACAGCCGAATGCTGCAATTAAGAAAAGAGAAGAAGAGAATGGAGTGAGTACAGAACAGTGAGCGTGCACCATGACGGTGAAAACGGGTTGATCTGAACAATGACGACTTGAATACAAGATAATAAAGATTACTCAGTCATGCATGAATCACTCCAAACTTTTAGAGGGTAAATGAGAAGGAAACATGGTTAAAAACTCTGCAAAGTCTTTTATAGTTTTGTAAAAATAGTTTTGTATAACAAGCTGTCTTTTAAAACACCAAAAGACATGTACATGAAAATCAGACTAGCATCACAAACATCAGACAAACATGGAAAATGTGTATAGAGGTACACGATTAAAACATTGCTAAATCCAATAGTGATCTGACATAATGCTGCTGAACAGATTAGATGGCTCTATGGTGTTTCAGTGCATCTGTTTAATGCAGCTTCTGTTGGTCTGCCTCACTGTAAAGCACACAAATCATGTTCAGATCTAATTTCGGACCAAAAATCTAAGAACTGGTTGTGTGAGTTATCTCATTATAGAGACCCGCCATTCTTATTTGGGACAAATATCAGGTCCATGACATAAATCCTTTATTATTAGAGCCATAACATGGTTATAGTTGGGTATGAGGTATAACAGGTTATGATTATGGTTATGATTATTATGGTTATGATTATGGTTTAGGTTAAGGTTAAGGTTAGGCAAGTAGTGGCTGTGGTTAAAGAGGGGCTGGTTTTCTTTGACTTTTTGAAGCTGACCTTTTACCACGTTATAAGGTTGTTCCCTCATTAAAAATATGCCTGAAAAGTTTTAGATGTCATTCATGTATGTTTGAGTAATTTAGCAACTTCTCCCAGGCCCTGTTCAAACCCTCCTTTTGATTGACTGTAAGATTCTGTGCAGTGCTCTGCCCATAAGCCTACTCCGCCCATTCTCCCACACAACAAAACAACTAGACTATGACAATGAGCAGTTTTGTTATAATATTTCCTGTTCTTGTTTTTCAGGAGGAGCTGGTGTCCAAAGTGGAGAAGATGCGCCAGGCGATCCTTGAGGGCATAAACCTGTCACGGCCGCCCCCTCCTCCCCCTCCTCTGCCCCCTCCTGCCTTCCTGCCCCCCTCTATGGTGCCCCCCTTCTACCCCATCCCCCCTCTGTACCCCCCACGGCCCATGGGCATGCCTCCACATCACCACCCGCACCACCCACACCACCCCGCCCAGCACAGACCAAGAGCCTTCCCAGGTACGGCCCCCTCTCTCTCGTTTTGGGGGGGACTCATCTGTTTACTTTACATTTGGAAAAACATATTGCACTAATGAAAAAAGTTGCTGAGGGTAAACACTTGCTGGGGGCTGATCGGGTTTGTGCTAACTTAGAACCCCCAGGCCCATAATTTCATTCAAATATTTCTGAAAGTTTATAAACCGCTTATTAAACAGGTGAATGGGGTCGCTCCGCCACAGATCTGATATGTAATGCGACCTGGTCACGTGCCCTTCTTGACAAATTTAAGCAGGTTAACTCCACTGTGCCTGTAATCTGAATATTTACATTTTCAGTGTATGGGAGAAATGAATGGGAAATGTACTTCCGGACTGAAACCTTGGAAAACTTTGCTTCATTGGAAGCTAGAATAGACCTAGTTTTTAAATGAAATAATGTAATGAGTGAATACCATAATAACAACAATATAACTAATATAATATATACTTATAATATACATAGAACTACAGGTGCCTTTTAACATGACTTTTTGTACACTACCAGTCAAAAGTTCAGACATTAAATGTCATCACATTTTTTTCCTTTATTTTTTACTGTTTTTTACATTTTATATATGGAAGATATCAAATATATGAAATCAGATATATATAATTTTGTGGGGAAAACTAAAATTTTTAAAAACATGTTTTAAATATAATCCTCAAAGTAGTCACCCTTTGCTTTGTCAAAAAAAATATTTAATAGTGTAGAGTGAGTTTCCTTTTTTCTTTGCTACTTAATTCTATATATCTTACATACAGGAGACATCAGACATTAAAGTAAATAAAATGCAGAAAGTAGTAAAAGAACCAACATTGAATGAAAGTGTGTGTCCAAACGTTTGCGTGGTCGTGTATGTATTTACTGTGTTGTTCATACGTCCCTGTTGTGTCTCTTTAGGCCTCCAGTCCATCCCTCCTCAGGGCGGTAAGCTGGAGATCGCAGGGATGGTGGTGGGCCAGTGGGCCGGGAACAAACCAGTGCGCGGCCGTGGCTTCAACATGAACATGCAGGTGGTGTCAGTGGGAGCAGGGAGAGGGTAAGAGCCTGTGTCTCTAATGTCAGTACAGAAGCTAACCTAACCTGTTTGACCTGGGGCTAGTGTAGGCCTGTCACGATAATGACTATTGACTTGTTGTACCATCTCTTCAATGGAACTAGCGTTTTTGGGGGTCAGTGTTTATCATTAATATATTTTCTCTGTCCTAGTCTTATTTTACCGTTCTATAAGATTTGAGCTGTAAAGGGTTGAATAAATCGCTTATATTGTACATTTACTATTGTAAATGTACAATATTGTCAGTATTGCACCTTTAAGTATTAAGTGTATGCATATGTAATAAGTATTATGCAGGATTAACTCTTGTGATGTTGTTACCTCAAAAACAAACCTGGAGTTGTGTTTTGTTTCATTCACACGTTTGAGTAATTCTGAATGAAACAAAACACAACTCCAGGTTTGTTTGTGATGAGGAAACATTAGAACAGAGATCAGAAAATAGCCTCATAGACTGTATGTCCTTTAATGTTTTTGTGTCAGAGGCATAAATTAGTTTTGTATTATCATTGATCATATATATAATCTTTAGTAATGCACTTCAAAAAGTGTTATCGCGACAGGCCCAGTCTAGTGCTCTGTCTAACTTTACTGGTAGAGAGTCTGCCATCTGCTCCATGCAGACAATATTGCTTTGCCTGGAATGTTCCACAGTAGGACTTTGTTCTCATTTTGATTTAATAAATGACACCAGTTAAAGCAGAACTAAGTAACTTCTGCGGTAGCGCTTGATCAGCAGGTATGCACTGTCGTATAGCCCGGCCGTGGGCTCCGGCCGTGGGCTCCGGCCGTGGGCTCCGGCCGTGGGCTCCGGCCGTGGGCTCCGGCTCCGGCTGCGGGTTTGGCCGCGGGCTCCGGCTTTGGCTCCGGCTGCAGGTTCGGCCGCGGGCTCCGGCTCCGGCCGGACCAGCCGTGCACTCTGAGCTGAGCTTATTTCTTTAGTTCAGTGCTGCAGGGGGAGTCACTGATTTACCCAGATACCATTGGAAGAAAAACTGTGATTGGTCCATTTCCAATTCATTATATTAACCCTTTGTTTCCCAAGAAATATCAGTACAAGTTTATAACAATGATCTAGAAATTATTACTAGTGTAGTGTTCATTACTCACTGCATAAAAAATATTCAATAAATATATTAGTAGTACAAACGTCCATTCAATATTTTTTCTTGAGCCTTCCCTGAACCCCTTGAAGGCTCTGAGGTTCCCCTGTGAAAGAAATGCTGTTTGCACAACAAATGTTTGGCTCTTTCATTTACATTTCCAATAAAAGAGCGCTATACTCTACTTTTTAATTCATTAATTGGTTTTGCGTATAACATGCAATTAATTGCGATTAATCGCACTCAATCACACTCAAACTCATGTGATTAATGCAATTCATTTTTTACATTTTTGCCCAGCAAATGTGTCAAAGCTGCATTAAACAAATTATAATGTCAAACGGGCTGATGTGGTTCTAGAGTCGTTATGTTTATATGTTGTAAAGTTAAATTTATTTATGCAGATTAGTAATAATAGTAATAATAATGATATTTTAATATAAAAACATTAATGATTTATCAAAAATCAATTAATTCTCCTGATGGTCGATTAAGAAAATTTGATCAAATGCCCATCCCTAGTTCTAAATTCTCCTTGAAATTCCAATTGGGTTGATCCAACACAAATGTGTCACTGTTAAACACCTTGAGCTGATTTTACATCTGGGCTACAGTAACATTTACAGACTGACAATACTGACAACAAAGAACCCGTCCAGCTGTTAAAGCATAGAACATTACTACATACAGATGAAACATCAGTCTGTCAATTACACATGTGACCTCGACGTGACACTCTGATCCCACGTAAATGCAAATGCCTGATCCTGTTTGATGCTGGCCTTATGTTAGCCATAGTCACATATCACGTCAGGGCTAAATTCACAAATTGCACTTGTTTTTGCTCACTGACAACATAAGCTGTACACATCCTGCACCACATGAGGCATGAGCCGCTCAAATCAAAGGATTTATACAAACATGTGTTCGTCTAATGGTTCAGTTTCAGAGCCACAATGTAAAACAGAGCATGATAATAACAGCATCTACCAGCAAGATAACTGTGTACTACAGCTAACAATTACTCAAACTGCATAACTATAACAATGCATATGAAACTGACGTGTTCAATAAAAGCACTGGCACATCTGCGTCTCTCTTGAGCCCTTCTCTTTCCTTGAGCTCTGTTATTCCTCAAACCCAGATTGACCTAAAAGTTACTTTGTCCTGCTTAAACGCTCAAAACTACATGCATTCTTTCTGTGAGGGGTGACCTCTCCACAGATCTGACCTATATTTATGTTACCCGCTTGCTGCCATAGAAATTCCTAGTTCAGTGCCGTGCTGCGGAACATTCCTCCAACCAGAAAAGTTACACAGTGCACCTTTAAAATAACTGTTATTGTTGCGTTTCTCAATGTAAATATTTTTCAAACAGAAGAGGCAAAGAAATTCCAGCTAAAATGAGAGGAGGAAAGAAGGCCACTGCCAACAGACCCCAGGTACACACACGACCACAAACACGAACATGAGGCCACGCTTTCATCATGTGTCATAACGCTTTTTCTCTCCTTCTGTTTATTTCTTCTTCTCCCTCCCCTTTTCACTCCTCCTCTCTTGTCCCCTCTGCTCCCTCCCTTCTTTCTCTCTCCCTTCTTTCCTCTCTCACCCCTCCTCCTTGTCCCTCCCCTTTCTCTTCCCTCTACCTTTCTTTTTCTATCCTCTCCTTGATCATTCCTTTCTCTACCGTTTTTTCCTCTCCCTCCCCATCTCCCACTTACCTCTCTCTCTGTCTTCACCTTCTCTCTCATCCTCTTTCCTTTTCCCCTCCTTCCTCCCCCTCTCTCTCTCCTACCTTATCTCTTTTACCCTCATCTTCACTCCTTCCTCTCTCTCCTTCTCCCTCCCTCCCTTCTCTCCCTCCCCTCTTATCTCCTCCTGTGCCTCTTCTCTCTTCCCATCCCTCCTCTCACTCACTCCCCCCATCTCTTGTCCCTTTCTTTCTTTCTTTTTCTTTCTTTCCCATCCTCCCTCCCTCTTTTCCACTCTCCCTTTCTCGCTTCCCTCTACACCCCCCCTCCCTCTTTTTGTCCCTCTGCTCTCCTTGCCCCCTATTCCTCGCTCCTTGTTTCTCTTCCCTCTCATCACTCCTGTCCTCTCTGTTGTCTCCTCCATCCCTCCCCTCTCTCTCTCTCTCTCTCTCTCTCTCTCTCTCTCTCTCTCTCTCTCTTTTTCTCCCTCTCTCCGTCTCTCTCTTTTTCTCCCTCTCTCCATCTCTCTCTCTCTCTCTCTCTCTCTCTCTCTCTCTCTCTCTCTCTCTCTCTCTCTCTCTCCCTCCCTCCCTCTCCCTCTCCCTCTCTCTCCGCAGACCTCTCCTCCCTCCAGTCCACAGGAGGAGGCGGGCTCAGTGCCAGACGCCGTGTCGCAGCTAAACGGCAGTTCGGCCACTGCCATTGGCCAGTCCCTGGACCTGGCTTCTCTGGCCCAGCCAATCCCATGTGCCTTAGCCAGCAGAGACAACCAATCAGAGGAGGCCGCGTGTTGCCTTGAAGACTGTGCATCAGACGGAGCGCTGCAGAAAGAGGAGTGAAGTCCGACAGTCCGACTGCCTTCCTGTTTTAGCCCCGCCCCCACTGTTGTAGCCCCGCCCTCCCCGTGATAGCCCCGCCCTCTCTGCGCGCTGACCTGAAGCAGAAACTCTCCTGCTTTACGTTAGCGCTGATGCAGCAAGCGGCGCCTTTGAGTTTCCATGTGATTTTATGTTCTGTTGGTCTGTACGCGCCCCGCCCTTTTAGCAAGCCCTGCCCTTTTAGCAAGCCCCGCCCCTTTAGAATGCCCCGCCCCCTTAAACAGAATAAGCTGTCCCCTTTAGTTTGGATGGTTTGATTTGAGCCCTGTTGAATCTCTGCACAGCAAAGACAGGCAGGATGGTGGTTCCAGCTCTAGGCCTGGTCAGCCTCATCACCGTAGCCAGAGCATTCTGAACACTTTAGTTTTAAAATGGGTTTTAAAAGTATATTCTCAAATCATTTGAATAGAACTATGATGAACTAGTGCAGTGTCCCTCCCCGTTTTCGATGCATGTGTGCATGGAGCAGTCCTTTTAATTGGTTCTGGAGCAGTGAGTCGTGGTGTTAGCATGCTAGTGTGCTAGCTCACTCTGACCTATGTAGCATAGCCTGGACCTTTGCTGTGCTCAGAAACCCTTATGCACCTTAGGCCTGTATGCAAGAGAATGCCCCGCTCCTCAAAGTGCATTATACCCCATCCCCCCCAAAGCTTTGATTGTATCATCTCAACAGAAGCACTTATGTTATATTTAAATGAATTAAACGCTCCTCCCTAAATATGACATAGATCCACCGCTAGATTCTATGAGACGTCCGAATGTGAACAGAGTGGTTCAGGAGAAGCACTTTGTTTTAAAATCTTAGCCACACTGGAGCACCCCCTACCAGTGAAACTCTGAGGCACCTTCGGTTCAGGCCAAAAAGAGAAACAGAAATGGACTTGAATGGAGAGTGTGGCCCTGCCAGGCAGAGGCCCTCCTCTTTACATGACTTAATACAACGCTAAAAGACTCCCCCTGCTGGGAGATAGAACAGATCTCAGATCTCTGAAATGTCCAAAGTCGATTTGATTGGCCGACGAGCCAATAGTCTTACACAGGGGCGCGGCAGCAAAGCCCCATGGCTCTGAAGGAGCTGACAAGCACTTCCCTACACCTCCGCCGACAGGCCCAGGCAGGGACAGAACTACAACGCGTTATTATAGCACTTATGTTTGTAGACAATGACAGACGGCCCAAAAATATATCTGATATATCTGACACATAAGAGTATTCTAACCATTAGAGGTTTCACTGTTGCCAGTGCAGAGCAGGAGACTGACCACAGGAGGCGCTGTGTTCAATTCAGGAAGGGTTGACCCGGTGTGTCAGCTGTCGACAGAAGCACCTTACTCTTAACGCGTCGACTGCGTTTATCACCATGAACGATGTACCGGCTCAAACTGAAGTGTTCTGAGTGTACAGTGGTTTATACAGAACGCCCAGTGCAGCTCTGCTCAGGCTCTGGCCCAGACTCAAAACACCAAAATGACTTTAGGTTCTTTTGCCCTCGCGGCTCTTCACATGTTTTAGGTGCTGTGGAAGCAGACAGCACCAGGATTATTAACACGACCGAAACACGAGAATAGGCTAGAAAATCCACCGCCACTGGCTGATAAACAAGTCTAGACCTTTAGTGACGTCATACTTAACAAAGTTCAGCTTATGACATCAGATTAGTACAAACTTGTATCTCTGCAGTACATTGTTAGGCTATTTTCTGCGGCAAGTTTGAGTGAAATCAACAATACGATGATTCCCACTCGCGATTGGCTTGCCATACTAAACACACACACATTCACATTACACAGGAGAAACCAGTTATGTTACCAACTGCGTCACTGCTTTCGTGATAGTTCGTTCTAGTGGAGTGGTTGTCCATTAAAGATCATTTGGTAACATATTCTACTGACTAAACAACAAACAGAATCCCACAACTTTTGCATGGACATTGAAAATTCCTACATACATTGAACACAGCACACATAACATTATTACATTGATGTTTTAACCCTGAGTTAACGCTGTAGTTAGACATGGGAAAAATTCAACATGATTGGAGATGTAGTGTCCGGCTTTCGTCCTCGTCTGATTTAGTTCAATAGTTTTATTATTGGTGATTTTTATGCTTCGTATACTGCACCCGCCCCCTGCTACTCTTTGACACTTTCTATCACCCAGCCCATCTGTCCCGTAGTCTGTTGTTTTCCTGAAAATCCATAAACCACACGCATCAAATCACACTCAATATTAAAGGTCCTGCATTGTGCAAATTGTTTTGATTTTGACCATGTTATGAGGCTGTTTCCTTATCAAAAACAAGTTACATTGATGTTTGAATAATCATGCATTTAATATGCATGATTATTCAAACATGAAGCCCAAAACACCATGATCGACTTTGTGACATCAGTAGGTTGTGATCTAGAAGTGGTCCTCTATGTTCTTCAGATCTGTTTAAAGGTTTAACAACAAATGCCAAACAATTTTGTCAGTAAAATATTTTTTATGTACGTCCTTACATTAAACATGTACTATAGCAAAGAAACTCAAGGCAAGACCTAGTGATAAGAATGCATTGGATTAAAGTAGGCACCCGAAGTGCTCACACTGCATTATTCATTCACTCCACACTCAGTAATAGCAAACTGATATTGTAACCACAGCTGCCCTGGGGAAGCCAGGCTGCTAATCTGTGCCATTGGCCCCTCTTACCACCAGCAGCTGTTCCTGTCAGGTTTACATATTGAATAAAAGTGTGTATTGTGTGATTATCTTGAGTCTCAAATGCAGGACGAATGCAGGATTTCTTAAACATGCAGAATAACTCAACATACAGATTGGAGTGTTAAAACTAATGATGAAGAGAAGTCTAGTTTGCGTACATCTCCTTTAATTGACAGTGTCTCAGATGAAAAGCACCTGTACAATGCATAATATTGGACCTTTATTCAAAGCGCACACACAAAACGCATTCACTGGATCAGTATAACGTCGTCCACCTCTGTAAGCTTTAAAAACACATTCATGTATTAAACACACAAGCTCCCCCCCTCCTCTTAGCTCTAAAACCATTTCTATTGGCCACCCTTTCTCTTTCTCTGGGCTGCCCTGCCCCCTCCCCCAATTAACAGTAAACTTATATTAACGTGGATAATCCGTTTCTGTATGTATCTAGCCAGTCTCAAAAGAAAAAGTTGAAAAAAAAATCAAAAACTGTTTTATTCAATTGTGCAAATGTGTTTTTCTTACTATTTTAATGTTACTACATCTATTCTAATCCTACCATTGCTTCAGTTAACCTAGTACTGAAATGCGCTTAGCCAACCTAGAGATTTCAACTGTTATGATTGCAATTTTCCTTACCTGTATTTTATATGGCATCCTTAGGCCACTTCACCACTTGTAACGTAGTAAGTATAGTAAATATATTGCCCGTTTTTATTTAAAGCTGCACCATGTCACTTTTCTGGTCGCGTCTAATGCTTTTTGTATCTATGGAGATGTTGTTTCTTTGCCTGGCATGTTCCACAGTATTTAATTAGATGTTTTATTGATAAAATAATAAACAGTGTTAAAGTAAATAATTAATGTGAACAGGTCGTCCGCTGATCTGACCCGTAACTCTGTCTGTAGACCATAAAGCAGCGGTGCAGGCAGGAATGGTTTTGGTTACTATGATACTCCCAGTCACAATTCTAAATATGGAACTTTGCTCCAAATTAGCCGCTATAAGTTAGAAGCTTCAATGAGCACAATGATATCACACCAGTCTATGGATGGTCACTGTGTCCATGAATATAAATCTGTTTTAATGCATTACTGTGGAACATTCCAGGCAAATAACAACAATAACAACTATATGAAGGCAGCAAGTGGCAGTGGACCCTCTACCAGGAAAGTTCCATAGTGCACCTTTAAAATGGTTGTCTGCACTATGTTCGGTTTCAAAATAACCCCAAAAAGAAATGTTATGATCTAAGCTGTAATCTGCACCCTTGCACAAAGTTAAACAAACATTATTCTTGAACATTGAGAACCAAAGTATATTTAGAATTCAATGAAAACCCTTTTAAATCTTATATATTCCCCTGGTATTGCCCCGAAATAACGCCTTTTCACATGTGATTTAACTGTAAAAGACAGCACAAGGTTCAGTGAGGTTATCAGAATAGAAGATTTTTGTGGTATTAAAGAGTTGGAGACAGGACAGGGACAATGGGACGATTTAAGTTCAAAAAGATTTCATTTGATTGTAATAAATTGTGTTCAAATTAAATTCTAACATTTGAGAATTATTTAAAGGGCCCATATTACACTATTTTCTCATCTGTGGTATAACGTTTTCTCATCCAAAACATACCTGGACTTTGTTTCATTCACATGTTTAGGTGGAACAGAGCATTCTGAGCTTTGGAGATGTAGAGAGATCAGTAATAAAGGGTTACTCAAACATGTGAATGAAACAAAACACAACTCCAGGTGTGTTTTTGAGGAGGAAATGACATTCTAACAGGACTTGAAGCTTAAACTGTGTGTGATATAGGACCTTTAAATAGAGGTGGAGAGCAGCTAAGAGTTCTCAGGTGGAGTTTGCTGTGGAACTGTCAGATGCAGATTTATGGTTCATATCTCTGTAATTATTGGATCTGTTCACATGAAACAAAAACTGTTACGAAGGTCAACATCTTGTCTGTTTTCTTTGCTATTTTAACTTGAATTTTTTTCCCTTTGAACTTGGAATATTACTGGGATATTTTGCTGCCCTCCATCTGAAATTTGATAATGTGAACACAATTTTTTGTGTTATTAACTGACTGAAAATCCATTGTAATTTTGTTCAGACTCATGTATTTTTCCCCTTCTATTTTTGTAATGCCACAGATTTAAAACTGAATTTTCCTCAAAGCACCAAACTCATTTTGGTGGTGGAAATTTTATGAGACAAGTACACAGATGATGTATTTGCTGTTGACATTTTGTTTTCATTGCATTATCAAATTCAAACCGTATGTAACTGTTCTGTTGAAAATAAATATATTTTCAGAAAACTTCTTATCAAACCATTATTAAGAAATATGAAAAAGGGAAAATTCAGTTATCAATTTGTGGGACATTAACAGACCGTTGTTTATAAGATTTGGGTTTCTGTTCTATCTGGGAATGTTGCAATGTGAAATCATTTTACAATTACTGTGCAAACAAGTATTTTTACAATTGGCCTACATTTTAACAAACAAAAAAATCAGAAATTCTTAACTCCTTTTCTAATCCATTTCAAGTTCTATGTGATAAAAATCATTTACTCCACTGTTAGTCGCATATGTTTGAATTCCACATTTATTAAAGAGGGGGTATTGTACAAGATCAATTTTATTTTAGTTCTAACGTTGTTTCCTTATCAAAAATACGCCTGCACAGGTTTTAGATGTCATCCATGCATGTTTGAGTAAATTAGCGATCTCTCACGGGCCCTGTTTGAAACCTCCTTACAGTTAAGCAGTAAGATTTTGTACTAGGCTCCGCCCACAAGCCTTCATCACCCACTCTCCCACACGAGAATTCTCCAGAAATATACAAAAACATGATAGAAAACTGCACACAATTTGACAAACACTGACTGTGTTGTGTTCGCACTCTGGATACCCCCTCTTTAAGAATTTGAGGAAGTAACATTCAAATTGCGTTGTATCTTAAATATGTGTAAATGGACTTAAACAGCTCTTTGCCCTTCTCCTGTCTGACTGCTCTAAAACTGCCACTGCCCCTCCCCAGTTCAAGAACTATTTTAAGTCTAAATCCACCCATGTATAAGGTTCAATAATGCCTACATTTCATCATTTGTACCAATATATATGTACCTAAACCCACCCCAAACTATCTGTGCAGCATAAAGATTAAGATACCCTAATTATATTGTACTAGAATAATTATTATCTTCATTCTTGCTGTTTAATTCCAGTTGGTATCATTTGTCATCATTGTTTAGCATTATGGAAGCACCAGACAGTTGTGGAAAGACTTGGAAGGCTTTTTTTAATTTCGTCTGGTTGTCGGTGGTCTGATAACGCAGAGGGAGGGGACAAACGCCAAGAGAGAGTCAAGATGGCAGTCAAGTTTGTACCGGTGGGAAATGACTTACAGTGCTGAAATAAAATTTATTCTTTTAGTAAAAAAAACAATGTCTGTTTTTTTTTGTTTTTTTTTTTGACATGAGTGGGGTGTTCTACATGTCCTGTATGTGTATGGCAGAATGGTCATCAGTTACCATGGTGACACAATGCACACATTAACACATGCTGTCTCAAAAGGTATAAGGTAGTCTGAAAAATCAAGAAGAAATACAAAATGGATTTAAACAGGACATTTTCAGGAGTCTGTACAATACACGCGGTCATGGTCCTATTCAGGAGCTTGTTATGTAAGACGGACTTGTTTTACACTGCACATCAGCTCACCTGCTGTAGTTCCAACAAAGTCCTTTCTGGACAGACTAAAACTCAGGTTAAAACCCCAGACAGAGCTGTGCCTACAGTTAGCGTCACACCCTCAGGGAATGTAGATGACATCAGGTGCAACTCTTCTAAGTCCTATTAGAAATCTAAAGTTCTGCTCCAAAATGCTACTGTGTAAAGGTGCATGATGTAACTTTTCTGCTTGTCTAAATGGAGATGATTTTTGTTTAGTTTAGTTTTTTGCCTGGTATGTTCCACAGTATGACATTTCAGCTCATCTATCTCCATGTAGACCACCAAAAAAGTGAATCAGTGCACCTTCAAAGTTCTGTCACTGGATTAACTAAAATGAAATGAGAAAGTTTGGTTGTGTGTGTGTCCTATATCCCTGTTGTGTGTCAGATGCCCTTCCATCTTTCTGTGGTTAGACTGAGATTGGGGCAAATGTCTCTAGTTAATGTGAAGATGCCGTGGTGTGTCAGATGCCCTCCCCGATGTTGTGGTGTGGTTGGATAAGCACTGCTGGAGAGTGGACCTTGTTACAGATAGAAATGATCAGGGGAAAACATTTGTGGATTTGACTTTTGGGAGATTTTTTAAAATGAAAATACCAGAGCATAATAGAGAATTTTGGCTTTTCTTCCATTTAAGACAAAAACACACCATTTTCATCTGTTTTAACATCTCTAATTGATCAAATATTCAACATTTCGGATTGTAATCATGCTTATTCATTCACAGAGTTTTTTGTTTTTTTTTCCTTCCAAATTCTTGAAGTCTCGTTTTGGGGGCGCGCTCCTCAGAAAATCTCGAGATATTACGCACGTGTTACGCATGCCATCCGCTCCAGTCCCACGGAGCGCCCCGCTAAAGGAAACATGGCGAGGAGACTGCTGCTGCCACCTGGGTTTCACACAAGATGGTACGGTTTCCTTAGCATTTCTACAACATATTTAAAGCTAAAGGAGAAATAAACGTAGCTAGAGACCGAGGCAGATGTCGTGCGTACGTGGATGCGTGCGGAGTGGCCGTGGGGAGAAGGAGAGGTGGGTGCCAGTGGTGCTAGCTGACAGCGGGCTAGCCTGGGCACATTCTGGACTAGTGGAGGTCCAAGAGGGGCTGGACAGACGTTTAAGACTGGGAGAAATCATTTGCACAGACGCAGAGGATGTAGTCTTGTTTTTAAGGGGAAATACAAGTTAGGTTTGTGATTAAATTTAGAATTGGGCTGGTTTGGTGGGTGAAGATGTGCGCAAAGGCCGTGCACTGAAATGGAACAGAAATCAAACCAGTTTAGACCTGGTTTAGTTTTAGATTAGTCTTGGTTTAGTCCTGCTTTATAACTGTATAGTTAAGTCTTGGTTAAGACCTGTTTTGGTGTCCTTGTCCTGAATAAGCCTTGATAAATGGAGTAGAAATAATTCCGTCCTGGGTTAGTTCTGGGTTAGTCTTGGTGTAGTCCTGGTTTAGTAGAGCTATATAGTAATACTAAGTCCTGTTTGAGACATGTTTGGGTGTTCTTGTTGTGCTTATCCTCATTAAGTCCTGGTTTAGTCCTGGTTTAGTCCTGGTTTAGTCCTGGTTTAGTCCTGGTTTAGTCCTGGTTTAGTCCTGTATGATTGTATGATGGGGTTGTTGCTTGTAGATATGAAATTTTCATTGTTTGCTTGGTCCTTAATTAGTCCTGCTTTAGTCCTACCATAGTCCATCTTTAGACCTGCTTTAGACCTGCTTTAGACCTGTTTTAGTCCTGTTTTAGACCTGCTTTAATCCTACCATAGTCCATCTTTAGACCTGCTTTAGACCTGCTTTAGACCTGTTTTAGTCCTGTTTTAGTCCTGCTTTAGTCCTACCATAGTCCATCTTTAGACCTGCTTTAGACCTGCATCAGCCTCTGTCCACCACCACCAATCACTCACACACAACATTCAAACATTAACAAGCTGAGTGTCTTGCCGAAGGACACAACAGTAGTATCTACGCTGTAGACAAATGCTCTAATCACCGTGGTTCAGTAAAGTTGAGGTGTCCAGGAGCCGGTTTAGTCGTGGTTTAGTCGTGGTTTAGTCGTGGTTTAGTCCTGGTTTAGTCCTGGTTTAGTCCTGGTTTAGTCCTGGTTTAGTCCTGGTTTAATATTGTCCTGGTTTTGTCCTCACATTCATAGCAAACATACTAAACTATTACTTGTTTTAAATTATTTGTTTTTGTTTTACAGATAAAAGATGCCCTCCCATAACGTGAAGACACACCAGGAACCACCACTTTCGGCTCTGTCTTTTTTTATGGGGTCAAATCTGGATTATTAGACTCTTGAACATTGCAGCGTGGCTCCAGTATTGGGTGCTCTCTCTCCTCTTGAGTCCTATGGGTGCTGTGGGATGAGGTAGTAGTTTGTATAGTTTTAGGATCACACCAGATCTGGGAGATAACTATACAGTCTACTGTCTTTCCCACGGACCTTAACTTCTGCAGATGAGCCTGTCAGAGGAGACTGGTCCTCACATAGTCCTGGTTTAGTCCTGCTTTAGCCCTGGTTTAGTCCTGGTTTTGGTGGAGGAGACTGCAGCCTGTTGCCACGGTTACTGTAGGCTCGGTTGCCATTGGAGACGAGAAGGCTTAAATTAAATCAAGAGTTGGAAACATCATTCAGATCATTTAAACATCTTACTCCTAATCGCCTGTTGTTAATAATAAAAATCTATTTGTGATCATATTTTGATGGTAATAGAATCGGGGCTTGTACACAGCCTCTTCCAGTCACTCTTTGTACTTTGACACTGCATTATTCATTCACTTGTGAGTCACAGGAGGAGGATGGTGTGCTCATATTAGGCCTGTGTTCCTGTAGTGATGAAGTCTGTGTGTTTTATACTCGGGGATATCGGTCTAGTCCAGGATTGAAACAAGTTCATCCATTAAGCGCAGCTTGTGTTGTGAAAGTGTTTTTGTCTGTTCTGTGGTGAGGTAGTGAACCAGTTGTGTTTCTGTTGTTATTTTTGGATATATTTTTTGTCACGAGGCAGCTCTGTGGAGAGCAGGGCTGTATTCAACTAAAGAAACCCTTGGTGGACTAAAGACGTGTTGCCAATCGATTGGTCGACGAAAAAGGGGGCGTGGCTAAAGCTCTCAAAACTACTGAGGCAAAACTGATGTGACCCAAACCACACTCGGCAGCACACCTGCAGAGGAAGCTCATGCAAAAACTACTATTTATAAAAACAACTATTTATAAGCGTACAGTGCGCCGTACTGAAGTACTGACGTGTATTTAAATGAAAAAAACGCAGATGAATCTCCTAATCTTTAACTAGTCTACTACGTACCTCACTGCTGCTGCTGTGTCCTGTACACGTCCTCCACATGGAAAGAACAGAATCATAAGTCAACTTCGATTAAGATGCAGACAAACAGTCAACTGTTTAATCGTTTAAATGACTCAGTCTTCAGCCCAAGTGTTCTGGCTCGGTTGTGATGTTCTAGTTGTATTCTGCTTGTGTTCTGGTTGTTCTGGTTGTGTTCTGGTTGTGTTCTGGTTGTGTTTCGGTTGTGTTCTGGTTGTGTTTCGGTTGTGTTCTGGTTGTGTTTCGGTTGTGTTTCAGTTGTGTTCTGGTTGTGTTTCGGTTGTGTTCTGGTTGTGTTCTGGTTGTGTTTCGGTTGTGTTCTGGTTGTATTTCAGTTGTGTTCTGGTTGTGTTTCAGTTGTGTTCTGGTTGTGTTTCGGTTGTGTTCTGGTTGTTTTCTGGTTGTGTTCTGGCTCAGTTGTGATGTTCCGGTTGTGTTCCGGCTCTGTTGTGTTGAGGTAGTGAGTTGTGTTGTTGTGGGGTGTTTGATTCTAACCCCAGTTCTGGAGATGCAACAGCACGACCCTCTGCCTTCCACAGCTCAGCTCCTCTCTCCAGATCAGGCTTCAAATGTTTTCCAACTGAAAAGTCCAGATAGCCAAACTTATTCACTCTGAAACGTTTGTCCCATTGACAGAATTACATTTTCTTTTGCATTGTTTTAGTGAAATGTTATTGATGTTTTTGTAATAAATAAAAGAATGTTTTTTACATTTAAACCAGGCTGGCTCCACTTATTTTAGCGATGTTCAAGTCTTTTAGTGCTAGGTGTGGCTGAAAGAAACTCTTTTGGAACTTGTACTGGAGACGCACTTCCTATGGAGTGCTAAAGGTGTACTGAGTAACTTTTCTGCTTGTCTCCATGGAAATGTAATTGCTTTGTCTGGAATGTTCCATAGTATGACATGAAACCTATCGACCTCCATGAAGGCAAGCAGATGACAGAGATAAGCCAAGTTATAGTCAATGAAAACACCTTCTGTACTGTCAGATAAAAGATAAATGAAATGCCATACTGTCCAACACTCCAGCATCTCCATGGAGACAGAAGCTACTAGAAAAATGACACTGTTCACCTTGAAGTGTTTTTGAAGACACTGTGATTATTGGAAATGCACTTCTACCAAACTGGGATACTCCAGAAATGAAAAAAAGCTTTAAAACCTTTAAAAGTCAAATGTCCATTCATTTGGAGCAGGAGGGGGAGTTCCCCATGCCTCTCTCTGATTGGAGGGTCTTGGGTCACGTGACTTCCCTTTACCCCTCACTAAAGATCATTTGGAAAACAGATCTCTCACTCCCAACTGGAAATAAGAGTTCTATTTCTTTGCCAATTAAATCCTACGCAAATATACAAATCATGTGACCGATTCAAATGATAATGAAATAAAAGGCTACCAAGGAATCTCTAGGCAACGATCAAAACAATTTAAGTAATGTATAATGTTAATTATTGATTGATTCATCCATTCATTTATTTTAACCAGAGAAGCCATACAAAAACTCCAAAGACTAAAGTTAAATAAAATAAATAAATGAGGCTTTTCAAATGAGTGAGTTATTCATTCAGTAGTGGGTTATCACAGGTTCATATCTGATTACTCTATTTGATATAAAAAATAAAAAATTAACTTTATTTATTGTTATTTCTAATCCCACTGCTACACTTGCTTTTAGGATCTGTTTCCACAAACAAGAATAATGTAAGATAACTAAATAAAATAAATAATAATTAATATAGAGGAGTTCATTCTCCAACAGGCTCCGACAGCTCTGCTCAAACAGTGAGATTGATACTATAATACTCCCTAAAACTGAATCATAATCATAATCATAATAATAAAAGAAAAAAAAAAGAAAGAAAGAAAATCAACATAGGCTTTTGAGAGCGGGTCGTCCTGTCTCTGGTGCGCATGTGCGCATGTGCGTGTGTGCGCATGTGCGTGTGCGTGACGCCGTGTTTGTGAATAAACATGGCGAACATTCGGTGCGTCAAGGTGAGCTCACTTTTATCCTAACTTTTCCTCTGCGCTTTGGAGGATCCACTTCATGTTTCAGTAGAAGACTCGTGAACACTTCTGCTCTGTGCTCGTGTTTTTCGCTCCTTTCTGTCTGTTTGCGTTTTGTACTTACAGATAAATTAAAATGTCGTTACACAAGTAGCAGTAGCACTTTCATTGATCCAGGCTGCAGACAATATTCTTAATTTTTTGGAACTGTACTTTCTCCAAATGTCTTAAAACTGACGCAATATCGAGCTTTAAACCATGTTAGAATGTTGTTATCTCCAAAAAACGTACTTTGACTAATCTTTTACTTTTAGTCAGTCTTTTTGTCCAGACGTCCTTATTTACCCGAGACAGTCCCAGTTTTGAGCCCGTGTCCCCTGTCCAAGCAGATTTATACAAAACCAGTGATTTGTCCAAGTTTTATACAAGCACTGTCCCAGGTGTCCCTATTTTTGACCAATCCGGTCCTGCCAACAGTAAAAGAGGCATGAACTGTCATTTGTGTAGGTAAAACACAGAAAAGCTGCTTAAAAATAAATAATAATGAATAAATTTGACTATACTGACATTAGTGCAGAGTGCAGAAATATTTTCCTTAATTATGCACTAATTTCACAATTTTAATATTATCAACCACAAACCGTCTGCATCTGTCTACATCTCCAAAGCTCAAAATGCTCTGGTCCACTTTATGATGTCATGAAATGGTAGTTTTCAAGTTAACAGCTCCTTTTACTTTTTCTTTAGTAGCGATTGGCAATTCTAGAGCTGAAATTATCCAAACAACTCTAGTGAGGGTGTGTGGAGTTTAAAAACACAGTGGAGCACTTCCTGTATTACCATATGACATCACAAGGTGGAAAAGTGTGTTTGCTGCCTGAGAGAAAAAGTCAGTCTAAATGTGCAGGTGTTAAACGTGTGAATGAAACAAAACACAACTCCAGGTGTGTTTGTGATGAGGAAACGACATTAGAACATTAGAACAGAAAATGGCGTCTTATTGGCCCTTTAATGATCGTCTTGTTGGAGGTGATTCTCTGAGGCAGGTTTACAAGGTTACACTTCTCCACTTATCACTGTATTTAGGTCAAGGGACTCTGCATGGATTTTGCGTAGATTAGGTAACCAATCTTTTAGTAAGTGTGGATTGCAGCGTGGGGAGGTCAGCCAAAATGTACTTGATTAAAATGTTCTAAATAAAGAATCTTTTTCTGAAGTACTAAACTAATCCAAGAATCCCGTGTATTTTTGAACATGTTTCTAAACTACAGAGTTGGCAGCTTTTACACAAACCCCACAGAGACACGGGGACATTTAGTTTTCTGCAAAGGAAGGTCTTGTATTCATGTATCTTCTAGTGCATTAGTGTGAAAGCTTTGCCTGGAATGTTCCACAGCTCTGCATTAAATTTATCTAGAGTCATGGAAACAAGCAGGTGACACCACAGGGCCTAGTCATTTAGTAACGACAATAAAGATAATGTATTAATAATATAATATAATAACAAACATAAAAATAGAGGGTTCAAATTCATTACTTCTGAGCAATAACGTTCCCCTGGAGATAAGCTGGTGATGGACGCTTCAGAAAATCAGAAAAGCTTAAACCATAAAAAACCATAGTGCCTCTTCAGGACCGCTGTGTGTCTACATGTGTGATATCAGGGCAGTGAGTGGAGGAGGTGTGTGATGTTCCGTACTGTCTCTTTAACCCCCCGTGTGTGTGTGTGTGTGTGTGTGTGTTGTTTCAGGGCATGGTGGGCGTGGTGAGTGGAGGAGCCTCGGGTTTGGGCAGAGCCACAGTGGAGCGTCTGATCCAGAGTGGAGCGTCTGCTGTGATCCTGGACCTGCCCTCGTCAGAAGGGGGCGCTCTGGCTGCGAGTCTGGGGGAGCGCTGTGCCTTTGCTCCAGCCGACGTGAGTCACATTCACAATAACAAGAACTTTGAAAGAACGTGTGTCCCTCATGACACCAAAAGGTTTCAAGCAGCTGGTCAATGGACTGAAATATCTTGACCTCATAAACACATCTGCTGCATTCACAACATTCTACAGGTCAGAGTTTGAACTCAAAATCACATTTGACCTGGTTTATGGTTCATACCTTTTATGATCATACCTGCTGTTTATCTGAACTTATTACCTCCAATAAAAAAACATTTAAAATTCTACTACCACTTTTTGAAATCTTTTATTCCAATAAAGAAACCATTTTGAAAATGTCCAAAGGTGAAATCTAATGATGTGGTTGAACCCGCTGTTCTTCAGGTGACCTCAGAGGCAGACGTGCGCTCTGCCGTGTCTTTGGCTCGGGAGCGTTTTGGGAGACTGGACCTGGCGGTGAACTGCGCCGGCATCGCTGTGGCCGTGAAAACGTACAACTTTAAAAAGGACGCGCCGCACAGTTTAGAGGACTTCCAACGCGTCATCAATGTGAGACAATAAGACACAAAACAGATAAGGCAGTAGATAAATACTAAATAATGAGCTATGACCTCTGCTGTGGTTCTATTACAGTTAGCTGTAAGTCTGTACAAGGCTCCGCCCACAGGACAACATATACAAACATGACACAAAACTGTGCACAACTGGACAAACCTCTCTATCATTTAAAGCCAATTTGATCTTTTTTTGTCCTCCTTTTTGCCAATGTCCTGGTCATGACTTCTGTAGCGATGGTGTGTTTAATTCTGTTGTTTACCTGGTGTAGCCCTTTGAGTTTGAAATAGTCTTATAACCAGTGTTGGGAAGGTTATTACCTCCACCAAAGAGGTTATGTTTTTGCCGGCGTTTGTCTGTTTGTTTGTTTGTTTGTTTGTTTGTCTGTTAGCAACATAACTCAAAAAGTTATGGACTGATTTTGATGAAATTTTCAGGATTTGTTGGAAATGTGAAAAGGAAGAACTGATTTCATTTTGGGGGTGATCCGGAAGAAATCCTGGATTCTGGATCACTTTGAAATTTTAGTTAACATTGTGGTAAATGGGGCCAAAAATTTTGTTTCTCAATATCTCAGTTAATTATTGACCAAACCTCATGAAATTTGACTCAGGGATGGACAATGGGATCCTCTTTCATATTCCAAAGGCTGATCTGGATCTGATCCAGAAGACTGATTTTTATCGCAATTTATATAAAAAATGGGGGTAGTACTTGGCGGCTGTCTGTGCTCTCTGAATGCTTTTCTAGTTTTTAAAATTTAATCCTCTACAGATTACAGATTACACACACCAAAATGTAGTTTGTAACATAATTACTTAAAGTGAGTAACGTAATCTGAATGCTTTGGATTACTTGATATTGTCATGCTTTTTAGTTTAGTTCTGGTTTTAGTTCTGGTTTAGTCCTAGTTTAGTCCTAGTTTAGTCCTGGTTTAGTCCTGGTTTAGTCCTAGTTTAGTCCTAGTTTAGTCCTAGTATAGTCCTAGTTTAGTCCTAGTTTAGTCCTAGTTTAGTTCTAGTTTAGTTCTAGTTTAGTTCTAGTTTAGTCCTGGTTTAGTCCTTGTTTAGTCCTAGTTTAGTCCTGGTTTAGTTCTAGTTTAGTCCTGGTTTAGTTCTAGTTTAGTCCTAGTTTAGTCCTAGTTTAGTCCTGGTTTAGTTCTAGTTTAGTTCTAGTTTAGTCCTAGTTTAGTCCTAGTTTAGTCCTAGTTTAGTCCTAGTTTAGTCCTAGTTTAGTCCTAGTTTAGTCCTGGTTTAGTCCTGGTTTAGTCCTAGTTTAGTTCTAATTTATCCATCCATCCATCCATCCATTTTCGTCCGCTTATCCGGGGCCGGGTCGTGGGGGCAGCAGCCTAAGCAGGGACTCCCAGACTTCCTTCACCCCAGACACGTCCTCCAGCTCCTCCGGGGGGACCCCGAGGCGTTCCCAGGCCAGCCGAGAGACATAGTCCCTCCAGCGTGTCCTGGGTCTTCCCCGGGGCCTCCTCCCGGTGGGACATGCCCGGAACACCTCCCGAGGGAGGCGCCCAGGAGGCATCCGGAACAGATGCCCGAGCCACCTCAACTGGCTCCTCTCGACGTGGAGGAGCAGCGGCTCTACTCCGAGCTCCTCCCGTGTGACTGAGCTCCTCACCCTATCTCTAAGGGAGACGCCCAGCCACCCTGCGGAGGAAACCCATGTTGAGCGCTTGTATCCGCGATCTCGTCCTTTCGGTCACTACCCAGAGCTCATGACCATAGGTGAGAGTAGGAACGAAGACTGACCGGTAAATCGAGAGCTTCGCCTTTCGACTCAGCTCCTCTTCACCACAACGGTCCGATACAGCGACCGCATCACTGCCGAAGCTGCACCGATCCGCCTGTCAATCTCACGTTCCGTCCTTCCCTCACTCGTGAACAAGACCCCGAGATACTTGAACTCCTCCACTTGAGGCAAAGACTCCCCACCCACCCGGAGAGGGCAAGCCACCTTTTTCCGGTCGAGAACCATGGCCTCGGACTTGGAAGAGCTGATCTTCATCCCAGCCGCTTCACACTCGGCTGCAAACCGCCCCAGTGCACATTGCAGGTCCTGGTTCGATGAAGCCAACAGGACAACATCGTCCGCAAACAGCAGAGATGAAATCCTGTGGTCCCCAAACCGGACCCCCTCCGGCCCCTGACTGCGCCTAGAAATTCTGTCCATAAATACAATGAACAGAACCGGTGACAAAGGGCAGCCCTGGCGGAGTCCAACATGCACCGGGAACAGGTCTGACTTACTGCCGGCAATGCGAACACAGCTCCTGCTCCGGTCATACAGGGACCGGACCCCAGACTCCCAGAGCACCCCCCACAGGACACCACGAGGGACACGGTCGAATGCCTTCTACAGATCCACAAAACACATGTGGACTGGTTGGGCAAACTCCCATGAACCCTCGAGCACCTATGGAGAGTGTAGAGCTGGTCCAGTGTTCCACGGCCAGGAAGAAAACCACACTGCTCCTCCTGAATCCGAGGTTCGACTGTCGGCCGGATTCTCCTCTCCAGTACCCTGGCATAGACCTTACCGGGAAGGCTGAGAAGTGTGATCCCCCTATAGTTGGAGCACACCCTCCGGTCCCCCTTCTTATACAGAGGGACCACCACCCCGGTTTGCCAGTCCAGAGGTACTGTCCCCGACCGCCACGCGATGTTGAAGAGGCGTGTCAGCCAAGACAGCCCCACAACATCCAGAGACTTCAGGTACTCAGGACGGATCTCATCCAACCCCGGAGCCTTGCCACCAAGGAGCTTGCCAACCACCTCAGTGACTTCGGCCAGGGTGATGGATGAGTCCGCCTCCGAGTCCCCAGCCTCGGCCTCCTCCTCGGAGGACGTGACGGTGGGATTGAGGAGATCCTCAAAGTATTCCTTCCACCGCCGGACAACGTCCCCAGTCGAGGTCAACAGCTCTCCCCCCGCACTGTAAACAGTGTTGGTGAAGAACTGCTTCCCGCTCCTGAGGCGCCGGATGGTTTGCCAGAATCTCTTTGAGGCCGTCCGATAGTCCTTCTCCATGGCCTCCCCGAACTCCTCCCAGCTTCGAGTTTTTGCCTCCGCGACCACACGGGCTGCAGCACGCTTGGCCCGCCGGTACCCGTCAGCTGCCTCAGGAGTCCCCCGAGCCAGCAAGGCCCGATAGGACTCCTTCTTCAGCTTGACAGCATCCCTTACTTCCGTTGTCCACCACCGGGTTCTGGGGTTGCCGCCGCGACAGGCACCACAGACCTTACGCCCACAGCTCCGAGCAGCCGCATCGACAATAGAGGCCGAGAATGAAGCCCACTCGGGAGAAGTCCTCCCGGAGGTGCGAGTTGAAGGTCCCTCTGACAGAGGCTCCGCCAGACGTTCCCAACAGACCCTCACTACACGCTTGGGTCTGCCAGGTCTTTCCGGCTTCCTCCTCCGCCAGCGAACCCAACTCACGACCAGGTGGTGATCAGTTGACAGCTCAGCCCCTCTCTTCACCCGAGTGTCCAAGACACGCGGCCGGAGATCAGATGACACGACGACAAAGTCGATCATCGACCTCCGGCCTAGGGTGTCCTGGTGCCACGTGCACTTATGGACACCCTTGTGCTCGAACATGGTGTTCGTTATGGACAAACTGTGACTAGCACAGAAGTCCAATAACAAAACACCACTCGAGTTCAGATCGGGGAGGCCGTTCCTCCCAATCACCCCTCTCCAAGTGTCTCTGTCGTTGCCCACGTGGGCGTTGAAGTCCCCGAGGAGAACAACGGAGTCCCCGGTCGGTGCACTGTCTAGTACCCCTCCCAAGGACTCCAAGAAGGCCGGGTACTCAGCACTGCTGTTCGGCCCGTAGGCCGACACCACAGTGAGAGACCTGTCCCCGACCCGAAGGCGCAGGGACGCGACCCTCTCGTTCACCGGGGTGAACTCCAACACACAGCGACTGAGCTGTGGGGCAATGAGCAGGCCCACACCAGCCCGCCGCCGCTCCCCGCGGCCAACGCCAGAGAAATGGAGAGTCCAGCCCCTCTCAAGGAGTTGGGTTCCAGAGCCCAAACTGTGCGTGGAGGTGAGGCCGACTATATCTAGTCGGTAACGCTCAACCTCCCGCACAAGCTCCGGCTCCTCCCCCCCAGCGAGGTGACATTCCATGTCCCCAGAGCTAGTCTCCATGTCCGGAGATCCGGTCGCCGAGGCCCCCGCCGTCGACTGCCGCCCAGATCTCTCTGCACCGGCCCCATATGGATCCTCCTGCGGGTGGTGGGCCCACGTGAGGACGGCCCCACGTCGCTCCTTCGGGCTGAGCCCGGCCGAGCCCCGTGGGGGGAGGCTCGGCCACCAGGCGCTCGCTGGCGAGCACCCACCCCAGGCCTGGCTCCAGGGTGAGGCCCCGGTGACGCCAATCCGGGCGACGTAACTGGCCTTGCTCGTACACTCATCATAGGGGCTTCTGAACCGTTCTTCGTCTGACCCGTCCCCCCGGACCTGTTTGCCTTGGGTGACCCGACCAGGGGCATGAAGCCCCCGACAACATAGCTCCCGGGATCATTCGGGCACTCAAACCCCTCCACCACGATAAGGTGACGGTTCAAGGAGGGGTAGTTCTAATTTAGTTCTAGTTTAGTCCTAGTTTAGTCCTGGTTTAGTCCTAGTTTAGTCCTGGTTTAGTTCTAGTTTAGTCCTGGTTTAGTCCTAGTTTAGTCCTAGTTTAGTCCTAGTTTAGTCCTAGTTTAGTTCTAGTTTAGTCCTGGTTTATCCCAAAATGTGAAAACTGAAAATTACCGCCCTGTAATCCATTTATTTCAACAAAGTAACTGTAATCCAATTACCACTCACTGAAACAGTAACTGTAACTGAATACAGTTACTCATAATTTGTATTTTGATTACGTAACTTTGGTACATGTAATCTGTTACTCCCCAACACTGCCTATAACAGACCTGGTTTAGATCTGTTGGTATTCTGGAAACCACATCTTTTCTAAGGTGGGACTTTGTGTGAAACGTTAAGGAGCCCACAATACTAAAAGTCACATTTTTAGATTTTACAAGTTTAGTGTTTTGTTGACAAAGCTTGACTTGTTCACAGAGGAATGAACCGTTTTGATTGAGTGTCTCTGTGTGTTTGCTCAGGTGAACATCGCAGGGACCTTTAATGTGATCCGTCTGGCCGTGGGGGAGATGGGGAAGAACGAGCCTGACGCAGACGGACACAGAGGCTGCATCATCAACACAGCCAGCGTGGCAGCTTTTGACGGACAGGTACTACAAAACTGGATTAGGGGGTTAACCCTGGTTTAGCAGCACTATGAAGCAGGATCAACATATATCAGGGTTATATCTCCATGGTAACAAGCCCTAAACTCATAACCTGCTTTGGACTAGGTTAGGTTAAAAGGATCCCCGGCTACTTTGACACGCTGCTTTTATATGATTAATGTTGGCGTCAGTTATAAATACGTAATACCAAAAAAATCATATGTTCTTTTGTGTAGGAGAAAATATGATCACTAGTAATTTGCCAGATTTGTTTACGTCGTAAAGCATTCTGGGTAACCTTGTCACAGGTTGTTGTCTTCTGTCGTCGGGTTCAACTGATATAATGCCACACTGCGGGGCTTTCGGTTGTAATTTTCAGTCTAAAGGCAACGAGGAAACTGATGTGAACGTTCACTGCTTTTCATGGGATGTTAAAAAAAGAAAACAGTGGGAAAATGCTGTGGGACGAGTACAACTACCTAAAGATGTGCAACAAATGATATAATCTGAAAACCACCAATACAGTAAGTTTCATCACATAATGATGCTAATTTATGGAGCAAATGAGATTTTTATTTGGCTGTAGTTGAGCATAAAATAAATATTTGTAAACTGTAGAACGAGTTCAGTCGTACATAAAATGTGTTGTGTGTATTTTATCCATCAGAATATGAATTGAAAAGTTGCGACATCAAGAATTACAATCACGAAAAGAAAATTTACCATTACGCTTTCTTCAGTATGAATATGAACTCACAGACACGACTCGACTGTCACAAATACATCATCATTTCACAGGCTTTATTTATTGAGCAGAACAAACATTGATCGAGAGGATGGACTTTTGAACTGCATATGGACTAAACCAGGACTAGAACAGGACTAAACCAGGACTGAACCAAGACTGTTCCCGGGGATTGTACATCATTGCCCGTACAAAAATCCGGATGCTGAACAATTATTTATTATTTCAAACTGTCTTTCACTGTTAATAACCAAATGCACTGTCCCATGGGTTTTATTAATAAAAAACCTCCCAAACATCTGATTCTGTTGGTACATGTGTTTACCAATGGACGTGTTAATGGTGGTTTCAGCTTGTATAGATCTGAATATTGAACTTTTATACATTTGAATATTGAACTTTTATACATTTCAATATTGAACTTTTATAGATCTGCTTCAGTCCTGCTTCAGTCCTGGTTTAGTCCTGGTTCAGTCCTGGTTTAGTCCTGGTTTAGTCCTGGTTTAGACCTGGTTTAGACCTGGTTCAGTCCTGGTTCAGTCCTGGTTTAGACCTGGTTCAGTCCTGGTTTAGTCCTGGTTCAGTCAGTGCAAAAGTCCAACAATATAAACAGATTTCTGTCCTATGCACACATATATTTCTGAAGTTTTTTTACTCCATATTTCTTACTCCATACTAATAAAATGAGTAACTTGACTCCCCCTGAACTGCTCCTGACAGAAAACTGAGCTCTTACCACACACACTCTCCCTCTCTGTTGCTTTGGTGAGCACTTGTTGCACAGACTCCATCGATGGTGAGCAGCTCTCTTCCTCACCTCTCTGTTCGTCTTTATGTTCATCATTATCGTCCACCGAGTTGTCCTCCAAACTTGATGTGCGCTCTGGTTCAAATGGAAAAGACTGAACAGAAACCAGGTTCATCTTGCCGAGACTCTTCATCAACAGATACAACCTTGTGACAAGGTTACCCAGAATGCTTTGCAATGTAAACAAATATGGCAAATTCCTAGGGATCATCATACTTTCTCCTTTTTTTATAAAAAAATACTACAAACGAACATATTTGAGTTTTTTGGTATTACGTATTTATAACTGACGCCAATGTTAATCATATAAGAGCAGTGTGTCAAAGTAGCAGAGGATCCTTTAAGGTTAAATTTGAATTTCACTGTTGCTCGTCTCTGATTGGTCACTCTGTTTGTTTGTGTCTCTCTGTTTTGAGCAAATGCTTTCAAAAGTTTCTCATTAGTGGTTTATTATTAGTAGTAGTAATAGTAGTTTATTCTGTCATTTTGTAGCACCACAAAACAAAACGGACTGCAGCTCAATGGATCATGACCGAAAGGGTTTAGGCTCAAGTAAAAAGTACTTCTAATGCCAAATCCTGTGAAACAATGACAGAATTCCAAGAGAGAAAGCAGCGTATGAACAGCAAGTTGAGTTTACAATTTCACTTACGACTACTCTATATATAAGAGACAAAATATAAATTAAAACAAACAAAATTTTATATCTTTCAACACGCTTTATACTCTGTTTTTAAAGGCTTCTGTACAGTGTTAGACTTTTTAAAAAATCAGCATTCAGCTTGTTCCTCACACTAACCCCAGAAATACAATCACTTTTTTCGTAGTGCTTATCTTAATTTTTTTTAAAGATGCCAGTTTTTTTAGATTTTGTTTTTGGTTGTACAAACTAATAATCTTAGGCTGCGTTCAGACTGCAGCCTGAAGTGACCCAAATCCGATTTTTTTGGCTTTTATGTGACCTGTATCTGATCTTTTAATGACAGTCTGAACCACACAGATCCGATTTTTTCAAATGTGACCCAGGACACTTGGATATGTGCTCCTAAAACTGATACATATCTGATCTTTTGACATGTGACTTCAGTGTGAACAGTCAAAGTGTATTCATCCACCTACACGTTATCAACAAGACACAAACGTCACTATTCTGCGCTGAAGTAGGTGAAAATTGTTAATGAACTCCGTGTCACTGAAGTGAAGCACATCTCCACTCACCACTCTTGGCTCCATCTCCACATCCACACGTTCCTTTCAACGGACTGAACCACAAAACACCACGACCAAAAACCTCGTCCTTCTCCTTCTCAATCTCCTCCTTAAAACAAGTAAGTTGTTCATGTTGTGGCTCTGGTACGAGAGGAACTTTAAAAGCTCCAGGTGCACGATGCTGCGTCCATGTTTGGACAACTTCTGTAAACACAGAGACGCTCACTGCGGTTGACGTCGTTGTGTCTCCAGTGCACATGTGGGACACTTTTGGGCCGTTTAATGTTCACACTGGAGTCACATACAAGTCCCATTTAATTGGAAATGTGAACGACCTCGCAAAAACATTGGATTTCACAAAAAAATCTGAATTGAGCATTAAACCCTGCAGTCTGAACATAGCCATAATGACAAAGAAGGCACAACATTTATCATTAATGATCGTATCAAAACAAAATGTAATGTTAAAGAAAATATGAAAGAAAAGCAGGTGTTTGGTGAATAGTCGTGGTTTTACTTGTGAACATGATGGATCTAGTCTTCTGGGTATTTCTGTAAGATTTGATTTGTATTTATTTATTTATTAAATTTTTTTTTAAGTGCGCCAAGTTAGTACAAGCTTTGATATGTTCGTCTAAACCAGTGTTTCCTAATGTTTTTTTTTTCTGGAGACACATATCTTAAAAGTCACAAACCTTCGAGACTCAAGTCAACAAACGTTATTCAAAAATCACAAAATAAAGGTGGATTTGAGCATTATTGAACATTAATGAGGATATTTGATTGTTGACTGACTGATCGTGTCGCTGAACAATTAGTAGTATTACTCAAGTTTTAAACCATGAAAAGCAGTCACTGAAGCAGAAATAAAAGGATCCATAAGTCGCTTATTTGGACATTAAATGTAGAACATTTCTTTTTCTTTTCAACATTCCACTAACGATAAGGTCTCAGATCAGAACTGTATATTGCAGACGTACATCTCAGATCATGACAAGGTGACCCCAAAAAATCTCGTGACCCAGTCTTTGGGAAACGATGATCTAAATTGTTCCATGAGTGTACTCCACGTCTGCTAACACACACGCTTTTGAGAGGGGTTCCTGAGAATTGTGTTTTAAAATGAATTTGACCTCTCAGGTTGTACTGTATTTTCTGCACTATGAGGCGCTTTGGATTATAAGACGCACTGTCATTGAAGGGTCTATTTTCAAACTTTTTTCACATATAAACAGCACCGGACTATAAGGCACATTAAACCAAACACAACAGTTCGATAAGTCAGTCCAACTTTATTTAACATTTCACAATAACTCTCAACTTTGTACAATTGTAACACATAAAAAAATCCTGTCTGAGACACTAAATTGTTGTTGTATTCACAATAAGTGATAATAGTTCAAACACGTCCACATCCCTCTCGTCATGATCCGAGTCAGTGTGGTTACTGTTCCCTGGCAGTTCACTGATGGTTCTGGTCTTGGTGAAAGCTCGGACCACAGTTGATTCTGATCCTTAGTCCAGGTGTCCACGATCCGTTGGCAGATCGTGGCGTAAGTGGCTCGGCGCCGTCTCCCTGTCTTGGTGAATGTGTGTTCATGTATGAGTTTCACTTTAGAACAGTCTTGAGTTTAAAGTGGGCGTTGTGAGCGTGTCTCTTGACAGGTGCATTTTGATATTAAAAGGAATCACAGTCTGTATTACTCCTGATGCTCCTGACTACGGGAGCCGGAATGCTGCAAGTGGAGCGGCTTTGTAGTTTACTAAAGTCGAACTAAGACACTCCAATAAATTCATACATAAGGTGCTCTGGATTAGGCGCACAGTCATTTTTTGATGAAATTAGAGGCTTTTAAGTGTGCTCTATAGTTCGGAAAATGCAGTATATAAATTCATTGTGTTAAATGTTTTCTGGGAGCAGGTTGAGTTTCACTTTAAATTTGGCATGTTTTAAATTTTAGTCCCCAAATTTCAGTATCTTTGATTAACAAAGGAGTGCATTTGTATGTTCTCTATGTCTGACTAAGTGAATTCATATTGCCTTTTTTTTTCATGTAAACAGTAAGTCTGTGTTACTTTTATAAGAATTTCCCCAGACCTCTCCACGGTAACTTAAATGTGTTAAGATAAGAGGATGAGAGGAAGTAGATTGACCTTGCCTCCACATAAAACCTCCACTCCCTCCTGTGCTGTTGTGTTGCTGTACTGTTGTGTTCTCATCTTACGCCGTGTTTTGTTGTTGTTGTTGTTGTTGTAGGTGGGGCAGGCTGCGTACTCGGCCTCTAAAGGTGGCATCGTGGGCATGACTCTCCCCATCGCTCGAGACCTGGCACCCATGGGTATCAGAGTGGTCACTATCGCTCCAGGTACAACTGTGACACAACAAGAATTTCTTTGAGCACGCCTTTCGAAACTGAGTACTTTTTTTTCTCCCAATACTTCCGATCGTGACCTTGTTGAATGACCAGCAGAGGGCAGCAGAGTACATGAGTAGATGAGAGCAGACTGACTCAAGATAGGCTTTCTTATTCTTGAGTTTTCAGCTTCCTCTTTTACAGGCGCCATTTTGAGGACTTTTCACCATTTATTCATTCATTCTGCTTTTGGATAACTGTCTTTTTTTTCTACCATGTTATAATCATCAGAAACATGCCTGAAGAGAGTTTAGGTCATCCAGGCATATTTGAGTAATTTAGAGATCTCTACTAGGCAATACACTTACGCTCCCACACGACAATACATTCACAAAAACATGATACAATAGTCATTAGAGCAGGGGTGGCAAATTCTTTTTTCCATGGGGCCAGAAAATATTGCGGAGGCCAAAATGCTTAACTCAGTTCTGCATAATCTGAATTGTATTTCTTTATAAAAAGTAGAGCCCGACCGATATGGATTTTGCTGTGGCCGATATGAAACCGATATAATGGGAGTTGGATCTGCCGATAGCCGATATAATCACCGATATATTTAGTGATGTAAAAATTCACTGTAAATGTTGAATTGTTTAAAAAACTTAGGTTTGGCTCTGGTGGATTTTAAATTGGGTTTATTTAGGCAACATTTATTGTTATTTTGCCTCTTTACATCATATTTACAGACAGTAGGTTGGCTTAATGGCATTTTTGCATCACATTCTAGACACTCGTGATGGGTATTCCAGTTCTTTTTGGAGAACCGGCTCTTTTGGCTCGGCTCACTAAAAGCTGCTGATTCTTTTGGCTCCCAAGCGGCTCTTAAGATTGTTTTATTGCAAGCAGGACTAAAGCACGTCTAAAGCAGTCCTGATTCAGTCCTGAACCAGGTCTAAACCAGGACTGAAAAAGGTCTAAACCAGGACTTATTTATTTTATGCTAAATTACAGCCAAATATGCTCGTTTTTTTTGTTTGTTTTTTATCCTATGTACACGCAAATTTCTCAAAGTTTCGTTTTTAGCCGCTGCCGCTGTCAAACCACGAGTCTGCACGCGGCGTGAAGAGAAAAAAAGTGAGAGAAAGAGAAAACACGGCTCCCAGTAAGGATCAGGCTCCCGTCGTTCCCTTCAAAGAGTCGGCTCTAAGAGTCATTTCGTTCGCGACGGACCCATAACTAGTAAAGAAAGTAGCGCTATTAGCCTTTAGCTGTAAATGCTGCGCGCCGCGGTAATTAATTATATGTGCAAATGTCATAATTCACACGTCTATTCACAGCTCATTTACATATCAGTGCAGGTCCAGTAACAAATATACGGCCAATACAGTCACTTTACAACAGACCAATAGAAAACAGCCTGTTTATGTGCGGGAGCTACAGCAGCTAACCCATAACAAATGACCAAAACTAGCTTCAGAGTCGACATATTTCCAACACTCAGCCTCACACAGGCTCCTCCTCACATCACAAATCTGCACTAATAAATGTCCTTTTAATCCAGACTCAAACCGATTGTCCGTAAAAAGAATATAATCTCAGTGTTTGGATCTGTGTCTGCAGGTGTAAACAAACACACGTGAGTGACGCGACTCTGTGGTGTGTTCAGGGACAGTACGGACACACGCACGGATAAATGACTCCGTAGATAAATACTGATGTGGAGCCACATATTAGGACATTTATCTGTCTGTAAATTGGATTAAATGAACATAATGTAGAGAGTCTAAGATTTTTAACGACGTATCACATGCCCACGTGAAATATCGGCCCCTATCAGCAAGCATATCGGCCGATAGCCGATATGCCTCGAGGTGCCCATATCAGCCGATAATATCGGCCAACCGATATATCGGTCGGGCTCTAATAAAAAGCAGTAAATAGAATAGTTTTGACGAGCTGCTCAGACTGGGAAGAGTTTATGTTCTGACTAAGAAATGAAGAAGTGAGGCTGCTGAACAAAAAATGTCATTAAAAACACGTCTAAAATAAAAACAATGCAGCTTTAGTCCAGGCAAGAGGTCAAAAGATAAAATATGCTTCTTTGGTAATTCCAAATTATCTGTCTAATAAACAGGCCGGTCAGAGTCGGCCAAAAGGCTGAATGTGGCCCCAGAGCAGGACAATGCCCACGTCTGCATTAGAGGGATGTATGCTGATTGTGTTGTGATAGTGCTCTGAAGGGGAGTGACTTAGCACAGAGAGCTAAATAAGTAAGTAAGTCTTTATTTATATAGCGCTTTCACAGACATTTTCTGTCCCCAAAGACGCTTTACACAGCATTATTCAGCATTATTCATTCACTCTATACCCTGGTGATGGTAAACTACTATTGTAGCCACAGCTGCCCTGGGGCACACTGACAGAAGCGCGGCTGCCATGCCACTCGGCGCCATCGGTCCCTCCAACCACCACCAACACTCACACACACACCACTTTCATACTAGGCAATGTGGGTGAAGTGTCTTGCCTAAGGACACAATGATTGAATTGATTGTATTTAAATTGACCGTGACTATCAACTGTTCATGGAGACCTGGAGCATGTTTTGGGTTGATGGAGTGGAGACACAAAAGTAAAACTTACAGAACATGTTGATATCTTGTTTTCGGTGATTATGGCATTTTCAAACCAATAAAAGGAAACATGGAGAGTTAAATATCTAAATCTAAACCTAACCCTGTCTCCTCCTCTTCCTCCTCCTCTTCCTCAGGCCTGTTCTCCACTCCGCTCCTGGCCAGTCTCCCAGAAAAGGTGCGTTCGTTCCTGGCTCGTCAGGTGCCCTTCCCGTCGCGCCTGGGAGACCCTGCGGAGTTCGCTCACCTCGTCTCCTCCATCGCAGAAAACCCCATGATCAACGGGGAGGTGATCCGACTGGACGGAGCCATACGCATGCAGCCCTGAGCGCTGAGGGAGGGCATCTGGAGCAGGCTGCGGCCATGAGACGTCACGCTCTACTGAAGACTGTCTCGTTTAAATATGCTCTATGGAACTTTTCTGATGCAGGATTCATCACCTGCTTAAAAATATTGTTGCTTGGCCTGGAATGTTCCACAGTACGGTTTTATTCCAGTTCTATCTTGTATGTGTTCAGTTACAGGGAGTGTCGCGATACTCGATACTCAGAAATAGACTCAATACCAATTTTAATCCCATGATGATACTAACAAAGACAATAGACTGTGATTTTCAACATGAAATGGTAGTATTTTCTTTTCTCTTCTCCTGTGGCCTTACAGGTTCATCTGTGTTCTGTGAGTGGGACAGTTTCAGTGTCGACTTCTGCTCACAGGAAAATCTTTCCAGACTAGTTTTTGTGTTGATTAGAATCTGATTTTTGGCGAAGTTACCTGCTTGTCTTCATGGAGATTGCAAAGTTTTATGTCATTTTTGTCTGGAAAGTCCCACAAACATCTCCGTGGAGGAAAAAAAATGGAGCCTCCATCAGGAAAGTGACATGTTGTAGCTTTAACTCTGAGCTGGAGGTTTAGTCTTTTCACTGAAAACTCACAGAACTGTTTCTTTGTCATAATATCTCCATGGAGATGTTACTGCTTTGTGAGGAATGTTCCACTATTCCACATGTCTCTATGCAGACTCTACTAGGCCAAGTTACACATCAGATCTGTGGATCTCTGGGCATTTGAATAGTTGTTCTTCAAGGTATTTTTATGGTAATGGTGCTAATTTTTCATCACTTTGAAACCAATGAATATAATGCCATACTGTGGTATTTTACAGGCAAAGTAATGACATCTCCATGGAGACAAGAAGGTGGCTGAAAAGTGACACAGGGCACCTTTAACACCGAATGAATTGTTTATCTGTGAAATAGCAGTAACAGGAGATATGTATATTACAACAGTTAGAGCTTTTTGGAATTTCAATAAAAATGTGAATGGATTTTGAAGACTGATCGATTTCATTTATTTAAAGTGAAACTAAACGACTCGACTCCCACAAGCAGAGCTGCTAAACTGGGCGGGGCCTGGAGGACTAAAGGGGAGAGTGAGGGGCATCCAGGTGTTTATTCCAGGTGTTTGTTTTAGGGCAGTCCTGTGTGATGTTACGCAGCACAAATTTAGATTTAGATGACGGGAGGGCATCTGACACAAGTGGAGCATTAACATAAACATATTAACATTATATACATTGTTAAATGCTCCAACAATTGAAATCCTGCTCCAGTAGAGCTTTTTGTGCAGTCACACATGTAGAGTTAAAAACATGAGTTTAGGTTTGAAGATTTCTGTAAGACCATGTAAGCATCTGATTTAGTTTAGAATCCAGTAGGAGGCGCTCTTTACACACATATGCACACACACGCACACACCACTCCCTAAGCCTCAGTTTTCAGATGATGTTTTGTGCTTAAAGAGCAGCATTTAACATTTAGCATTTGCACGTCAGTATTGATTTTGTCAGTGGATCGATTTTAAACAACTCGTTCAGCTCAGAGTTTGTGGAGGATTTTCTCTGATTTTACTGGAAAAAAGAATGACTCAGTGACATGTCCTCACACTTCTGCTCTGGACTGGACAGAACACAACAGATAATCAATAGAACATGTAGTTTGCCTCATTCAGGGACAAACAAATACAGTGTGCTGGAAGAGAAAGCTTCAATTCTTTTTTTCATTTTAAAAAGTAGAAGTTGGTTGTTTGAGGCTCTGTTTGAGCTGTGGACAAACAGGAGTTCAGTCAAATAGAGAGGAGCAAGATTTATCTCTAAAAACAAACAATACAGTTTTAAACTCAATTCTAAAAGAAACTGGAAGCCAATGGAGAGATACAAGTAGAGGCTGATGTGCTGATGTCTGGGGGTGTTGTTTGTGCACGAGCTGGAGGTGTGTGAGGGTCACTGAGACACACACACATACACACACACATCACCAGAGTGTGTTCTGGAGCTCATGAAACAGTGAATAGTCTTCTCAAGGACAGTGCCATTTAAAAAAGGCTTAATTTTCCATAAAAGACTGGTGATAGTTGATAAAAACTTGGTAGGAGCTCACCGTGTTGTCGCTCTGAGATCCTCTGCACCAGCGCCACCTCTGGACAAAAGTATATTACCTCTGTAGTGCTTTAGCACAATCATAGAGAATGCACAGGATCCCCCAGAGTGCGCGCTCACCTTAGACAGCAGGAGGGAGGGGACAGGTGAAGGAGGAGACAAGTGAGGGAGGGGACAGGTGAAGGAGGAGACAGGTGAGGGAGGGGACAGGTGAGGGAGGAGACAGGTGAGGGAGGGGACAGGTGAGGGAGGAGACAGGTGAGGGAGGGGACAGGTGAGGGAGGAGACAGGTGAGGGAGGAGCAGGGAGGAGGGGACAGGTGAGGGAGGGGACAGGTGAAGGAGGAGACAGGTGAGGGAGGGGACAGGTGAGGGAGGAGACAGGTGAGGGAGGGGACAGGTGAGGGAGGGGACAGGTGAAGGAGGAGACAGGTGAGGGAGGGGACAGGTGAGGGAGAGGACAGGTGAGGGAGGAGACAGGTGAAGGAGGAGACAGGTGAGGGAGGGGACAGGTGAGGGAGGAGACAGGTGAAGAAGGGGACAGGTGAGGGAGGGGACAGGTGAAGAAGGGGACAGGTGAGGGAGGGGACAGGTGAAGGAGGAGACAGGTGAGGGAGGGGACAGGTGAGGGAGGGGACAGGTGAGGGAGGAGACAGGTGAGGGAGGGGACAGGTGAAGAAGGGGACAGGTGAGGGAAGGGACAGGTGAAGGAGGAGACAGGTGAGGGAGGGGACAGGTGAGGGAGGAGACAGGTGAGGGAGGGGACAGGTGAGGGAGGAGACAGGTGAGGGAGGGGACAGGTGAAGAAGGGGACAGGTGAGGGAAGGGACAGGTGAAGGAGGAGACAGGTGAGGGAGGGGACAGGTGAGGGAGGAGACAGGTGAAGAAGGGGACAGGTGAGGGAGGGGACAGGTGAGGGAGGGGACAGGTGAAGAAGGGGACAGGTGAGGGAAGGGACAGGTGAAGGAGGAGACAGGTGAGGGAGGGGACAGGTGAGGGAGGAGACAGGTGAGGAGGGGACAGGTGAGGGAGGAGACAGGTGAGGGAGGGGACAGGTGAGGGAGGGGAACAGGTGAGGGAGGGACAGTTGGGGGAGGAGACAGGTGAGGGAGGAGACAGGTGAGGGAGGGGACAGGTGAGGGAGGGACAGGTGAAGGAGGAGGACAGGTGAGGGAGAGGGACAGGTGAGGGAGGGGACAGGTGAGGGAGGGGACAGGTGAGGGAGGGAACAGTTGGGGGGAGGAGACAGGTGAGGGAGGAGACAGGTGAGGGAGGGGACAGGTGAGGGAGGGGACAGGTGAAGAGGAGACAGGTGAGGGAGGGACAGGTGAGGAGGAGACAGGTGAGGGAGGGGACAGGTGAGGGAGGGGACAGGTGAGGGAGGGGACAGGTGAGGGAGGAGACAGGTGAGGGAGGGGACAGGTGAAGAAGGGGACAGGTGAGGGAGGGGACAGGTGAAGAAGGGGACAGGTGAGGGAGGAGACAGGTGAAGGGGGACAGGTGAGGGAGGGGTGAGAAGGGGACAGGTGAAGAAAGGGGACAGGTGAGGGAGGGGACAGGTGAGGGAGGAGACAGGTGAGGGAGGGGACAGGTGAAGAAGGGGACAGGTGAGGGAGGGGACAGGTGAGGGAGGAGACAGGTGAGGGAGGGGACAGGTAAGGGAGGGGACAGGTGAGGGAGGGGACAGGTGAGGGAGGAGACAGGTGAGGGAGGGGACAGGTGAAGAAGGGGACAGGTGAGGGAGGGGACAGGTGAGGGAGGAGACAGGTGAGGGAGGGGACAGGTAAGGGAGGGGACAGGTGAAGAAGGGGACAGGTGAGGGAGGGGACAGGTGAAGAAGGGGACAGGTGAGGGAGGGGACAGGTGAGGGAGGAGACAGGTGAGAGAGGGGACAGGTGAGGGAGGGGACAGGTGAGGGAGGAGACAGGTGAGGGAGGGGACAGGTGAGGGAGGAGACAGGTGAGGAAGGAGACAGGTGAGGGAGACAGGGAGGGGACAGGTGAGGGGACAGGTGAGGGAGGACAGGTGAAGAAGGGGACAGGTGAGGGAGGGGACAGGTGAGGGAGGAGACAGTGAGGGAGGGGACAGGTGAGGGAGGGGACAGGTGAGGGAGGGGACAGGTGAGGGAGGAGACAGGTGAGGGAGGGGACAGGTGAAGAAGGGGACAGGTGAGGGAGGGACAGGTGAGAGGAGGGGACAGGTGAGGGAGGGGACAGGTGAGGGAGGGAGGGACAGGTGAAGAAGGGGACAGGTGAGGGAGGGGACAGGTGAAGAAGGGGACAGGTGAAGAAGGGGACAGGTGAGGGAGGGGACAGGTGAGGGAGGAGACAGGTGAGGGAGGGGACAGGTGAAGAAGGGGACAGGTGAGGGAGGGGACAGGTGAGGGAGGAGACAGGTGAGGGAGGGGACAGGTAAGGGAGGGGACAGGTGAGGGAGGGGACAGGTGAGGGAGGAGACAGGTGAGGGAGGGGACAGGTGAAGAAGGGGACAGGTGAGGGAGGGGACAGGTGAGGGAGGAGACAGGTGAGGGAGGGGACAGGTAAGGGAGGGGACAGGTGAAGAAGGGGACAGGTGAAGGGAGGGAGACAGGTGAAGAAGGGGACAGGTGAGGGAGGGACAGGTGAGGGAGGAGACAGGTGAGAGAGGGGACAGGTGAGGGAGGGGACAGGTGAGGGAGGAGACAGGTGAGGGAGGGGACAGGTGAGGGAGGAGACAGGTGAGGAAGGAGACAGGTGAGGGAGGGGACAGGTGAGGGAGGAGACAGGTGAAGAAGGGGACAGGTGAGGGAGGGGACAGGTGAGGGAGGGGACAGGTGAAGAAGGGGACAGGTGAGGGAGGGGACAGGTGAAGAAGGGGACAGGTGAGGGAGGGGACAGGTGAGGGAGGAGACAGGTGAGGGAGGAGACAGGTGAAGAAGGGGACAGGTGAGGGAGGGGACAGGTGAAAGAGGAGACAGGTGAGGGAGGGGACAGGTGAGGGAGGGGGACAGGTGAAGAAGGGGACAGGTGAGGGAGGGGACAGGTGAAGAAGGGGACAGGTGAGGAGGGGACAGGTGAGGGAGGAGACAGGTGAGGGAGGGACAGGTGAAGAAGGGGACAGGTGAGGGAGGGGACAGGTGAGGGAGGAGACAGGTGAGGGAGGGGACAGGTGAAGGGACAGGTGAGGGACAGGTGAGGGAGGGGACAGGTGAAGGGAAGGACAGGTGAGGGAGGGGACAGGTGAGGAGGAAGGTGAGAGGGACAGGTGAGGGAGGGACAGGTGAGGGAGGAGACAGGTGAGGAGGGGGTGACAGGTGAGGGAGGGAGGGAGGGGACAGGTGAGGGAGAACAGGTGACAGGTGAGGGAGGAGGGCAGGTGAGGGAGAGGGACAGGTGAGGACAGGTGAGGGACAGGTGAGGACAGGTGAGGGAGGGAGACAGGTGAGGAGGGGAGGGACAGGTGAAGGGAGGGGACAGGTGAGGGAGGGGACAGGTGGCAACACACTTAGCATGAGCGGGGAGAGGGGGAGGGGCTCCAAACTCTTCTCTGTATTCTTTTCCAGCTCTGGTCATGTGATATCTTGATCTTCAAATGTTTTGAAAAAAAAAAAAAGATAAATGAATCCTTTTGGTTGCAGTTGTATAAAGGAGTATGACCAATATTTGTAGACATTGTTTTTGAAGGAAACAGAAAGAATTTTTGTCCCTGTTTGGTGCGGGTGTGGCAGGTTTCAGGTGCGTTTGGTGCGACTGTGGCCTAAACATGTCGTGATGCTTTGGATTCAGGAATAGGGCGGCCTGTTACATGAAGGAAGACTGGCACAAAGGGCACGAGGCCAGGTCTTTGAATTGGCACACGGCGCCCTCTTGTGGTCACAATACACTGTAGCCTGTGTGACTGTAGTAGTTTTTTCAGCACTTCCAAAATGTGTTTTTCAGTACTGGAGCACTGTGAAGAAGAGCAGGTGTGAATTAGAAGCGACTCTAGCAGCAGGTCTAAAGTCACTCGTAGAATGGAGCAGGACAAAAACAGGACTTGGCCTAACTGTATGACTCTTTTTTGGGGTTGGGGTTTGGTCAGTTTGAGCTTTGAAGCTGACCTGATAATGATGTTACGAAGCAAACGATGAAATAACAAATAAACACTTGGATGGTGAAAGCTTTATTTGACCAGTTGCATTTTCCTTCCTGTGACGCACAAGTCCAGCGAGAAATATGTCCCATAAATCATGAGGCACACGCAGCTATTTTGATCCAAAGACTTTACTGACAGACAAAAGCTTCCTGCCACTTGTTCTACATCCAGAACATTTTCACAAACATCTCCAAGGACCTGTCTCTGCTCCTGTCTCTGCTCCTGTCTCTGCTCCTGTCTCTGCTCCTGTCTCTGCTCCTGTCTCAGAGCTGGGGCAGATTTCCCTCAGTGTTTGAACTCCAGATGAACCCCGTGACGCATGTGCTTTTTTGAATGGAGTGTGTGTGTGTGTGAGAGTGTGAGTGTGTGTGTGTGTCTGTGTGTGTGTGTGTCAGATGCCCTCCCGCTACATAGAGATGAAGACAGAGGAAGAAAAGAGGGATAAAGAGGGATGGAGACAAGGAGAGCACTAAAAAGTGACAAGTCCTGATGTGACTGAACCAGGACTAAACCAGGACTGAACCAGAACTGAACCAGGACTAAACCAGGACTAAACCAGGACTGAACCAGGACTGAACCAGGACTAAACCAGGACTAACCAGACTAAACCAGGACTAAACCAGGACTAACCAGACCAGGACTAAACCAGACTAAACCAGGACTGAACCAGGACTAAGGACCAGGACTAACCAGGACTGAACCAGGACTAAAGCAGGACTAATGTAAAGCAGGACACGGCAAAGGTTTATGTCCCGAATCCCTCCTGTAATTATGACAAAAATAGAACATAGGCGCCTCAAAAACTTCACATTTCATTTTTATTATTATCACTGTGTTTTACTCACAGTCTGTTTGTCTTTCAATGATAAATGACTCACATCTAAATCCAAAATACAAACTGAAAATGCTGAAATCCGGAGTCCTTTTCCTCTTTAGACATCCACAGACTGTAAAGAAATCACTCCGCTCCAGTCAAATGAAGCTCATCGACGCCGACGGTTACAGGGGAGAATTCAGAGCTGCATTTTAGGAATCGATTTACAGACAAAACAGCAAAATGAAAAACCCGGGATCACGTAGAGCGGATTAATACGAACATTTTAAGAGCAGAACAATGAGGCTCGCAGCAGCAGTTACGGCCGACACACACTACAGGATTTGGAACCATTTTTAAACGTGCGACAGAAAGCGAACGCCACAGACATGAGGAGAATCTTACGAGACTTTAAATCCCCGATCGCAAAGACTGAAGCGGGATCTGTGTGCAGACCTCTCTGGTCTCTGGTCTGACCCGGTCTCTGGTCTCTGGTCTGACCCGGTCTCTGGTCTCTGGTCTCTGGTCTCTCTGGTCTCTGGTCTGACCCGGTCTCTGGTCTGACCCGGTCTCTGGTCTCTGGTCTGACCCAGTCTCTGGTCTCTGGTCTCCGGTCTGACCCGGTCTCTGGTCTCTCTGGTCTCTGTCTGACCCAGTCTCTGGTCTCTGGTTTGGTCTCTGACTCTGGTCTCTGGTCTGGTCTCTGGTCTGACCCGGTCTCTGGTCTCTGGTCTCTGGTCTCTGGTCTCTGGTCTCTGGTCTGACCCGGTCTCTGGTCTGGTCTCTGGTCTGACCCAGTCTCTGGTCTCTGGTCTCCGGTCTGACCCGGTCTCTGGTCTCTGGTCTCCAGTCTGACCCAGTCTCTGGTCTCTGGTTTGGTCTCTGATCTGGTCTCTGGTCTGGTCTCTGGTCTGGTCTCTGGTCTCAGGTCGGGTCTCGGGTCCGGGACATAAGCTGCTGCTGGTCTCGTTTGACGGGTTCCGGTGGGATTACGATCAGGACGTGGAGACGCCGGAGCTGGACCTGATCAGCCGCATCGGAGTCCGAGCCAAGTACATGACCCCGCCCACTCTCACCATGACATCACCGTCGCACTTCACCACCATCACAGGTACCAGACCAGGACTGGACCAGGACTAGACCAGACCAGGACTAAACCAGGACTAGACCAGGACTAGACCAGGACTAGACCACCATCACAGGTACCAGACCAGGACTAGACCAGGACTAGACCACCATCACAGGTACCAGACCAGGACTAGACCAGGACTAGACCAGGACTAAACCACCATCACAGGTACCAGACCAGGACTAGACCAGGACTAGACCAGGACTAAACCACCATCACAGGTACCAGACCAGGACTAGACCAGGACTAGACCAGGACTAAACCACCATCACAGGTACCAGACCAGGACTAAACCAGGACTAGACCAGGACTAGACCAGGACTAGACCAGGACTAAACCACCATCACAGGTACCAGACCAGGACTAAACCAGGACTAGACCAGGACTGTAACCGGACTGGACTGACCCTGCTCCTTTATCTGAGTGAAGGTTATCGGGTTTATCTGGTCTGGACTTGGACTTGGACCTGAAGGTTCCGTGTCTCAGGTCGAGTCACAGGAACCTGGAGTCTGTTGGTGTAAACTCCAAACTCCTCTGTCCTCTGTCCTCTGTCTTCTCTCCTCTGTCCTCTCTCCTCTGTCCTCTGTCCTCTGTCCTCTGTCCTCTCCTCTCCTCTGTCCTCTGTCCTCTCCTCTCTCTCCTCTGTCCTCTGTCCTCTGTCTCTCCCTCTGTCCTCTCTCTCTGTCTCTCTCTCTCTCTCCTCTCCTCTGTCCTCTCTCCTCTGTCCTCTCTCTCTCTCCTCTGTCCTCCTCTGTCCTCTCTCTGTCCTCTCTGTCCTCTGTCCTCTGTCCTCTGTCCTCTGTCCTCTGTCTCTCTCCTCTGTCCTCTCTCCTCTGTCCTCTCTCCTCTCTCTCTCTCTCTCTGTCCTCTTCTGTCCTCTGTCCTCTCTCTCTCCTCTGTCCTCTGTCCTCTCTCTCTCTCTCTGTCCTCTCTCTCTGTCCTCTGTCCTCTCTCCTCTGTCCTCTGTCCTCTGTCCTCTCTCCTCTGTCCTCTGTCCTTCACATGTTGTGTGTAAATGTTTGAGTCGTCACCAGTCGATTCTTTTGTTTGTACAAACTGCACGTGAAGAAATGAACAAATAAAAGATGCTCTGATCTCACTCTGGTTCTGGTTCTGGTCTGACTCTGGTTCTGGTTCTGGTTCTGGTCTGACTCTGGTTCTGGTTCTTCGCAGGTCGCTGGGTGGAGGACCATGAGGTCGTCCATAACATGATGTTCGATCAGAAGACGAACCTGAAGGTTCCTCACAAACAAACCCTGAGGAGGTCAGAGTGGTGGGACACAGGAGCCACTCCTCTGTGGATCACCGCCCAGAACCAGGTCAGAACCAGGTCAGAACCAGGACCGGGACCAGATCTGGAGCAGGTCTGGAGCAGGTCTGACGTGTTGTTTGCGTGTCAGGGTCTGAAGGTCGGCTCGTTCCACTTCCCGGGGGGCGGGGCTAACTACAGCGGGCAGCCCGTCGGACGCCACGTGTTCGAGACGCCCGGTTTCCCCGACGACAACGAGACCGAGTGGCGCCAGAACATCGACCAGGTCCTGGACTGGTTCTCGGAGGAGGACTTCGACTTCGTGACGCTTTACTTCGGCGAGCCGGACAACGTGGGCCACGCCCACGGCCCGGACACGCCCCAACACAAGAATATCATCCGCCAGATCGACCGCGCCGTCGGGTACCTGCGCCGCGGCATCGACGCCCAGAACCTCACCCGCGACCTCAACGTCATCATCACGTCCGACCACGGCATGACCACGGTGAAGAAGCGCCCCCTGGTGGACGAGATCGTTCTAAACTGGTACCTGCCGCTGCTCAAACTCGCCAGCTTCGAGATCCTGGACTACGGCGGGTTCGGGATCCTCACGCCGCGTCCGGGCAAAGAGGCCGAGGTCCTGGAGGCGCTCGCCAAAGTCCCCAACATCACGGCGTTCGCCAAGAGCCAGATCCCCGAGAGCTTCCACCTGAAGAAGAGCCAACGCCTGCCCCCGGTGATCATCCAGGCCCAGCTCGGATTCAACCTCAACTCGGTGAGACCAGACTTCACACCGGGTTAGACCTGAGTTAGACCTGAGTTAGACCTGGTTTACACAGGGTCTAAACCCCCCCCCCCACACACACACATACACACTGGGTTGGTTAAGTGTCTTGCCCAAGGACACAGTGGCAGGATTCCTCTGGAGCTGGAGTCAGACTCTGGTCTGTGGCTCAGTGAATCTGATGATGTTTCTGTGAAGCGGGAATCAAACCAACAACCTTCAGGTCAGAGACAAACTGGACCTGAGCTCCTGGACCTGAGCTCCTGGACCTGACCTCGTGTCGTTTTATGGTTGAATCTTCGGTCTAAAGAATCAGAATCATTTTTTGTTGAGTCGTTAAAATTTTACACAAATTCCATTTCCAAATAAACAAACGTAAAAACCAACATGAATTAAACAAAATCTGATGATCTCAAATAAATAATCAGTAATAAATATTTCATCACAAATAATCAAAGTTAATTTAAATGAAAAATGAAACAACGATGTTGTTTATTGTTAAATAAAATAAGTAGAAAAGTCGTGGACGTCGACGTCTTTTGGACAGAATCAGTCTCGTCGTTGGTCCTGGGTCACGACTGGTCGTCCAGGAGACACCGGAAAAAAGACATGATCCGGCCTCAGAGTCTGGACCTTCAGTCTGGACCTTGAGTCTGGACCTTCAGTCTTGAGTCTGGACCAAAAACACGACCTGAAAAGATTTTTGTTCAGAAACACAGTTCATCTTTGAACAGAAACAGAGAACTCAGACTCTGTGTCCGTCTACAGCTCCAACCTCCAACCTGAAACAAACCAAAGAGAACAACACTCAGGTCCAGGTCAGGTCCAGGTCCAGAGGAGAGAAAACTCCATCAGGGGCCTGAAGGATTCTGCTGATGTGATGCTCTGTGCCTGTCTTCTTGCCCTCTTCCTGCCCATCTCTGTGCCCGTCCCTGTGCCCGTCTCTGTGCCCGTCCCTGTGCCCGTCCTGTGCCCGTCCCGTCCCTGTGTCCGTCCCGTCCCAGCGTTTCATCGTGTACGTGAACAAAGGGGACCACGGGTACCACAGCGGGGAGATGGACATGAAGACGATCTTTCGGGTGTTCGGTCCGGACTTCAGACGGGACCTGGTGTCGGAGCCGTTCGACAGCGTCCACCTGTACCCGCTCATGTGCCACCTGCTCCGGGTCACGGCCGCCCCCCACAACGGGTCCACTCAGGTCACCCAGGACCTGCTGCTCCAACACACCAGTGATACCAGGACTAAGACCAGGACCAGACCAGGACTAAGACCAGGACCAGACCAGGACTAAGACCAGGACTAAGACCAGGACCAAGACCAGGACTGAGACCAGGACCAGACCAGGACTAAGACCAGGACTAAGACCAGGACCAGACCAGGACTAAGACCAGGACCAGGACCAGGACCAGGACCAGGACTAAGACCAGGACCAGACCAGGACTAAGACCAGGACCAGACCAGGACTAAGACCAGGACTAAGACAGACCAGGACCAGACCAGGACTAAGACCAGGACCAGACCAGACCAGACCAGACCAGACCAGGACCAGACCAGGACTAAGACCAGGACCAGACCAGGACTAAGACCAGGACCAGACCAGGACTAAGACCAGGACCAGACCAGGACTAAGACCAGGACCAGACCAGGACTAAGACCAGGACCAGACCAGGACTAAGACCAGGACTAAGACCAGGACCAGACCAGGACTAAGACCAGGACCAGACCAGGACTAAGACCAGGACCAGACCAGGACTAAGACCAGGACCAGACCAGGACTAGACCAGGACTAAGACAGGACCAGACCAGGACAGGCCAACCAGGACCCAGACAGGACTAAGACGGACCAGACCAGGACCAGACCAGGACTAAGACCAGGACTAAGACCAGGACTAGACCAGGACCAGACCAGACCAACACACCAGTGAGACCAGGATCAGACCAGGACCAGGACTAAGACCAGGACCAGACCAGACCAGAGACCAGACCAAGACCAGCACCAGACCAGACCTAGACCAGGACTAAACCAGGACTAAACCAGGTCTAAACCAGGACTAAACGGTGTGTTTTGTGTTTTTCAGGTGGGTCTTCGGCTTTGGTCTCGTCCTGGTTTCTTTTCGTGTCGTTTCTTCTTTTATTCTTGTGATTAAATGTGTATTATTTTTTATTTTAAACTTTTGTCAAATTTTGTAAAACATGAATAAAATCTGACGACGTGACGAGTCTGTGTGTGTGTGTGTGTATGTGTGGTGTGTGTATGTGTGTGTGTGTGTGTGTGTGTATATGTATATGTGTGTCTGTGTGTATGTGTGTGTGTGTGTGTGTGTATATGTGTGTCTGTGTGTGTGTGTCTGTGTGTGTGTGTGTGTGGTGTGTGTGTGTGTGTGTGTGTGTGTGTCTGTGTGTGTGTGTATGTGTGTGTGCGTGTGTGCATGTGAGTGTGTCTGTGTGTGTGTGTGTGTGTGTGTGTGTGTGTGTGTGTGTGTGTGAGTGTGTGTGAGTGTGTGTGTGTGTGTGTGTGTGTGTGTGTGTGTGAGTGTGTGTGTGTGTGTGTGTGTGTGTGTGTGAGTGTGTGTGATGTGTGTGTGTGAGTGTGTGTGTGTGAGTGTGTGTGTGTGAGTGTGTGTGAGTGTGTGTGTGTGTGTGTGTGTGTGTGTGTGTGTGTGTGTGTGTGTGTGAGTGTGTGTGTGCACAGAACCATCACCACCTGAATATTACACACACACTTTTCTTCACTAATTGGTTCAGTTAAAGCTGCACTATGAACAATTTCTAACATAGATCTGCCACCTGCTTGTTATTGCTTTGTCTGAAATGTTCCACAATACGGCATTAAACAGTTCTATCTTCATGGA